TTAATTACCCCTAGAAGTAAAGGATTCTGCCTGAGATTACAGTTGCCCCACGTGTTGGGAGGCATCTGCGGTTTCAGTACCAGTAACTGCAGGCACCTGCAGGTATTCGTGAGCCCGGTGAATAATGCCAATTACTCTGTAATCGCTGTCACACCCACTGTTGTACAGGTCCTGGTCCTCGGAGGGAGGAGGGGGAAAAGGAGGATGAGGCTTCTGTCTTTAAAATCCAACGAGCAAGAAGAATCCGGGCTGCTGATCTGAGGGGAGACTATGCCCCCCGCAGCCCGCTGGTGAGACTAAAGCGCTGCTTCACAAGTTGGCTGTGGTCTCTGGTTATCTCGCGGACACATTGTAACACCACCTCCCAGCAGGGACACGGCACCATCCTGTCCCCACCCCCTGCTGCCTCCTGTCCCACCCCGGCTGCCTCGGCCAGCAGGCCTCTAGCTCCTGAGGCTGGTTTGCCTCCCACAGCACAGAGCAGGGAACCTGGCCCCTCAGTAAAGAGCCGTCTAGCACGCCACTCAGAGCAATGACGGAGGTGACTCCAAATCTTACTAAATGAAGGACAGCTTGAACAGGTTCAGTTTACCAACAACCCATCGCTAGAAGCTGAAGGGAAACGTCTCTCTCAATTCACCTGACAGCGATTTCATCGATCCCCACAGGTCTAAGGCTCAGCAGCAGGCCTGCTCCGGTCCACCCACCCTCCTCCTCCCCTGAGCAGCCCAGGCAGCACCGGCAATTAACCCAGCGACTGACATAAAGACAACGACGCTTTCCTCCGGTCCGAGGGCTCCATCTCCGAACCGTAGTGAGCAAGCAGGGGTTGACACGATACACTCCGTATCTTTTTACTTCGCCTTGATGCAGAAAGACTAAGGGAGCTACCGACTGTAACAGCCTCGAGCAGGTGACCGGTGACCGAGGAAACCCCGAATGCCGGCCCGTCGCAACCACAGACAAGGCCTCACACGGCGACGCCCGATGACCCTGCCCTGGCACCGTGGGTGCGCCCGGAATCCTGCGAGGCCACAGCCGGCGAGACTCCGTGATCTGAGGATTCACACCACCTGGGGACTTTCCCTGGCACAGAACAAACTGAGCCCGCCAGATCTCTCGGTTTACTTCGGAATGAAACGCACACAGCCAGCCTGGGATGCGGAGAAGGACGGGCGCAGGTGACGCCCCTGCAGAAGGCATGGCAGTGGTGCCCGAGACGCAGCCTGCGGCAGTGAACCCGGAATCTTCTGGGTGGAGGACAGTTGTACACGCTCTTACTTTTTCGTCATCCTTGATAAGCTGCCCCTCTAAAGCAACCTCAGACGGCACGGACTGCTCCCACAGCGGAGGGAAACAACCCTTCCGGCTTATCGCATGTGGGCCAGTGGGCATGGGCAGCCTGTGTGCAAGGAGAGCTGGGGAGGAATTCACCTTCCAACACGTGCCTGAGGTCCCCTTAGAGGTCGCTCGGCAATCACAGACAAGCTCCTCTGGGTGTTCACAGAGCCACAGCCTCCCAAGTTCAGGGGTGCTCTGAATTCCAGCCGCCCGACTCCCCATCATTACTTCCCGACTCACAGAGGGAAACAGGGGTTCCCTGAAGCTCAAAGAAATTTGACTAAAATAGAAAAAATATTTAAACTTATAAAGGAAAACTGAAATTTTTCACACACATAAAAAGTTTAAGTAAAACAATAACCCAAAATAAAATGAGTCATGAAATCCAAAACCAAATAAAAATCATTAAATTTTCGTGAAAATAAAATGATATCGTTACATGAAATAAATAATGCAAATTGGGGTTAGGGGAGGGAGGAGAAAAGCCAGAAGATTAAAGATTTAATAGGAACCAGTAAAATTAATACCAAAAAATTTAAAACACACAGTCAAGGCAAAACAATAAAACAATTCTGAACTGCACAGGTTAAAACTTGAGGCAAACAAAAGAGGAGAAAACAGAAACAAAGTCACTGGAAATAATTGGTGGCTCCGTATCAGCTTCCTGAGTCAACTCCAGGCAAGCATGGAGTTTGTCCTGAACAGGGAGCTGAGGGCAGACAGCCCCAGCCCATCCTCAAGGCCATACACAGCTCTCTCCTGGATTCTGAGGCCACGTAAGAGTTGCCATGAACATGAGTCTGTGCTCTTGAATCCAAATGGCAGAAACCTAGTCTCCTTGGCCTTTTTTACAAACACCTGGGCAAACCCTTCTGATTACTTTGTGATCTCTTCTGGTTTCAGAGCTGGTAAATCTGGCTGGGACAAATAAAGAGCACACCTCATAGTTCTTTGATGTCCTCTCTGGACACCCATTTGGTCATCCATCAGTTCACTGGACAGTTACTGAGACTCGACTCCATGCGACACCAGTGATACGTGCTGGCAATACAGCATCCACTAGTGGTTGAGAAAGATCATAAACAATGTTACCACAGCTGTGATAAGTGGCATGAAGGAGAAGCAGAGTTGGGAGAATGACCAGCAGGGACTGTCCAGGGGGTCACCCAAGCTTTGTAATGACATGTCTGCTGAGTGAAGGGCACTGCAGGTAGAGAGAGCAGCAGAGCCAAGGCCTACAGAGAGGTGAAGCGGACGGGATGACTGTCAAGGCTGCAGTGGGCAGTGGACAGGACGGTGAGGGAAGAGACCCACAGGAGATACACCCAAGGCCTTGGAGCCACAGGAAGGACTTGTGTTTATTCCTTTCTGCCTGAGGAATCTTTTGACTATTCGGATCCAGGGGAAACGTTGCCCTTGATCTTTTGACTCTGTAATAAAAAATTCACCGTTTAACTCAAATAATACAAAATTAATGAATTTTCATCTCAAAAGCATGTCTTAACAATTAAGTCAATTGTCCTTGATAAATTACCATACAGATTTTAATTTTTCATTTCTTTCCATTTACTATTTATTAAAATAAGTGTAAGATCAATTTTTATTGCAAACTTTTCATAGGAATTTGATTCATCAATCGTTTTGTCCTCAAGTTTAATTTTCCATGGTCCTTACCCAGATTTGATTCCTTAAGTCACTTTTAATCAAATTTTATCATTTCATTTAAACCCTTGCATTTGTTGTAAGTAGCATGCCCTTTGAGTCTGATGCATGTTTATATTTATTCCTTAGTCAATCATGAGAAAAATCTTGAGTGTTCCATTTTTCTGGACTGATCTATTGAAAGGGTCCCCTAACTCTTCAGTCTCAGGACCCTCTACTCTTAAAAATTACTGAGGTTCTCAAAAAGCTTGTATGTGTGTTACAGCTATCAATATTGCCTATACTATAAATTAAAACAGGTGGTTTTTATAAATATTTAACTTGAAAAAATAACAGTAATAAGTCCATCACATGTTAACATACAAAAATAACTCTACCTTTCCAAACAAACAAAAAACTTGGAAAGAGTAGCATTGTTTTACTTTTGCAAATGCCTTTCATCTGTCTTGTAGAAGACAACTGGCTTCTCTGTCCTTTCATGGAAACTGCGTTAATCTCACACATCGGGGGCCTCTGAAGACACCCCGCTGAAAGAACGAGAGACGAAATGTCTTGTTTTCATCATGAAAACAGTTTGGTCCTGGTCAGCACGCTCAGAGGTCCCCACCACACCTGGAGAAGTGCAGCTCTCTCCCGAGGCTCCCCAACAGGCGTTCACATACCATTTGAGTTTAGACGGCAAAAAAAGCATTTTTTTTTTTTTAATCCTCACCCGAGGGTATTTTTCCATTTTTTTTTACAGATAGAATGGGAGGGAGAGAGAGGAAGGAGAGAGAGAGAGAAACATCGACGTGAAGGGACACATCGAGTGGCTGCCACCCGCACGACCAACCAGGGCCGGGGACAAACTGCAACCGAGGTACGTGCCCTTAGCGGGAACCGAACCCGGGTCTCTCCGGACCGCAGGCCGACGCTCTAACCGCTGAGCCAAACCGGCCAGGGCAAAAAAAAAAGCATTTTTTATTGTATTTTTTAAATTTATTTTTTATTGTTGACAGTATTACAGATGTCCCCGGCCTTCAGGGCGCTCTTCTGGGGCACGGGCCCTGCACATAGGCCTTCTGTCCCTCTCTCCCAGCACCCGCCGATTGTCAGTCTGCCCGTATCCAGCCTCGGGACCTGTTTTGCTCACGAGGATCCGCACAAGCGAGGTCAGGTCCATGTCGTGCTGGACTGGCCTCCAGGCCCAGCCACGGCCAAGGCTGGGCTCCTGCTCTGCACAGCCGAGAGCGTCCCACGGGGAAAAGCAGGCTCTTCGGCCCACTCGCCGACCGACGCACCCCAGCGTTTTACAAAAGCACCGTGTTTGTAACCCTCGGCTGGGGACACACGTCCACGGCCCGTTGGGGGAGCAGGGAGGGGGAGGGGAACCGAGGGGAGAGGCACAGGCACGGGCTGCCTGCTCTGAAACCAGGTGGGGATCGAACCTGCACCCAGGCTGAGCCCGAGGCCGCTGGAACCGCCGAGCCAAGCCGGCAGGGCCCCCACCGCCGCCTAAACTCGGGGACGTACAGGCTGAAGAGCGACCGGCGGACAGGGGTGTCAGCAACGCCGGCGCCTCCCGATCCCTCACTTGCAACGCCTCGGAAACACCCGGCCGGCCGCGACGCCGCCGGGGGTCTGGACGATGACCTGCAGGCTAATCTCGGGAGGCAGGCGCGGCCCCGCTCCGGCAGGCGGGGACACCCGGGGACACCCGGGGAGACCCGGCGTCCAGGCCCGCGCGCCCACCGGGGAGAGCCGGGGGCGAGCGCCACGGCGCGGGCCGTCTGCGCGTGCGCGGGTCGTCTGCGCGTGCGCGTGCGCGGGCCGTCTGCGCGTGCGCGGGCCGAAAGCCGAGGCGCGCTCTGCGATCGGCCGACCCATCGACCTGATCGGGGATCGTCCGCGGTTCCGCTGCGGGAGCGGCTCCCTCTCGCGAGGCTGCAGGCCGGGGCCGGGAAGGGGCGGGTCCAGCCTGAGCGAGGGGCGCGCCCGGCCGCGCACGCTGCGTCCCCAGGAGGCTGTGCGGCCCGCGCTTCCTCTGCGGTCGGCGCGTGGACGGCTCCGCGGCGCAGCCATGGCGCTCCACGTCCCCAAGGCCCCGGGCTTCGCCCAGATGCTCAAGGAGGGCGCGAAGGTGCGGGTGCAGGCCGGGCGGCGGCGCGGGGGCGGCGGCCGCCGAGGAGCGGGGCCTGCTAGCGGGCGGCGTGCTCCCGGCCCCCGTCGGGGAGGGAAGGTTCCAGAAAGGGAGGTGCCCGGACTCGCGGTCCGCGGTGACTCGCCCTCCAGGCTGGGGGGGAGGCGGCAGGCGCTGCGCGGCGGCCCCCGGACCCGGCCGTCTCCGATGGGGCGCCTCGGGCTGTGCGCGACCCGCCGGGGCCCGACGCCTGGTGGAGGGGGAGCGGCTCGGGAGTGTCGGCGCCGGCAGCGCGCTGAAACCCGAGGCCGCCGTCTCCCCGGCTTGGGGGCCCGCGCGGCCGGTTCGGGTCTGCACGCAGCTGAGCTGCGCCGGCCTCCGCACCCGGTCCCCGAGCGTTGGGCAGGTGCGCACGTGGGGCTTCCGGTGATGCGGAAAACACTGCAGCCCGGTTCCCGCTCGTGGCCGGGAAGGTGCCTTCACCCGGGGGCTCCCGTGCCCCCCCCACCCCCCGTTTAGCACGCCCTCGTGCTCTGAGATGAGCAGGCGCCGGGCCCCGGAATGTCGAGCTTTGTTCATTGCACCGGTTGGGGACACCGGGCCCCGTGCTGCGCGCGCGTCTCGCCTGATTGCCAGGACAGCGCTAGGTCCTGCTGGCATTGTTGGCCCCACCGGTCACTGAGAAAGGGAGTTGCCTTTGCTGTTCTAACCAGAGGGTCTGTTCTCAGCATTTCTCAGGATTGGAAGAAGCCGTGTACAGGAACATACAGGCCTGCAAGGAGCTCGCCCAGACCACCCGCACGGCCTACGGACCAAACGGTGATTCCCAGATTTTGCTTTGGAGAGACGGTGCAGAACTCGGTCTACTGCGTCTGCAGACTCGGCGAAGAGGGTCCTATGTGCATGGTTTTACCATCCTGCAGGATGGCTTTGAGGGTTATTCCATAGTTCAGCACCACTCAGGGTTTCCAGTTCCTCATCCGCAATTCAGATGATCTTTAGAAAAGTAGCAATCAGAACGTTACGTGTTATTACATCAAGAGTATAGAAAAATTATGGAGCCTTGACCATTGAGAACAGCTGATGTTCACTGTTACAAATGCCCAACATTTCACACAGAGTGACACTGAATTCAGGGAGAAAATTCTCACCACCTGCCATCAACTGAATTTAATTAATACAGATTTTTGGAATAGGCAAAAAGGTATAATTTTAAGTAGATTACTTTGTGCATATTCGTATAAATGTAAATTGATCCTAAAGAAGATGAGATTGGCATCATCCCAAGGAAATTGGGGAGACAAGAAAGGGAGATGTGACCTGGGTGTGCCATGGGGGGCTGGGGTGAGGAGAATGGTGTGTGATGGGTTCTTCCAAAGTCATTTAGGAAATGCATGAAAACGTACACTTCTTAACTAGATTTCCCTGGGTATTTGGAGAAGGATTTGAGTAATAATGGATTTGTTTTTCTATCTTATTTTTGAGGAATGAACAAGATGGTTATCAACCACCTGGAGAAATTGTTTGTGACAAATGATGCCGCAACTATTTTAAGAGAGCTAGAAGTAAGTTACTTCTTTTTAAAAGCCGAGAAATGGCCCAGCCAGTATGGCTCAATGGTTGAGCGTTGTCCCATGGACCAAGAGGTCACTGGTTCGAGTCCCAGTCAGGGCACATGCCCAGGTAGTGGGCTCCATCCCTTGTGACCACACCACTCATTGTTGCAGTGGTGCGGCCTTTGGCTGTGTGGCATGACTGTCCCACTGGAAGATTGGGGTCTTGATGAAGAAGTGGGAGGGAATGATGTAATAGTGCTTCAAAGATCAAATGCTGTAACTTTGTATTGAAAGTCAACCCCCCTCTACCAGGTGCAGCATCCTGCTGCCAAAATGATCGTGATGGCCTCGCACATGCAAGAGCAAGAGGTTGGAGATGGCACCAACTTCGTCCTGGTGTTTGCGGGCGCTCTGCTGGAGTTGGCTGAGGAGCTCCTGAGAATCGGCCTGTCAGTCTCAGAGGCAAGCGCTTGTTTTACAGTGTCCTGGTTAACTTTTGGATCCGTGTGTGCGTGCATGCACACTGCTTCAAGTATGAATTGTCCCCATAGCAACAGTAAGTAGGAGCTTTCCTCTGCCGCGCTGAGGAGCATCTGCTTCACAGGCTCCGCTGGTCCTTGCCAGAGCCTATCAGTGAGGCCTGTGAAAATTAATCTCGTTTTATTCTAAGTGAGGGAAGTGAGACCTATGTCAGAAAAATCTTGCTCGAGATCTAGTAGCTAACAAGTGGTTAGGATTCAAATTTGACCTGTCGCCTGAGGCTATCCTCAACTAGCAGGCTCTGATGAGTGGTGGTCTAGGTGTGTGCTTTGTCATTTGGTATTGAAAATAAGTGTCCATGTTCATTGGATTGCCGTAATCTACTTTATGTCAAAATTACGTCTTTTTGAGAAATGTTTTTGCACTTTACATGTAAGGTCATCGAAGGTTATGAAATAGCCTGCAGGAAAGCCCACGAGATTCTTCCTGGTTTGGTTTGTTGTTCTGCAAAAAACCTCCGAGATGTTGATGAAGTGGCATCTCTGCTTCACACGTCCGTAATGAGTAAACAGTATGGAAACGAGGTCTTTCTGGCCAAGCTCATTGCTCAGGCTTGCGGTGAGTGAATAGTAGTGAACGTCAGAATCCAAAATAAAATCCTCAGCATGACCGAGATGTGCTGTGTCACCCCATTTACAACTCTTGATGTGTCTTGTTTCTTAACAGTATCTATTTTTCCTGATTCTGGCCACTTCAATGTTGATAATATCAGAGTTTGTAAGATTCTGGTAAGTTTATAAAATGCATTAATTTTGTCTAGATAAGTTATTTGTTTTTGAAAAAAAATTTGTGTTAATCTACACCTAAATCTTACCTCGGCTTTTGGACACTTACGACTTTCTTCCTTTGAAGCATCATTTATGTAACGTTCTGATGTTGCTAGGTTGTAATACTACTACCAGATTTTAGGGTTGAAGAAGTATTGGCATATCCTTGTCAAGTTGTCATTTTCCCACGACCGCTTGAAGGGTGGGAACAGCTCGCAGACAGTGCTAGCCCTTGGTGTTCTTCAGATGAGTTACCCTAGAGCCGCCAGCTCGGAAGGCAGTTTTCAGTGGGATGGAAGCTGTCCTTTTGCTCTACAGTAGCGGTTCTCAACCTGTGGGTCGCGACCCCTTTGGAGGTCGAACGACCCTTTCACAGGGGTTGCCTAACATATAACAGTAGCAAAATTATAGTTATGAAGTAGCAACGAAAATAATTTTATGGTTGGGGTCACCACAACATGAACTGTATTAAAGGGTCGCGGCATTAGGAAGGTTGAGAACCGCTGCTCTACAGAAATAATGTTAATGTTAGTGTTGAAATAAAACTTTTATAAAAAGGTACGCTTGGTTTAGTAAAACCTTAATTGTGGTTTTGCATATCGGCACGTGGTTGTTGATGTATTGGAGTTTCACCTACAGAGCTCAGTTTGTGTTTATATTGAAATGTGTGTGTGCATGCTGTGTGTTTTCTGACTCCCGCCATGTACTGCCCCTTCCTATTAAATTGTAAGCTTGTGAGGTCTGAAACTACGCTTCGTTCCCTATTCTCTCCCAGTACTAACAGCTGTGTCTGGTCCACCAGCACCCAGTACTTAAGTGGATGGATAGATGGATGACTTAGAGCAGTTGTTTTCTGTCTTTGGCTCCTCCCACTATACTGAAGGCTCCCCCCCCAAACAGTGGCTCATTCCCACAGTGAGTTCTGCCAGCAGATGGGTGTGTGTGTGTGTGTGTGTGTGTGTGTACCATCCCACTCATGCCCAGGAGTCCCTGCCCTGGTGTATCTGTTACTCAGATTAGAAGAGCATAGTTTTAATAAATTGTAGAATCAACACTTTAGCCCAGATGTTATTTCGTGAGCTCACTGATGGTGTTGGTGTCGCTCCTCAGGGCTCTGGCATCTGTTCCTCTTCCGTCTTGCATGGCATGGTCTTTAAGAAGGAAACGGAAGGTGATGTGACTTCTGTCAAAGATGCAAAGATAGCAGTGTACTCTTGTCCCTTTGACGGCACGATAACGGAGACCAAGGTGCGTAGACTCAACCTTCCAGTTAAAGGCGAGAACTTGAGCCAGCCCTTTCAGACTGGTACATGATTTTCAAGTTTTGAGGTGGGGTTTGCTCTTAATCAGTAGATACTGTGTAATTACTGGAAAATCTTTTTATTTTATTTTTTTAATTGATGTTTTTGTCCCCTACCGGGGATTGAACCCACAACCCCGGCATGTGCCCCGACCAGGACCTCTCAGTCCATGGGATGACACTCAGTCCACGGAGCCACACCAGCTGGGCTATATCTGGTTTTTAAAATGTTTTTTCTGTTTTGTTTTAATCCTCACCCAAGGATATTTTTCCAGTTACCTTTAGATAGAGTGGGAGCAGGGAGAGAGGGAAACATTGATGTGAGAGAGATACATCGATTGGTTGCCTCCCACATACACCCCGACTGGAGCTGAGCATTGCACCAGCAACCCAGGCATGTGCCCTTGACCAGGAATCGAACCTGTAACCCTTCGGTGTACACTGCACTGAGCTAAACCAGCCAGGGCGTTGACTCCTCACAGAAAGCGTGTGGCAGGTTCGGTGCTGAGTGGAGAGAGCTGCTTGTGTGCTGTTGGCTCATTTTTTAAAAAGATGTTGAGATCCTGTAGTATCCTAAAAAAGAAGTGCTAATTTTTGAATTTGACAATTTTATTTTCTTGAAAGTATAGGTTATGTGAAGTTTGAAGTTTAGAGGTCACTGCTGACTTCATCCCTAGAGTTCTCGAAATCTGAGTTGTTGATAATTTTGAAAGCTTAACAGGTTTGGGTGGGGGAGTTGGTCCTTCAGTCCACATTTCAGGAAGCGTTCAGAACTGCAGCTTGTGGTGTAGGTGCCCTGGTTGACACTTGGCGAAGGCCGAGCGCTAGGACACCCGTCCAGAACACCCCGAGTGAGGCATCCCTCCCCTTTCCAGTGGGTACCTGTCGAGGAGAAGATGTGTCTGCCTTGGGAGTGGGGAGTTGAGGAGAAGGCTGTTGCTGCCGTTTGTAGGTTTCGTGTCCTGCTTTGTAGTACATTCGTGTCTGCCGTCACATTTCCTCCCGAATCCTTATTTCTTCAGTAAAACGCTGCCCTGTGATTCTGAGCACCAAAGCAGTAGGAGGGTTTCGAGGAGACTCTCTGTTTGTTCTGTAGGGAACCGTGCTGATAAAGACCGCCGAGGAGCTGATGGACTTCAGCAAGGGGGAGGAGCAGCTCATGGAGGCGCAGGTCAGAGCTGTTGCTGACACGGGTGCGAACGTCATCGTCACGGGCGGCAAGGTGGCCGACATGGCCCTTCATTACGCCAACAAGTACAGCATCATGCTGGTGAGGTGAGAGCCGCTTCGTCGTGTCCACCTGTGTGAAGGGCATATCGGTGGTGAGACACCACACGCCTTCACACACCATTTGTTTTGTTTTTTTGTTGTTTTTTAAAGGAACATATAAGGTGTTAGATCAGATGGCAGAGAGACCTAATGTAGTCTAGGGGGACAGAAAGCACTTCCTAAGGAAACCATTTGAGCTGGAGGATCAATCAACAAGGTTGTCATTTGAAGAGAGGGAGGAAAAGGCATTCCAAGTGCAAACCCAGTGCACATGTCAGCTGGGGCGTGGGGTCAGAAGCATAGCTTTCGGTCCATGAACACATCACGAGGCGCCCTGCACAGGTGGCCTACTGTCCCCACCTCTTCTCGGCCCACCTGGTCTGACGTGTGGACAAAGCCTGTCCTTGCACAACACGACTGCCCAAAGTAGCGTAATTTACAACCTGGAGCCCTCACCTCTAAGCGGACTCGGGCTCTCGGCCCTAGGCTGACGCCAAGTACACCCTGTGGGCCGCGCAGTGTGGTCTGGGTCGGAAGTTGTGACTTGGGGGTGCGTTTCCTGTGCAGTCTGCATGTTCTGTCTGGTAGGATCAAAGCTGCTCTCAAGGTCTTTGTGTTCTGGTGTTTTGTTTTTAAGGCTGAACTCGAAGTGGGATCTCAGGCGGCTCTGTAAGACAGTTGGTGCCACGGCTCTTCCTAGATTGGTATGTGATTTGGACATTGACACATAGCTGAGCCCTTGTGCACTGGTATTACAGCAGTCACTTTCTTACAGACGCCCCCTGTCGCTGAGGAAATGGGACATTGTGACAGTGTGTACCTCTCAGAAGTTGGAGACACACAGGTGGTGGTGTTCAAGCATGGTAGGTAGCGATGGTAAATGTTTGTGTAGGAGTGGGGTGTTCGTTTTCTTCACTGATGCCCAAATGCATTTAATTTATCTACAGAAAAGGAAGATGGTGCCATCTCTACCATAGTGCTCCGAGGCTCCACAGACAACTTGATGGACGACGTGGAGAGGGCCGTCGATGATGGTGTGAACACTTTCAAAGTTCTCACAAGGGTCTGTATTCCAGGAACCTCGAGTTAGGGACTTGTAAGGCCCCGAAGCACAGTCCACAGGCCCCTGAGTATTCTGGGAACTGCAACATGGGGGCTGTGTGAAGCCAAGCGCCTGCCTTAAGATCCCTGCACTGTTGTGAAGGGCAATCAGTCTGGCTGCTCTATCACAAGCACTGTGCTTCGTGCGGCAGCTGGAAGCACACATGCGCTTCCCTTCTTCACTTGTCCTCCTTCCCCGTCGTGTACCAGACACCGCATTTGCATAAGATTCGTGCTGAAGGATCTCAGAACAGTGCCTGATTAGAAAGTCGCGGCGGGGGGTGGGGTGGGGGGATGCTGCAGTCTGAGATTAGAAAACAGAACTGCTTCCTCGTCACTTTTACCCTTACATGTCACAGGATAAACGTCTTGTACCCGGAGGTGGAGCAACAGAGATCGAGTTGGCCAAACAGATCACGTCCTATGGAGAGGTAGGGCTTTCTCTGTTTGAGTTGACTTTCCTTCTTGTTGCCTGAACAAAATACATTAATGAACTTGTTTTTGCTTTAGACGTGTCCTGGACTTGAACAGTACGCAATTAAGAAGTTTGCGGAGGCCTTCGAAGCCATCCCCCGCGCACTGGCAGAAAACTCGGGGGTTAAAGCCAATGAGGTCATCTCCAAACTCTATGCAGTACATCAGGAAGGAAATAAAAATGTTGGATTAGATATCGAGGTATTTGAAAAAACACTGTGAATTTAAATTTTATTTTGTGAATGCAAAACCTAAACATAGAAATAATCATAAAAAGAGCGAGAGGGTTTAGTGCCCCGTGTCGTTAGCCGTCCTGCAGGTGTGTAGGGTGGTGCTTTTCTCGTGTAGACATTTTCACATGAGAGAATGAAGGTCACTTTGTTGACAGGCTGAAGTTCCTGCTGTGAAGGACATGCTGGAGGCTGGGGTTCTGGACACCTACCTGGGGAAATACTGGGCCATCAAACTGGCTACGAATGCTGCTGTCACCGTACTTAGAGTGGACCAGGTGAGTGACGAGGGAAGTTTGCATCTTCAGAAACCAGGGTCCATGCGGCTCAGATGTGTTTTTATAGAATTAGATGGAGCGCAGGTCTTCTCACCTTCACCCGACAGGTGCTGGAGGGCCCTGAACATGTCTTTATTCTTAAACTGAAATGGGCCAAAGTGATCCGATTTATAGTCATAGCTTCCAGGCCTAAGAACCCTTTATGAAAACCTGTGAGGAAGATCCGAGTGGCCTGACAAGGACTAGGAAGGACGCAGCAGACAGTGCTGGGCGCCGGCTGTGGGGATGGTGACGTGCAAGGACCTGGGTGTTTGACGTTGCTGCTGTAACAGTTCTGGGTAGAGGTGCTGCTGCTGAGAGATTTAAAGATGTTGCAAATCGTATTTTTGTCCTTTTTCTTTTAATTGTGGCAAAGAGAAAAAGTAAAGACTGTTCTAGGTTTGAAGACAAACCCAAGTTTGTAATTTTTAAGAAGGGGTTTGCTAGTAAATGTAATGAAAATCATTTTCCTACAAAATTCTAGAAGTGGGTATTAAGCAGTGAAGTATTTGTAAGTACTGAATAGAAAATTGTAAATCCTAGGAACAAAGTATACAGGTATTAAGTGAAAATCATGCCAAATTAATCTTGGGAGAAGTGAGGTGAAAATTAGACAATCTGAGCTCAGTAAGGACCAGTTGGTGGTGGTTATAGGAACACAGATTTCATCTCAGTAAAAGGAAACACTTTTTTTCCTATCACACGATGACCAAAGATGGACCTGGGTGTTTGTGTACTGGATTTGTTTATTATTTCGATGTTTTTATTATTGACGTTATTGGGTAGTTTTCACTGAAAGTATGTATTTTCTAGTTTTTTAAATAAACATAATGGAAGCCTAAGGAAATGCTAGTTCTAAAAGTTAGCATGTAGCTAAGAATAAAAAGGACCAGAGGGACGGGGACAGGAGCTGGCAGCAGGAGTTCTCCCAGGACACCCCTTACCTGCCTCTGTGAATGTCAGTCACTCAGCAGCACAGTCGCTGCAGTGCTGCCTCTGTCACAGGCTCTGCTGAATCTTGGGCTTGAGCAGGATCAGTCTTCAACATGTGCCCCGGGGAGAACTGGTCCCGACAGCCCGTCTGACTGTAGTGACCAGTGTGTTGCTGCATTGAACTTGTGCCTGACTTTGTGTAGCATGTGTTCAGGGACAGGGCTTGCAAATGCGATGCTAAGCTTTGGATGGTGTGGGAGGGCTGGGCTGACTTCACGAGTTCGCGAGGGTCCACAAATCACCAGCACCAACACTATTAAAAACTTGTTAAAAACACAGTGTTGGGGCCCACCCCAGACTCACTGAATCATAAACTCCAGAAGGAGGCCCAGCATTGTGTTTCAGATAAGCTGTGGTTGTGATGCCCAGAAAGTTAGAGAACTGTTCTAGGTCCTTTTAAAAAAGCAAGTTATACTTAGATTCAGAGATTATACTTAAATGCATTTAATTCAATCTGAACTTACCCTCAGTTAGTAAAATGGTATTCCAAGAATTTAAGTCAGATTTCCTGTGGCAGCTTCTGAGAGAGGTGTGGAATCTGCCGGGCGCAGGGGTTGGCAGTGAAGACGCTGTACAGCTGAGCTTTCAACAGAAGCCAGACACGGAATGTCTCTCAATACGGTTAGGGGCAGGGGTACTCCCCCAGTTTCAAGATTCAGACTATGAGTTTGAGCTCTGCTTTGACAAAACCCAGCTAATTTAATTGAGTCCCCCAAATTTATTTCAGCCCTAAGCTGCCACCTCCTCCACCCCTCCTTTTGAGTGTGTGTGTGTGTTTCTGTGTCAACCACTTTCAATGACCATGAAAAAAACTGGCAGGTGGATCTAAAGTTCCTAAACCTCAAGGAAACTGGGATAAAGATGGTTGGCAAGACGAACCTTGTGTATAGATAGTGAATCAAGTGCCAAGTTGTCTAATTCATGCCAGTGTTTCTCCCTTTCTGGCTGGTGGGTTATTGGCATGTGTGTCTTGGAATAAACGGCTGCCCCACCCTCCTGTGTGGATGTGGTTAGTTATTCTCCAGGAAAGCAGGAAACTCACTGCTGAGCACCTACAGACTTTCTGCTGCAGTATTTAATTTCAGTTATAAAAGAGATGGCTTATCTTGACTCAGGTTAATAGAAGCTTGTTCTTTTTTCTTTCTGAAGGTCGAATTTATAACTGTATTCTTGTCATTTTGTTTTGCAGATTATCATGGCAAAGCCAGCCGGTGGGCCCAAGCCTCCCAGCGGGAAGAAAGACTGGGACGATGATCAAAATGACTGAGGGGGTAGTTTTTGCTGTAGGTGGGATAGTAGCTGTAGTGTTCTAGGATTGCCCAATGCTTTTCTTAAGTTAAGACGTATTTGTTTTATTCTTGGCTGGATGGTGCAGTAAACATGTTGTTCTTACCAAAGTCTCACTTTTCTGATGGTCACTGTCCTTGAATCTAAGACCTGACTTGACCTTGTTACTGAACCTGGCTCAGGAACTCAATAAGTGATCAGGCCTCTTTCCAGTGTGTGTCTGGCCTGCTGCCTGTTGGTGCGTTAAGTTTTATTGGAACACCACTGTGCTCATATATTTAGACGTCGGTGCTGCTGCCCATGGGGACTGGCAGAGGGCAGTGGTTGTGACAGTGACCAGGTCGCCCAAGACGAAGATATGTACTCATCTGGCCTTGACTGGAGGTCTGCTGATTCCTGGACTCGACTTTTCAGTGGTTTTAGCACTATGAACTTGTTTCATTAGCAGTGAATGGTTTGTTGAACAGCTGGTTCATTACGTTCTAGTAGCAAAGTACAAAGAAAGATGCTTGTGATACAACTGAAAATACCCCTCCTGACGTACAAATTAAGCAAGTTTGTTTCATAAAGCAGGTCTTATTCTTCTCTAAGATTAGTAAGGTAACTGATACTATGGCGCACGTGCTCCCCTATGTGTTGGGCAACAACTTTTATAGTCTTCAGTATTCCAAAGGAATATTGGAAGCACAGGGGCTGGCTGGGACCCAGAGAAGCTCAGCGAGTGTCAGGAGTGACACCTGTGGCCACACAGCAGAGGCTGGGTGCCGGGGAAACCCTGGCAGTAGCTGCAGGGCGTCCGCGGCTGGTCCTTGCAGCTCTCAGGTTGCATTCTCAGAAACGCTGGCTGGCTGGTTTGCAGGCCCCTCGGGCATGCTGGCATAGGGGGACCTGGTACCTACTTCTCTAGTCCGTGAACGTGGCCTTGGGTTGGTGAGTTGACCGAGTGGTGCAGTCAGGCTGTACCCATGCAGCTGTGCACACCCTGGTGTCTGAGTCACACACCTTTCTGCCATGAGATTCCCACACGGAGTGAAGTTTCCGTAGCTGTCGAATATTACCTGGTGGGGTAAGGCGGTATAACTTCAAATGTTCTAAGGAATAAAACAAGTTTTGGGGTAAGTCAGTTTATTGTTGTGCTGTAACCACCACAGACACATTAGCAGAGGGCTTGATTCAGATCCTTCCAGAACCTGGAAGCAGGAATGAAAACTGCTACGACGGTGCAAAACCATGGTCCACCTGCAGGTATTTTCCCTTCAGTGCATGATTTCTTCTGGCACGGACTTAATTTTAAGTGAACGTGATTTAGCCAGTCTTTACTTGTTTATTATCATTACAGCTGTTATGGACTCAGAGTGCTCTCTCGTAGAACAGGAGGTAAGCTTGTGAGCTCAGGACCTGAGCTGTGGGCACAGCTTGCACGTGGGTGTCACTAATGTGAAACCACTGCCCTTGGGTTGGCTCCATTTCCAAGTCTGTCAAGGAAACGGAGAAGTGAGTGTGAGCAGAAAGATTCGAGTTCATTGCTTTGGTTTGTACACATATGCTAAGTACCAGAACTGTGCAGGCCTCACTCACCTTGTGGGATGTCCCCGTGGAGAACAAGATTCGACAGGTGACTGTTTGCCATCCTTGCCTTGGCATAGGCGGTGTAGTGCCCGGACCTCATGGTGCCACTGTGCTCCACGACTCCATACAGGGAGTACAGCACCCTGGTACTGTCCTCAGCGACGTTCTTTAGAAAGAGAGAGGATTCCAATGTTAGTCCCGGCACCATTAATATACAGGGAACAGCAGGACGGTCTTCACTGTGCAGAGGTCACCCATTGTCTAAACTTGACCACCTCTGCCTTCTCTGAGTCCAAGCCCACTTGTTACTGCAAGTGGCCATCGCTGTTTGCTAGAGACTTCATCACTTTCCCAGGTTTCTTCAGGAGTGTCGGGATCAGATAAATCCTAAGACCTCAACTGCTCATCCTGTTTCCTGCCTCAAAGGGAAGTTAAGCCTGACAACCCTTGGTCCTGCCCCAAACCACTGCTTACATTTCAAAACCCCACCTGGGGTTCTGGGCAGGGCCCTCTGCCTGGGGAGCCTCAGTCACCATCCGGAGAGGAGGGGTGCCGCCTCATCAGCCTGCGCGGCACTGCACGGGCCTCCAGTTGGGGCCGCTCAACCATGCCATGTTCTCACCAAGTCCTGACTGGCACCCCGCCCTTCAATGGTGCTGTACATACGCCCTTGTTCTGGTCAGCGCCCTTCTTCACTGAACCAGTGACCCTCAGCACCATCACAGCCACTCCAGTTTGGCCTCATCACTCGGAACTTCAAAATTCTTACTGAACATCTAGTCTCAGTTCACCATTCTTCTAAATCCTCACAAGACCCTCCAGCCTCATTTTCGCCTAGCCTCTCGGCCTCATCCCTAGGCAAAAGCTGTGCGATCGCTGAGCTTCAAAATGTAACAGAATAGCACCATTGAGGTTACCTGAGCGCTTATTAGAGATGCAGAATCTCGGACCTCCACCCCACGTGGCCAAATGATTCCCAGGTAGCTCACATGTACGTTCAAGTTCAAGAACATAGATCATGTGTATCATGAAGCATCTTCCACCCACACCAGCATCCAGTTCATCACAAACCCACCCAGACAGCTACTGCCAAGAAACAAAATTAGCATGTGAACTGGTAAATGCATGTGACTCTCTTCCTTGTCAGGTCTTTGGTGTGACTACCTAATCTTGTCACTTGCCCTTGGGTAGCCTTTACAGAAACTGGCCCTGACTTTCACCTCTCCCAACCACTGACTTCACCTCCACCTGCAGGACATGAAGGCTTACACCTAACTGCTGCTCAGTGCCCTTTCTCCCTGTCAGACTTCGTGTCCTCATCTTGGCCCTTCCTGCATCTTCAGGGTCTTCCCCAAACAAGTGCCTTTACCTTCTTTTGTATCTTCAATTCTAGAGTCTCCTCTTGGCCTCCAAAACTACTTAAGTCTCCCAAACTTGGGGAGAAAAAAGGTTCATGATCTGCCATTTTTCCTTTTCAACAAAGCCTATTACGTATCTACCTGCTTTATCCTCAGAATCTTCATGTCTCAACCCACTGAAGTTAGCACTTGAACACTACCCCAGTCTCCCTCATGTTCTGATGCTGAGGACAGGAGGCCTTTCCTGATAGATTCCTAATAACCTGTATTCAAACCTAGTCCCACCAAAGGCTATTACCAGCAAAAGTGGCTGTGGCCTACGAACACAATTAAATTCACTGCCCACCAGCTCTGAAACATGTTCTCGAAAACTGTTAGATTGGGAAGGAGGGATTCCTGCCATTTCCAGTTTCGTAGATGAAGTAAGACAATATGTTTACATTGACATACTGGAAACACTGCAGCCTCTCTGGCTCTCCAGCCTGACCTGAGATCGCTCCTGTGTTTGCCTCTCCCAGCTTGAACCACCTGGGCGCTGACAGCCAAATCCTTACCTGCGGCCCCAGCCCCAGCCTCGGCCCTGGGCCTCAGACATGTCCATCCAAATCCTTCACAAGCACAGCCACGTGAATGGCTCCAAAATGGCACAGACTCGTGGATCGAAAACTGAACCCCTAACCCTCCCTCCACCCACCCTTCTCCCTGGGTTTCCACCTCAATTCATAGTATTCCTTCTGTCCACACGCCCAGTCACTCAGCCAGACCCCGGAATCACAAGACCCTGCTTTCTGGGTCACCCTTAGCATCCACAGAAAGGCCTCCACCTTGTCCAGGCCAACTGACCACAAGTCTCGTTAATTTTCTCCTGCCCTAGTTTTAGCCTATCACCCACGGGCTGAATTCCCTTGCCTCTAGTCATTCCCTCCTCCAAGTCCAGCCTCCGGCTTCAGCAAGAGCCCACGTAATACACAGATCTGTGGTGACATCTTTATGTGCACCGATCTTGAACTCAGCACAGCAAACAGGTGTCCATTAATATGTTTGCTCACCTTTAGTTCTGTGCCCTTAGCTTCCAAGATAACATTCTGCCACAATAATGGGTTCAAAAAAATGTTGAACTGGAATAATAAAGCTAACATTGAAAATGATTCACCACAGATCTTGAAAGTATAAAGACAGAAATCAAAGTCTACTCTACTCAGTTAATTCTTATCAACCTCACACTTAAGCGAGTTGCTGTTGTAGGATCTGGTAAGATGGTTTCCCTTTAAAGGATTTTCCCCAACGACCCCTTTTACCTACCTTACATTTAGCGGTACAAAAAGGAGCCAAATCTAAGATTTCCGGAAATTTTATGTGTTTGTTAATTTTGCGTAGGTTAAAACCAGCCTGAAAAAGAGGAGTCATAGATTTAAGTTCTTTTGCCGCAGAAGTCATGCACGCTAAGTCAGCTGCAGCCCTTCCTCATCCAGCTCCCTCTCTCCTGACACTGACTGAGCTGGGAGTTTGCTAAGCACTGCCCCTGTCAGGAAGCTCTCAGTGGCCATCGAGAAAAGCCACATTAGACCTGCGGTCTGATGTGCAGAACAGCAACAACAGAACACTGCTCTGGGACACTCGGCCTCCACTCTGAGCCCAGTGCCACTAGGAGCCACGCCCACAGCACCCACAGCAGGGAGACATTCTGAAGGCTCCTTGGGAATTTGGAAGCGAATTTGAAACATTTCCTTCTTATAGCAAAAGTCCTCAAGGAGAGATGGAGTCACCAGTGATAAAAATCCAGTGTCTTTTTATCAAATAAGGTACCACACGCAAAACATCACTAAATTTCTTAAGTGGGACATGTAACTAGTAAACTGGTCTTTTTTTTTAAACCTAAAATTAAGGTTAGAGTAAGATGCTAATATTACTAAAAAGAGCATCATGAGTTCTGGTAAAACTGGAAAAACTGTGCTCAAGTGCCCCCACCACTTGGGTGTCACCTTCACTGACACGTGTCTCACCAGAACATGTCTCCACTGTCCTAGTTCTTCGAAGTTAGGATTAAGAAATAACAGAAAACCAAAGAAACAGTATGTTGAAACATAACAAAGCAGGTGTTACATGTTTAAAATAAATTTCAGGTGACAAGGGTACCTGCTGAAATCGCTTTAAATGAAGGGTGAGAACAGGAGGAGCAAGAGAAATTAACATCTGCTTTTTGGCATTGGTGTAAACATGTTTCTTTTCACCTAAAAAAAGAAAAAGGTATAGTGCTGTGAAAATCACTCTAGAACTCTAAAGCATTCAATCTGCTATAAAATTTCAAACACAGGCCTGACTGGTGTGGCTCAGTGGTTGAGCATCAACCCTGCACCAAGAGGTAGCTGGTTTGGTTCCTGGTCAGGGCACAAGCCCAGGTTGCAGGCTTGATCCCCAGTGGGGGGCATGCAGGAGGCAGCCAATCAATGTTGACGCTTCTCTCTCTCATTGATGTTTTTATCCTTCTCTCCCTCTCCCTTCCTCTCTCTCTAAAAAATCAATAAAAGACATTAAAAAAAATTCAAACATCAAAAGCTAGGAACAGTAAACTTTCTGAAAAGGACCAGGTAAATATTTTAGGCTTTGTGGACCAAGACAAATCAAGGATATTCTGTAAGTATATATACGTAAGATAAAAACTTCCACAAAATTTTACTTGATGGGTCCTGGCCAGTTTGGCTCAGTGGTAAGAGCGTCAGCCCACAGACCAGAGTCGTGGCCTCAATTTGGGTCAAGGTCATGTACCTTGTTCCCCTGCCCTGGTCAAGGTCGTGCGGGAGGCAACCAATTGATGTCTCTCTCTCTCTTCCCCCCTCCCCCCCCTCCTTCCCTCCCTCCTACTGTATCTGAAGATGGATGGAAAAGTATCCTTGGGTAAGGATTAAAACAAATTTTACTTGATGAAATTCAAAATATAATAAAAAATGATTAGGTTTACCAAAAAAAAGAATGTAATCACTAATGGAGAGATAACACTTAACATTAATTGGGTTTCAAAGTTAGTGTTTTCTACCATAAAATCATTTTCCAATATTTATGTATAAAAACCATTTCAGCCATACACAAACAGGAGGCCACACCAGGACCTCACACTGCATCTCCCCCTTCAGCACCTGAGGAATTAAAGTGCGGCTTCCGGGGAGCAAAGGAGGCGAAGCCAGCTCAGTGCTGGTGGAAAACTAAGGAAGCAGAGCAGCTGTTACTACCTGTCAGGGTCCTGCTCTGGTAACAGGCCAGGGGACGATTTACCCACAGGGAAGGTGTCCACGGGCAAACTGCTGGGAAGCCACTCCAATAGTCAGGCTTCTGCATCCTTCTCTAGAGTATGTGCATGGAAGAGGTCCTGATACAATCAGAACAGGAGTGCCCCAAACTAAGTCTGCTTCCTGAGGGCCCTGATACCTTTCAGGCTCGCCTGGGGTGCGCTGAGCTGTCTCCGGGTGCACACTTCACACAGCAGTTTGTTTGCATCTCGGAGCTGCTCATTCTGGGTGAACTGATACAGACAGTGTTGTATGGAACCCTCGTCAACACTGGATGCTTCCCTGTTCGCAAGAGCACAGAACGCAGTTTCTGGGTCCTGGTTCACAAACTCACACACCGTGGTCTCGGGTGCGGGGCTGCCATTCAGAATCTTCAGATGTATTTCATCAGGGTGAAGAACAGCATCCAAGTTCAGGTTCCTAAAACCCCTTGAAATATCCGCTTCCCCGCCACCCTCCTCTTCCAAGCAGGCGCCGTTGAACTTCCCCAGACATTCGGTGGGAGAAGACGACACAACCTCTAGGTCATTATCCATGCTGACATTTTCCATATCTACGTCCTCTTTGCATTTCTGACTGTCAGGTACACTTTCTGTCATTTTTTCTTGGCCATTCAAGTCTTTCTGACTAACACAGTATTCTTTATTTATAACTTCCTCTTGCGAGATATGGTCCGATTTAATGTCCACTTCTTCCTGAATTGACATTTCAACCTCACATTCATTGTCTTCAGGATGGTCAAAGGTATAGATATCACTAAAATGAAGAACTTTTCCTTTATTTTTTTGTTGCCTTCGCTGGTTCTGTGTAAAAAGCATAAAACATTTTTTTAATCAAGAGAGAGGAAGAGAAAGAGCAGACATGTACATCAGATTCTCTTGCTTATTAATAAAAAATAGGTAAGTTGATAAGGAAGAGTTCATTCCCAGAACTGATCCTAAAAGTTCATTTACTATCAGAAATCAAACAAATTATGCGGAAAAGTTCTTTAATTGAAAGCAGGAATAAATCATCACCAATCATCAAACAACTGTCACAATGGGGCAAATAAAACTGTGCAGGATGCAGTGTCTGTTTTAACAGTGGTCCAGGCTGAGAATCCGACTGGTACACCCTGGAGTGACCTTGACGACACTCCTAGCTTGGGTTGAAGCTGTACTGAGAGCGAGTACAGGGCTGCTGTGGACAGGATGGAGGAAAATATTCCGGGACAAATGGCCCCAAGTCAAGGAAGAAGCAAAGAAGTCACGAGTGCAGAAAATAAAGAACTTTCCACTTGCGTCTATTTCCAAGCAGAGGGGAAAAGGCATTTCTTCAAGAGTCCTGCCGGGAGACGCGGGTCAACATCTGGGCTGTAACTGCAAGGAGAGGCCCGGAGGCTGATGGGACAGCAGAGGCCAGAGGGCAGCACTCAGGGTTCACACGTTCTTCAGTAAGAGAAGTTACATGTGAGAGGTGAGTGGGGTGCAGAGGTCTGACAGAACCGTGCCACTGAAACCCACATAATCCTATCAACCAAGGTCAGCCAAATAGATTCAGTTAGAAAAAAGAAAAGTGGAGAAAATATAAGCACATACTCTGACAGAAACATAAATGACTCTTAAACATAAAATATGCTTAACTTCATTTACATTAAAATATATGGAAAATAAACTGCACTAAATTACTGTTTTCCATCATCAGATGGCAGAAATTCGGAAGTTTGAGAACACACTGCTGTTGAGAATAAGGAGAAGCAGCAAGTCTCACGTTGCTGGTGGGAATATAAATGGGCACAATCTGTGTGGAGGACAATTAGGTAATAGTTATTAAGTTGGCAAACACAATCTTCTCCTCATGTGTGCTCATTACAACGTTTTAGTCAACAGGCCACATGTACCACAGTAGCCCCATAAAATAACAAAGCTGAAAAATTCCTATCATCTAGTGAGGTCATAATAAAAAGGTAGGAAAAATCACCAAGGCCATGATTGAGATGGCAAACAACTTTACCCTGGGTGTGGAAGAGGATGGCATTGAGGGGATCCTAGACGTGGTCCCTGAGGAACTGGCCAATGAGGAGGTGTTGGAACTGAAACAGGAACACATAACTTGAGAAGCAGCAGGAGAAAAAGGGACCCAAGAAAATTCACAGTGACGGGCTGAGCAAAAGCTTCTGCAGAACCCAGCACGCTCCTTAGAGAGTCTGAAAGCATGGAGCCAGCACTGAAAGATGTTCATTAACACAGAGGAGGGCTCACAGTGTGCCACCTGCTCACAAGCCAACCTGATGGACAATCGATCAATCAATAAATCAATCCAACCACCAGAGACGTGTTTCTGAATAGAGTGCCACCCCTCAAGAACCTCAGGCAGGTCCTGCAGGAGACGTTCCAGGAGGAGGCGCTGTCACCGTGGGACGCGGCAGCTCCCTGTGTCGCTGTCCCTGAAGTACCTCCAGTGGGACCGGTGGGGAGGAGGGAGAGAGATTCCGATGATCCTGACCCTGTGGGGCCCAGGCTGGTGTGTGTGGTGGTGTTTGGTTTTTCATTTATTTTTTTTTTTTTTTTTTTTTTTGAAAGCAGCAAACATTTTATTATTATTATTTTTTATCCTCACCCGAGGACATTTTTCCATTCTTTGTTCAGGTAGAGTGGGAGGGAGAGAGAGGAACAGAGAGAGAGAGAGAGAAACATCAATGTGAAAGGAACACATCGAGTGGCTGCCACCCGCACAACCGACCAGGGCTGGGAACAAACTGCAACCGAGGTACGTGCCCTTAGCGGGAACCGAACCCGGGTCTCTCAGGACCGCAGGCCGACGCTCTAACCGCTGAGCCAAACCGGCCAGGGCGGTTTTTCATTTATTGATTTTTGTCAATCCTCACCTGAGGATGTTTTCCATTGATTTTTAGATAGAGTGGAAGGGAGGGAGGGAGGGAGGGAGAAAGAGAGAAATATCGACTTGAGAGAGACACATCAATTGGTTGCCTCCCACACAACCCCAACCAGGACCCAGGCCTGGGGACCAAACCACAACAAAGGGACGTGCCCTTGACCATAATCGAATCCATGACATTTTGACCTGTGGGCCGACGCTCCAACCATTGAGCCACACTGGCCAGGGCCGTGCTTACTTTCACGCTGCATTTTCCCGCACCTCTCCTATGCTTACACAGGCTCACAGACACAAGTGCCCTGCAGTGCTCGGAGCAGGGATGTGCTGCAGAGACCATCGAGGGCTGTGAAGCACACTCTATGGCATCTGCACATTGCAGTGGCCCACGGACTCCATTCTCAGAATGTACCCCTGCCGCTACGCGAAGCATAGCTGCTCAGTTATTCACTGTGGCACGGGCCATCATAGCAGAATGCCAACAACCTGAACCACAGAGAACCGGCAAAGTGATCTCGGTGCATCGGGAGATGGACTACTGTGCAACTGGCCCTGTGTCCTAAAGTGAAAAGATCTTCAAGAATCTAGTAGAAACAAACAAAAAACCAAGGCCCCAAACCATGCGTCTAATTTTTTTTTTTGATACGTGCCCCTAGCCACTAGGGCATAGCGGGAACTGAACCTGAGACACTCTGGTCTGCCTGCCGACACTCCAATTGCTGAGCCAAACTGGCCAGGGACCATGTGTCTAATTTTTAAAAGAAGATAAAAACATACTTCTACTCAATCATACCTTTTTCCAAAAGACACTGGAAAGGACACATGAGCTTGTGAATTGGTTATCAGTGTCATACACGTCCAGGGGTCCAGGGGACTTACAGTGTACACGTTAATATATATATATATATTTTTTAATATGATTTTATTGATTTTTTTTTTTAGAGTGATGAAGGAGAGAGATAGAAACATTAATGAGAGAGGAACATCGATCTGCCTCCTGCACGCCCCCTACTGAGGATCAAGCCCAAAACCTGGGCATGTGCCCTGACCGGGAATCGAACCGGGGACCTTTCAGTGCATGGGACATGACATTCAGCCAACTGAGCCCACCGGCCAGGGCTCACATGAATATATTTTTAAAGTTTGAATATCAATGAAGAAATAACTCAGAAATGTTAAAAATGAACTAAACTTTTTTTAAGCTGTCACAAGTAATGCAAGGATTTTTTTTTTTTTTTATCCTCACCCGAGGACATTTTTTCCAATTTTTGTTCAGACAGAGTGGGAGGGAGAGTGAGGAAGAGAGAGAGAGAGAGAGAGAGAGAGAGAGAGAGAGACATCGATGTGAAAGGGACACATTGAGTGGCTGCCACCCGCACGACCAACCAGGGCCGGGGACAAACCGCAACCGAGGTACGTGCCCTTAGCGGGAACCGAACCTGGGTCTCTCTGGACCGCAGGCCGACGTTCTAGCCACTGAGCCAAACCAGCAGGGGCATAATGCAGGTTTTTTACAAAAGCACCACCTTTCCTTCACATGTCCCGGAAGAAACTCCCAGCAGAGCACACTGAAGGAACACACTCTGCCAGGTCAAAGTGCTGTGCAGGAAACGAGACATGTCTACCATGACAATCTGACTTCACACTCAGTAGTTCAAAGTACAGAATCAGACCAGTGTGGTCTCCTCCTCTCCCTCACCTTGGCTTGCTTTCTGGCTTGCTTCTTGGCTTTCTTCTGTGAGTGCTTACTTGTTCCCGACGGGATATCATTTCTTTCTTTTATGTAACTGTCGTTATCTTTTTCTTCCTCGCTGTCGTTATCTTCTTTCTCCATTGTCTTTTTCAGGTTTTTATCATTTATACTTTTCTTACCACTCTTAAAATATGAAAAGAGTATGGACCAGATAAAATTTTACAACTACTATTAGGTGAAGAGATTTCACATTACCCAAATATTTTTCTACTCCTACTGTACACTAATTTACTTTCCATAATGTTTGATAACATATCCAGGACAAAATTCGTCCACCTCAGATACCAGAAAGCAGTCTTCACCTCCTGAAACCCGCCCCACACACACACACACACACACCACGCCAGTGCCAGTGCCAGAGAAGGAGCTGACAGACTGCATCAGACACACAACACATCACGGTGCAATTCTGTCTGTTACCAACTGCACCTTCTGTTCACACGTGATTTAATTGTCCCAATACAGACATTTCTTTTATTCATTTCTCTCTTTGCAAGTAAATGGCAGTTTTGGAGAAAGAGAAAATAAATTTGTAAGACTTTAATCACTAAATAACAGTGATTAAAGGGGCCTCTAATTCACATTAAGTTGATTAATGATTTATCCAAAATTCAAACATTTTCTTTTCTCCTGCTACTGCTAGGAAACAAACTAATCTGGCTGAAAACTAAGACAGTCCTCATCAGCATTTAGGAACTTATAACTGTAAGGGATTTGTCGTTAGTCTTAAGTAATGAAAATAAATACTAACTTTTAATATAAGGAAAATAAGTCCCTACATATAAACTAATATAAACTATAAAGAATTCCAAAAACACCATTAAAAAAAAAAGTATTTACCCCATTCTTTGTTCAACTATTTACAATTCTTCTATCTCGAATAAGCTAAGAAAAAGTATCCATGGGATAGTAATGTACAAACTTGGAAAAGGTGACAAGGTTTCCCCATAAAATCTAACACAGCAAAAAAAAAAATCTACTTAAATAAAATGAACTCAATAGTCTTACCTGATCATCTAAAACTGGTAGAGACAAGTCAAGGAAAGACTCATGAACCAAGGAGACCTTAACCAACCAAAAAAGAAAACATGAAGGAAGGAAAAGATTCGCTGTGAACATTATATAGTAAGATCACGGGGTGGGGGTGGGTTTAAGCTTTAAAATAAAGGCTAAAGAAAACGAAACAAAAAACAGCACTGAGAACTCTGGGTTAGGGAAACTAAACAATGTCAAGAGTGGTCACAGGTCCAGCAAAGAGCTGTGCACACTTGGGTCATTCCACAGTGTCTGATGGAGCCAGACCTTTCTGTTTTGAAAGCAACAACTGGCCGACTGCATCTATGGACTGAACCACCCAGCACGACCTGGACTCACCGTTCTGCATTCGTCACACATGATCGTACTAGTCAGTTCACCACCAAAGATGCGGTCCACAAAACTTGGCACTGACTTTTTCTTTTCATAATCTATATAGGGGAAAAGTATGTCAATTACACTTGTAAACTTAACTAAATAAGCTAAAACTACTTACTTAACCTCTCTAACCCTAAAATGGTTTTCATTTTCCTATCTCAGACTGTGTTTCTCTACTCATAATTACCGTAACTTTATTTTAATGCTACAGTGAGCCACACACACTGCACTTCTGAGCATAATAAAATGTACACGCATCACATCTCATGAGAAAGGAGAAGTTCTCATCTGAGATCCAGCCAGTGGAACAAACTGCGAGCCCCCCATGAAAGGAGCAGACGGCGAGGCTGGACAGCCTCACGCTCACTCCAGCCCCAGCAGTCTGATGCTCGGCAGAAACGGGAGATAACGCATGTAACTTGCTTTGTGAACTCCAAAATCAAAATAGAACAAAACAAACAAACAAACAAAACCCTTCAGGAAAATGTTTCAGACAAAATTCTCCTTTAATTTTCCTATATTCCAGAAATAATCTTGATAAATTTAGTATAAGGTAACATGATTTTACTCCCTGATCATCCCTTTTTCTAAATACATGAATCTACATGCTTTATTCAAATAACATGTCAACTTATACAGTAACACATTTATGACAGTGACAGCAGGAGAGACTCCCTGTTACCAGCAAGGCCCTAAGGTGCCAAAGAGGCAAAGAGCTGCTACGTGCTAACTCTAAAGTATGGTACACATAAAGTAGCCACTAGTCCCCTGTGGCCATCGAAACAATTAAAATTAACTGAAAACAAAGATGAAGCTCCTCAGGTGCATCAACCCCACTGAAGGCTCAGCGGCAGCCTGTGGCAGTGCGCCTGCAGCTGGCAGAGGAAATCCATCATCGCAGAGGGCCCCACGAGATGGATTGATCCAAACTCTACACGCCACAAACGGTAAGAAAGAAGTTGGCTCCATGATTAATAACCCAGCTACTGACAACTCACACAGACAAGTGTGATTCATTTATCATTGCTAAATGGAAGTCGAAACTTTTGAAAAATAAAATTGTGATGTCATCTTAGATCTAATTCTGTAAATTTCACTATGATGTTGCACAGAAAGAATACACCAGAAGTAAATTCCTCTAGAACACCCGTCTCTGCAGGGCTGAGCAATGTGCGGAGACAGTGGTGTAAGCAGCGGTGGGTGGCGGTGGCAGGCACAGTGCGGGGCAGCGCCGCCCTGGGGTTCAGGGGTCAACCACAGCGTTTAGTTCAAAAAGTCAGACATTACCTTTAACTTTATTTTTTAGTTCTTCATCCAATTTTTCAGTAGAATTACCAAATGCTTTAAGAATTCCTTTACTCACTCTCTAAAAGTAATAAAATGAATATATGCATACTATTAAATTTAAAATTTTATAATTATTTTCCTTAGAAAATATGTGATCAAGTCAAGAAAGTGATCAAGAATTAGCTCACCAAATTTACTGAATAAAAGTTAATATTTCTAAAATCACATTTTCAAAATTAACTCAAGAAGCTAAAAAGAATTATACTTAACCCATGAATAAAGGCACTGTCTTATAATTTCAAGATTTTAACCTAGTCAAACCAAATCTTTTCAGAACATGCCCATCTCCTTTGGAGAGACCACTGAAATACCATGTCCTAGAGACAGAATGGCTACACAAGAGCTACAGGGACAGACTCTAGCACTGACAGCCCGGCATCATCCTCACTGGTGACCTTGAACCAGGCGCTGAAGCTCCAGAATCTAGGAGTGAGGGAATGATAACAGCGTCCACCTCGAAGAATGGTTGTGAAAACTGAGTATAGTCATTCATATAAAATATTAAGAACAGTGCTTGACATAAACTAAAAGCAAAATAAATATCAGTTGTTATCACATTATTACTATTATTGATTATAGACACATCCCCAAATACATTACTTTCCATCCTACAATTAACGAATGTTCCCTGACTCATACAGAATGAGTGACTACACGGTGGGTCCTCACTTAACGTTATCAGTAGGTTGTGACTTTAAGCAAAACGACATATAATGAAACTAATTTCACCATCAACTCATTGATATAAAGAAGAGTTAAGGCCCAGCCAGTGTGGCTCAATGGTTGAGCTTCGACCCTGCACCAAGAGGTCGCCAGTTTGATTCCCAGTCAGGGCACATGCCCAGGCTGTGGGCTGGATCCCCAGTGGGGGGCGTGCAGAGGGAGGCCAATCAATGTTCTCTCTCATCAATGTTTCTCTCTCTCTCCCCCTCTAAAAATCAATAAAGAAAAAATATAAATTAAAAAAAGAAGAGTTAAGTGCTAAGGCATTTCATCAATGCTATAACAAAACAACATCATTCATTATTCAAGGACCACTGTGCTTCCCAGATTCGAAAGCTGTGGGAAGTCACACTCAGAATCACAGGGAGGGCTCTGCGGCTGGGAAATGTAGCTCTTGGGGTGTGGGCCGGGACAAGAGAACCCTGAAGAACAGTGATGCTAGAAATGTCACGCAAAATAGAGCATCATAAAAAGGAGAATCATTTCACTCTAATGACTAAAATATATTGGCTGAAAAGGCTGATGCAAAAAATTTTTTTTCAATGCAATGGCCTCAGTAACTAGTTTTCATTGCTTTAATACCCCTTAAGATACCAAATGACAGACGAGTCAGTGAGACGAAGTTACAAATATGCTCACTTGGTGCTCTTCCGCTCTCATTCCATCCAACAAATATCGGAGCAGCTCCTGGCTGTCTTGCTGCTGATAGCCTTTAAAGCGCACTGCTCTACAGAAAAAAAATAAAGGAAAAAAAGAAAAGCAACAGTGAGTCTACTAAAATACAAAACTTTTTCACAAAATTTTAAAATCATAGCTCCAATCTTGAAGTGTTGTAGTTTCTCAAAATTCCTGTTTAGTCCAACACTCGGCAGAGCTCACTTTCACCTAAGTTAAGGAGGCTTCAGTGTATGCACGGGATTGGCGCGAGTGCTATGGGCTTCCACAGCCTTTCTCAGCACTGACTGGGGCACTGAGGCACCAGCCACACGGATACTCACTTCTTACAGACCTGGGAAAAGAGCTCCTTCGGTGTCACGACTCCTTTTTTGGTCTCTTGCATCTCGCTGAGAAACTGGCTCATGGCCAACGTAAGAGGGCCCGGAGGCTCCAGGTTGATTTCCAAAGGCTCCTGAATATGAGAACAAAAGACACTTCCTTCATTCCAGTTCTGGAATCATTCATTTTAGCAAACTGTACCTAGTCACCCTACACTGCCAATATGCCTGACAGGGCTGTCCACCTAAAAGTTCAAAATGCAGGCCTGGCTGGTTTGGCTCAGCGGTTAGAGCGTCAGCCTGCAGTCCCGAGGGACCCGGGTTCAGTTCCCGCTAAAGGCATGTACCTCGGTTGCAGTTTGTCCCTAGCCCTGGTTGGGTCGTGTGGGTGGCAGCCACTCGATGTGTCCCTTCACGTCGATGTTTCTATCTCTCTCTCTCTCCCTCCCACTCTATCTGAACAAAAAAATGGAAAAATGTCCTCAGGTGAGAATAAAAACAAAACAAACAAACAAAAAAGTTCAAATGCATATCAAAAGATGTAGAACACACACAAAAAATTTTTTTTAAAAAGATGTAGAACACTTCTTGTCAAAGACTATTTTACAAAGAATTCAGTTCTACTGTTTTAGTTGTAGATTATCAAGAACTTATACTGCCCTGGCTGGTTTGGCTCAGCGGTTAGAGCATCGGCCCAAGGACCAAAAGCACCAGGTTCGATTCTAGCCAAGGGCATGTGCCTCGGCCGTGGTTTGTCCCCGGCCCCAGTTGGGATTGTGCAGGTGGCAGCCAGTCGATGTGTCTCTCTTGCATTGATGTTTTTTCTCTCTCTCTCTCTCTCTCCCCCTCCCAATCTGTCTCAAGATAAATGTAAAAATATTCTTGGCTGAAGATAAAAAAAAAAAAAAGGAACTTATACTACCTAAGAAGCAAAACATCTAAAGCAAAAATTATGGTAAAATTTATTTGGCTACACATTTGTAGGCCAAGGACTTCACAAATATCCACAACATTCCCAAGAAAGAAGCTAAACACTGGAATATAGCAGGCACGGCAAAAAAATAGCAAATAAATGTGAAGGCTTGTACTTTCTACTGGTCTGAAGTTATTTAACTTGGTAGCCTAAAATAAAACAGACAATGTGAAAATGAATACCAATGCTTTAAAATATGGATATTCACAGAAGAAAATTACTGATTATAAAGAAAATGTTAAAGTACATACTGTTAGTGCCAAGTCAGGTGGTTCAATTTTCACAATGGTTCCAGACATTTTTACTTCTTTTAGTAGTTCTCTAAGCACTGGTGTCTGTGACAAATTCTGGAATGTAGGATGGAAGAAGAAAGTCACCTAAAGACAAATCAATCCACTCTACCAAGAAGGGCACCACCACACTGCGACCTTCATCGTCACCATCTGGGAGACAAGCACTGGGCGCTGTCCGCCCTGGTACACACTGCTCCTGGGAGGCTCTCGCCCAGCACCCAGCCTCCATGGCTCTCGCCCCACCACCTTCCCACTTGTAACGAGAGGTCTGTTTCTGGACTGGGTTAGCCCATGACCTCCCCGCCAAGGGCAAGTTCTGAGGGCTGGGGTCGCGTTTGTTCTGAGCCTTATTGCACCCTTCAGCACAGTGTTTTTTAGTGGCATGCAAAGTAAGCATTTCCTTGAGTTTTCTTTGAAAACAAATAAATTACTTAGGGGGAAAGCTCAACACCACGAGTAGCAAAGATGGAGACACTAGCAGCTGCGGGAGGACATGGACACTACACCTGCATGACCGCGTTGAAGAAGCACGTGTTCCCCAAGTTACTGAGCCCCGTCACAGCGATCTGAGAAGTGTATTTCACAGGCGCGTCTTTGGCCAGGTTTTCCTTTTTTTCTCTCTCCTGTTCATTTTTACTCTCCTTTTCTAACTTTTTATTTTCAAGTTCAATGTTACCATTATCTTTTGCTGCTTTAGGAAAAAAAGAAGAAAACATGATTTAGCAATAAATAAAAAATATTCAAAACTGATGTATTAGTCCTACAAATGAAACCAAACAGGATCCTTTTTAGCACAAACCCCTCTGTTAATGCACAAAAGGTTTTTACAAGTGAGCACACCTTACCTGTGAAACTGGAGTACAGAGCAATCAAGTAAAGAGTGTGGACACGAAATAAAATTTATGAATTCCGTGGGTCAAAAACGAATCCTGAAGTTAGGAGCAAACAATTCTGGCTCTGTCAAAGATACTTCTGTGATTGTAAAAATCTGAATAAGCTTAAAGCTAAAGATGCATACCAACTAATTAATTTAATTATGCTTAAAAAAATACCTGAGAAGTATCTGGCTTTGTAAGGACTTACAAGTACTTTACTTCTATATCATCCAAATGAAAATTCCGTCTAGAGCAGGTCTCCCGTAAGTCCCTGTGCAGGGCATGGGAACAGGCACGACTGCTCAGCACTTAGTCCAGAGTCTTCATCGCATCTGACTAGATTATTTCTCAGATTTCCCTCTAATTCTAACACCTTAGAATGATCTGTATTTTCAGTTTTACATCGTTAAACCAAAAAGTTTTATAGTTTAAAATCAACCATAATTAATGTCATTCAGCTACATGCAATGTTGGCTAGTACAGCGAATTACTACCAGTAGATATATAAATCAACATTATGGTGTATAGTAAGAAACCAATGATTTGTTTTACCTGATCCTGGAGTTGTAACACAGGCTTGTTTCCTAACATAATCAACCACCTGACCCAATCGGCTTGAACCACAATACTGGACCTCATCATCACATAGGTAACACCTGTGCCCAAAGACCACAGAGAAAACAAGTGAAAAACTGACAACCAAACAGAAGACAGACTATAATTCCTGGAATCCAAAATGCATAACCATCAAATTATTCTACTAAAGAAAATGAAAACAAAGCACGTAACTTTTCTTGAAGAAGACTGTCCTTGTCAACTCTGATTTACTGTTATTAAGATAAACCCAAGTTATAACTACATTTAAATACTGTGGAAAACAAACAAACAAACAAACAAAACAAAACCTCAAACATTGTACTGAAATGGCTACTTGTCACTTTAAAATCAAAAGTTTTCTCTATACATATTTCAAAGTACAAACCTACATCATCAAAATTAACACATTTTAGCCTGGCTGGTGTGGCTCAGTGGTTAAGCATAGATCCAAGAGGTCACTGGTTCGATTCTGGGTCAGGGCACATGGCCAGGTTGTGGGCCCAATCCCCAGTGTGGGGCGTGCAGGAGGTGGCCCATCGACATTCTTTCTCATCAATGTTTCTCTCTCTCTTTCCCTCTCCCTTCCTCTCTCTAAAATCAATAAAGAAAAAATATTTTTTAAAAAATTGACATATTTTATAATTCACAGAGTTCAGTAAATAGTTTTAAAGATGTGAAAATTTGTTTTAATGATGTTAAAATACAGTTGGCCCTTGTTTATCACGGTTAATCAGTTCCAGACTCTACCGCGATAAATAAATTTCTGCAAAGTAGGGTTCTTTATTTATATACAGTTGTCCCTCGCCACTTTGCACTTCGACTTTCATGGGTTCGATAATGAAGCCACGAAAGTCAAAGCATGAAGTGGCAAGGGACAGCTGTATAGGACATATACACACCAGCCTGATATCTATTTTCATGCAAATTTACTGCCAAAGTTTTACTGTGTTCTCCGTTTTTCTGTAATTTGTTCTTAGTGTCCCAATTTTTAAGCTAAAAACAACCTACCGTATTTACAGTATCACAAGCAAGAGGAAAGGATGAAGGCCCCTAAGTCTCCTACATGCTACAGTTTCTGTGCTTGTACAATACTAAGCAAAAGCTTCTCATGACATCACATTCTCTAGCCTTAGGAAAGTGATGGATTTAAACATATACAAAAATTTTAGCTTTTTAGCACCTTAAATATTCCAAATACCTTCATTTTCCAGTATCGGAAACAATCCCTCATGAATGGAAACGGAAGCTGAAACTCACCACACACTCCAGTTGTCCAGGCTGAGGACCAGACAGTGGGGCTCAGACCGCGGTGTCAGATGGTGCTTCAAAGCATGCTGCTCCTGTGAGTCCCTGCCGCAGCCCTAGGGAAGCATCGGCATAAGTCTCAAGGCCACAGAAATTCACCCAGAGAGGAAAGAATTCATAATCTATAATGAACAAGGAAGTGCCTCAAGAAATTCTGCCATTCTTACAATTTTGAAAATAAAATGTTGGACTCTAAACCCGTTCCAGTACCGACAAAACAAAGCTAATGCAGTCATTCACTAGGTCTAGTTTGGACTCCATATCGACTTCCTAAACAGTATTTTCCCAACCTTTCTTCACATACGTATTATTTTAGTTTAATGTTCCTAAAACAAAGCTCTGTTGATATACTCAATTCAAAAATTATAAATTGCTCTTAAACGTCTAGTCAACTACCCGAATCTTCCTCTCCAGGATTAAGCCCCGTCCTCCTCCTGTCTGTGCATCATCTACCAGCCAACACTCAGCCCTTCAGATCAGTGCCGTTGTGTCCCCATTGTCCCTTTTGTCTTGGAACCCTTTCTCAATGCTGCCACTGAGCAAATCCCACCCCGCCTTCAGGATCTTCCTCCAAGGCTCCCTCCTCTCAGAAGAATTATGCTTATCCTCCAAGGTGAAAAAAAAAAATGTTGTTCCAGTAAATACACTCCTACTAAATATATAAGTGTATTCTATATTTCCACCATATTTGTGAAATATGGTGGCATTCCTTATTTTATACCTTATGTTGAAGTTGTTAATGTTTATACCTAGTATCCTGTGAACTATAAACCCTGAAGGCACAATGAATAAGTTAATCCTTCTATTATAAAAAATAACTAGCAAAGGAAGGTCAACAAACATTAATTCAACAAGTAAATAAGAGATTTTTACCTACAAGATCTAAAGTCTTATTTGTAAAAGAACACAATGAGGTTCCTGCCTGTAGCTGGTGAAATCACCGCAAAGAAACACATCTGGACTGTACACCTGTCTGAACCAGGCTGCTCTCGGATGCCTGCACTGCAGCAACGTGTCCTGTTTCCAGTGCAACTAAAATACACTGTGGAGGGGAAGTACTTGCCAGGGCTTCTGATTCTTAAAGTATGATATGAAGCCCTACTGATTTAATTAATCCCACTCAATATTTCATTCTAAAATGAATTAAATTTGAGCCCTGGCCAGTTTTGCTCAGCGGTTAGAGCGTCAACCCGCGGACCAGAGAGTCCAGGGTTCGGTTCCCACTAAGGGCATGTATCTCGGTTACAGTTTGTTCCCGGCTCTGGTTGAGGTCGTGTGGGTGGTAACCAGTCGATGTGTCTCTCTCACATCAATGTTTCTCTCTCTCTCTCTCTTCCTCCCTCTCCCTCCTGTTCTATTTTTTTTTTTTTTTTTTAAATCCTCACCCGAGGATATTTTTCCATTTTTTGTACAGATAGAGTGGGAGGGAGAGAGAGGAAGGGAGAGAGAGAGAGAAACATCGACGTGAAGGGACACATCGAGTGGCTGCCACCCGCACGACCAACCAGGGCCGGGGACAAACTGCAACCGAGGTACATGCCCTTAGCGGGAACCGAACCCGGGTCTCTCCGGACCGCAGGCCGACGCTCTAACCGCTGAGCCAAACCGGCCAGGGCTCCTGTTCTATTTTTAAAAAATTAAATAAAATGAATAAAATTTGATAATAATTTTGAGAATTATAATACTTTTGGAGATCAGCTGAAACATAGGAATGAAATGAGTTGTATTAAGATAGCTGATGAGAATCACTTGCTAACAGTGCAAGAGAACTACAGTGGGACAAGCAGTAATCATTAACACTGACAGTAGGAATTTAAAAGGTAGCAAAATAAATAAAGTGTATAAAAGAAGCATATTCTGGAAAACTTGAAGTAGCAAAATATATTCATTCTCACCATATGTATTTAAGACATTCAATGAAAACCTTTCAAATACAAAAAAGTAAATATGTTCTTTGCTAACAATTTTTAAAAAATTGACCATGACGAGATGTCAATATTCACCTATCAGAATGGCTAAAAACGGGAAAACTGTACTATACTAAATGCTGCAAGGATGCAGGGAAAGTGCATCACTCATACACTGCTAGTAGGAATATAAAATGGCTCAGCCACTCTGGAAAACAGTTAATTATCACAAGTCCCAGCAACTGTCCTCCTGAACACTTCCTCCAGAGAAATGAAATCTTAAATTCACATAAATACTTGTACACAAATATTCATAGCAGCTTTATTCATAACTGCCAAAAAAATGGGATCAGCCCAGACATCTGCAAAAGGTGAACAGTCAAACAGTGATAAAATTATACCATGGCCCTGGCCAGTTTGGCTCAGAGGTTAGAGCGTCAGCCCACGGACCAAAGACCCGGGTTCGGTTCCCGCTAAGGGCATGTACCTTGGTTGCACTTTGTCCCTGGCCCCGGTTGGGGTCGTGTGGGTGGCAACCAGTTGATGTGTCTCTCTCTCTCTCTCTCTTCCTCCCTCTCCCCCTCCCGCTCTATCTAAGGATACATGCAAAAATGTCCTCGGGTAAGGATTAAAACAAACAAAAAAAACTATACCATGAAATGCCACTCAGAAATAAAAGGGAACAGATTAGTGATACACCTGGATGTATCTTTGGTGATTATGTAAGAGAAAAAGCAAATTCCAAAATGTTGTATACTGTCTGGTTTCATTTATATAACATTTCTTAAATGACAAAATTTTAGTTTGGCCAGGGTGGCTCAGTGGTTGAGCATCAACCCATGCACCAAGAGGTTGCCAGTTGACTCCTAGTCAGGACATACGCCGAGGTTGTGGGCCCGATCCCCAGTAGGGGGCATGTAGGAGGCAGCCAATCAATGTTCTTGCTCATTGATGTTTCTATCTCTCCCTCCCTCTCACTTCCTCTCTCTAAAATCAATAAAAGAAAAAAAAAGTTAAAAAAAAAGAACAAAAAAAGTTTAAAAAAAACAACAAAATTTTAGAAATGGCAAACAAACTAGTGGTTGCCGGGGGCTGAGGAGAGGGAGGGCAGGAGGGAAGTGAGTGAGGTCATAAAAGGGCACCAGAGAAATCCATGTGATGTTAGAACCAATCAGCATCTTAACATTGGTGGTAGATATAGAAGTCTCTCTCTCTCTCTCTCTCTCTCTCTCTCTCTCTTCTCTCTCTCTTTCTCTCTCTCTCTGTCTTGAAAGAAGTAAAACTCGGGAGATCTATTTAAGATTGATAAACTGGCCCTGGCTGGTTTTGCTCAGTGGTTAGAGCATCGGCCCAAGAACCAAAAGGTTTCAGGTTCAACTCCTGGTCAAGGGCACGCACCTGGGTTGCAGGTTCAATCCTGGCCCTGGTCAGAGTCATGTGGGAGGCAACCAATCAATGTGTCTCACTCATATCGATGTTTGTTTGTTTTTCTCTCTCTCTCCCTTTTTCTCTCCTACTCTATCTAAAAATCAGTAGAAAAATACCTTCAGGAGAGGATTAACAAAAACATAAAAATAAAAATAAAAGTAAAAAAAGATCGATGGAGTGTATCAATGTTAACATACTGGCTATAATATTACATTAGTTTTGTAAAATGTTACCACTGGAAGGAACTGGGCAGAGTGTACAGAGATTACCTCTGTATTATTTCCTACACTGCATGTGAGTCTATAATTATCTCAATAAAATTTCAGTTTAAAGGACAATGAAAAAAATGGTCTCTGCCTCATCCTCAAGCTTCCTGACCAGCCTGGCTAGAAGCCCAATTTCCTAACATATAAACCTAACTTGCCACCCCTGAGGGTGACTAACACACCCTGACTTCTAGCGCTATGGCACACCTGTGAGCTGTTCTGCCATCCAGATACCCCTGCCCACAAGACCATGGTGCTCCTCCCGGCTGCCAGGAGAGCGGCCTGCTCACAGCTTACAGCTCAGTCTGTCCATCCCAGGAATGATCCTAAGAAAAAGGGAGCTGCCTTGCTAAGGGTAGTCGCCCATCCCCAGGGGCAGCCCACATCCGAGGACTGGTCTATGCACAGGACCAAGGCCACAGCTCCTCCTGAGACCAGCGGAAGCCTTGCAGCTCTGCTTCTTCGCTCTCTCTCTGCCTAACCCTGCCTCCCTCATTCTTTTCCTGGTGAGAACACATCCCAGTAAACCACCTAAATCCTGACTCTTAGTCTGACTCTTAGTCAGGGGGCAAGACCTGTGCTAGCTGGCACCCTGTTTACCATCCTTCTACAACAAGTTCAGAGAGCTTACAGAATTCCACATTGATCTAAATCTAAGCATACCTGATGGCCACATTTAAGACACAGCCAGACTGAAGGGTTTTCTTCTGTTTCTTCTTCAGATTTATCTTTTACTTTGTTGTCCGTCTTACAGTCTTGGCAGACATTCCATTCCACATTCACTAAGGCCTTTTTCAAACTGCTCTGTTCCAATCCTTTTCTAATGTGTTTGCACACAGGTTCTATTAAAACAGATAATATATGAGTACATGAGGCAATGCACACCTTTCTTCAGAGAATCTCAAAGCTTACCCTTTATTTGAACTTCTAAGATGAATTCATTCCATATACAAATTGTTAGATAACCTGAAAACTTAAATTTTGATATTTGAATTTGAGTTGATTATGTGAGAGATTTTATTATTTTTTTATTGATTTGAGAGAGAGGAAGGGAGGAGACAGAAACATTGATGAGAGAGAACATCAACTGGCCGCCTCCTGCATGCCCCCCACTGGGGATTGAGCCCACAACCTGGGCATTTGCCCTGACCAGAAATCAAACCAGTGACCTCTTGGCAGATGGGACAATGCTCACTCACTGAGCCACGCCAGCCAGGTGAGATTTTATTTTATTTACTTATTTATTTTTAATCCTCACCTGAGGATATTTTTCCACTTATCTTCAGATAGAGTGGGAGGGAGAGAGGGAAAAAGAGAAAGAGAGACAGAGACATTGATGTGAAAGAAACACATTGATGGATCACCTCCCTCAGGACCCTGACCAGGGCCAGGGACCCAACTGCAACTGAGGTATATGCCCCTGACCGGAATCGAACCCATGAATCTTTGGTCCTTGGGCTGACGCTCCAACCACTGAGCCAAACTGGCCAGGGCACATATGAGAGATTTTATTTACAAATTTGACATTTTGCTTTTTTTGTAGTCCTAAGTATAACTGCCACTATCCCAAATTCACTTCAATTTATTTAACTATTTCCTTTAATTGAGGCCTTTTATTGTATTTATTATTTTCTTTATTTTAAATGTTTGTGCAAGCCCTGGCCGGTTTGGCTCAGCGGTTAGAGCGTCGGCCTGCGGTCCTGAGAGACCCGGGTTCGGTTCCCGCTAAGGGCACGTACCTCGGTTGCAGTTTGTCCCCGGCCCTGGTCGGTTGTGCGGGTGGCAGCCACTCGATGTGTCCCTTTCATGTCGATGTTTCTCTCTCTCTGTTCCTCTCTCTCCCTCCCACTCTACCTGAACAAAAAATGGAAAAATGTCCTCGGGTGAGGATTAAAAAAAAAATTAAAAAAAATAAAATAAAATAAATGTTTGTGCAAAAGGCCTTCTATAGTCAGCAGCCCGGCACCGAGATAGGTGCCGGGGGACTGACCGGCCAAGCCTCATCTCTTCTCACTGAGGAGCTCACGTTCCGGCACAGAATACACACATGCACAGGATTCCCCAAAGCATGTTACAGCAGTACCAGAGGGCATGTGAAGGCCGCTGAATTTCACAGCTACAGACAGGACAGGCAACAAAGGCTGCCACGTCTATAGTCTTCAGAAACAGTAACCATAGTAAAAAATTCTCATGGTAAATACTTACTGTAAGCCTGAGACTGCTCAATGTTTTGCACACATCATCTCATTTAATCCTCACAACTATCCTAGCAGAAGTCACTACTGTCCCCAATGACATAAGAAAACTCAGATTTTATGCCCAGGTTACATAGCTACTGATTGGCTAAGTCAGAAATTGGACTGAAGTCTTTTTTACTTTATCTGTTTTATTTTTATTTATTTTTTATTCCTCACCTGAGGATACCTTCCTACCTAATAGAAGATAGAGTGGGAGGGAGGGAGAGAGACAGAAAGAAGGAGGGGGAGGAGGGGGAGAGAGGGAATAAGAGAGAGAGAGAGAGAGAGACATGGATGTGATAGAGCCACATTGACTGGTGGCCAACCTAATGACCCCACCAGGGCCAGGGATGAACCACAACCGAAGTACATGCCCTTGACCAGAATCAAACTCGCGACTCACTGGTTGGTGGGCCGACGCTCTAAGTGCTGAGCCAAACTGGCCAGGGATCTTTTTTTAAAACATAAAACAAAACAAAAAAATCCTCACACTTTACAACTGCAGGGAGTGAAAGCCATCTGAAAGGGCATGCCCAGGAACAAAGGCCTGGGGTATGGAACGTGAAGGTGCATGCTGCCTCCTCAGAATGGCAGCCACACCTGTATAAAACAAGCAGCTGGCCCTGAGACTGAAAAGGCTGCTGGGACCAGCTCAGTAAAGGGCTTTGAAAGCCACTTGAAAGGCTTTCAGTTGTTTCAGGGACCCAGGTGATTTAGAAAGTAGTCAAGTGGCACAATTAGCTTTATGTCCAATGAACTTGCACCAAGAGAACACAAATGCAGCCCTGGCTGGTTTGCTAAGTGGTTAGAGCATCGGCCCACAGACCGAAGGGTCTCAGGTTGATTCTTGGTCAAGGGCATGTGCCTGGGTTGCAGGTTCAATCCCTGGCCCCGGAGGCAACTAATCCGTGTCTCTCTCTCACATAGATGTTTCTCCCCACCCCCACCCCCTCTCCCTTCCTAAGCTATCTAAAAAAAATTCAATGGAATAATATCCTCAGGTGAAAATTAACAAAAAAAAAGAGAGAATATAAATGCTAATGAGATCATGTGAAAAAGTACTAAATCCCAGTAAGCAGTCAAAGAAACACAAACTAAAAAGATAACCTTTTCAACTAGCAAACCAGAAAGGATTTTTACAAATGATATTAATCAGTACTGATGAAGTTTAAGGAAATGGGCACTTCAGTATGCTGCTTGGGGTCCTGTTAGTAAAACATTTCTGGAAGGCAATTTGGCAATAGAACCAGAGTCTTGAAAATATTTATACCATTTAATTCAACAGTTCTACTTCTAGGATCTGTATTAAGAAGATAACTAGCCCCGGCCGGTTTAGCTTAGTGGTTGGAGCGCTAGCCTGCGGACCAGAGAGTCCCGGGTCCAGTTTCCACTAGGGGCACAAACCAAAAAAATTAAAAAAAAAAAACAAAAACAAACAAATAAAAAAATAAATAAAACAGAAGATAACTGAATATGCACAGAGATTTAGCTACAAAAATGTTTATTATTGCTCCATTCATAACAAAAAAAAATAAAAGGTTACCTACATTTACAATACATTATCTAAATAAATCACGAAATTATGCATCCATGGTCTTTTTCATCAAACGAATACTTATGCCACTACAATGTTGAAGACTATTAAATGACATGTACTAGATATAATCATTACATTGAAATGCAAATTACAGAACAATAATGTACTTTGATTCTACTTTTGCATCCCATTTAGGGATATAAACATAATTTTAAAGGTTCAATTGGTGACATATACCTAAAAATTCAGAAGAATCATCAACTGGAACGATTTTCCCTTTTGTCCGTTTCTTTCCCATGTTGGCACTTCATGGATTACTTACAGGCACACAATAATCTGGAAAACAAGATAAAGTTAGCTTGATAAAAAGCATGTTCATTTATACTGCTCTAAGAGACAGTAATAGAACTCAGCCACAGATTACAAGTCTATCACACACTATAATTTATAAAGACCATTCAGATATATCATGTAGTTCTCAATAAAAACTCTGAAGTAGACAGAATAGATAGTATTACTCCTGTATTGAAAACCTCTTAACGTTACAAAGAATCAATTTTCTAAGCTATAAAACAGGAGTAATACTATCTATAGCTTAGAAAATTGATTCTTTGTAACGTTAAGAGGTTTTCAATAAATGTAAAGATCAGGAGAGAACCTAGGTCGTCTTATACAGATCTCGAAGAGTCTCAGCACTTGACATAATTTGAATTTAACTTCTCACTACATAAATATGGAATGCTGATGGCATGATTTCCTTCCTTTCTAAGCTACCTTTATTACCTCTGCAGTCTCTGCAAATTGAACTGATACTTTAAGAAAAATTCTAAATAATTCTGAAAACAAACTCTTAAAGTCAGTTAGAAAATTTGCAAAATAATTTCAAGGCTGAATACAATAAAAACTGATACACTGTTCTGCATTTTCCACACCAGGATTTCCTATGGATATTATCTGATTATTTACATCAAGAAATCAGTTTGAAAGACCAGGATAAATCTAACTGCATGTCAGATCTGCACCTCCTTAGTCAACAACTCACAATTAGCAAATACAAAAAGTGCTGAAAGTACATACAGGCCTACTTAACTTTAAATGATAGTAATGATTTAGAAAAGTTGTATTTAACATACAATAACTTAGTGTCAAAATCACTTAAATGTCTATAATATTGTACCTGGGATGCTTACTACACTTTTGATTGCATTAGTGGAAAGTAAGACTTGGAGCATGTTTTGGAAACACTTACCAATTAATTCTGCTACTTAGAGTATCCTGTCTTAGAGTCTCACATTTATTCCTCTTTTAGTTCTTAATGTGTCAGTGTAATTAAAGATAATTCAAAAAGATCTATATGAAAAATTAGTGCCGCAGTAATTATTAACCTTTCCAAAGATAATCTAAAATGTAACAAGTTTCCATGTTTACAAAGTAAATAAATAAGCTAACAACAAAAGAGTACAAAGTATACATGTGTGCATATAATAACAAGGTATGCCCTGGCCAGTTTGGCTCAGTGTTAGAGCTTCAGCCTCAGAACCAAAGGGTCTCAGGTTCGATCCCCAGTCAAGGGCACATGCCTGGGTGGTAGGTTGGATCCCCAGCCCTGGTAAGGGTAGAGCAGGAGGCAACCAATTGATGTGTCTCACATCAATGTTTCTCTCTCCCTCCTTCCTTTCCACTCTATTTGAACTCAATGGAAAAATATCCTCTAGTGAAGATTAACAAAATAAATAAATGAATCTTCAGAACACAAGGTATATTTTATGTACTTTTTCTTGCCCTAAAGATAACATTTAACATACTTTATCTCATCTGGCAGTGTAGATTTCAGGGAGAAAAACAGCACTCAAGTTCTCCCCTCCAGTCAAACTTCCTCTAACCTGTGCTGCATTCTGGCACCAGACACACCTTCCAATGACGCCATTTCCATCACATCACTCTCTTGATTGAAAGCATTTAATAGTTTTCCAGTCCACATTCCTGAGCCTTGCACTCACAGTCCTTTAGAAATTGTCCCCAGTGTCTGGAAATCCTGACTCTCATTACTTCTCAAAAAGAGCCAGTAAAGCTCGGTGGGCATGGCTCAGTGGACTGAGTGTTGTCCCACGAACATGGAGGTCCCTGTTCGATTCCCGGCCAGGGCCCGGGCCTGGGTTGTGGACTCCATCCCCAGTAGGGGGCGTGCGGGAGGCAGCCGGTCAATGTTTCTCACATCCATGTTTGTGTGTCTCATCTTTCTGTCCCTCTCTCTAAAAAAATCGATAAGAACATTTTTTAAAAAACAGTGAAATGTAATTCCATGGTGCTTTTGATCTTCAAAGCCCTCTCATAATCATCATCTCATTTGCTTTCCACAACAACCCTTGAAATGAAATACTTCACTAAAGGAGAAAACTCAACAAGAAGATGATGACCGATCACGGGGTGCCAGAGATGGAACCAAACGGCAGATGTTTCTTTCCCATTTCCAGCCAATCTTGGGTATCCTCCGCGCCAACCCCTCGCCTCGGTCGCTAGCGGGCACACCTTTAACCCGGACAGGTGTGCCTTCTCTATCTGAATCTAAAGCTCTGGGGGGAAAAGTGGTTTTAGGCATTATTTCTGAAGTGCCCATAGGATTCGACTAGGGCTGTAGGCCTCGAGAAGCACTTCTTGCACGGAAATACCCGGCAGACAAAGGACGGCTACAAGCGCACAGGCGTGGACGTGAGAACGCAGCCCGGTCCCGGGGAGGAGTGGACAGCGGCGCGCGCGGGGCGGGCTGCAGCGGCCGGGCGCGCAGGGAACCTCAACACCGGCTGCGGCTGCTGCCGGAGCGCGGCGGGGGGCCGTCCACGCTGTGGAAAGAGCGCCAGCAGGTTTGACAGCTGGAAAGGGCATCCCCCCGGGTCCCGGGGAGCGAGCACGGCGGGCACCCCGGCTGTGAAACATCGATAAACCGTAGGAAGTTTTGAAGCGAGTCTTCCGACGACAACTAGCGAAAGGGCTCAGTGCGGGACTCCCCACAGAGCGCCCGGGGCCCGCCCCTCCCCCTGCCGCCAGGCTCCCCGGCCTGCTCGGTTCCGACGCGAACGGACGCGTCTGCAGAACCGTCAGCGGGGCTCAGACACGGCATCAGGTTTCGCGTGACGGACTCGGCTTCCCCTGTGAACCAGCCCGTCCCCGCCGCTGCCGGCCACCCGCGGGCGCCGCGGGGCCCAGGGGTCGAGAGGGGCGCCAGCGCCCGGAGGTGACAGGACAAGGGGCCGGGGCGCCCGCGGTCGCGGGCCGAGGCCGGGAACCGCGCGCAGAGCGAGGAGCCGCGGGGAAGAGAACGAGGCCGGCAGGAAGGTCAAGCTCCGAGTGCGGGGGCCACGCGGGCGCCTGCGAGTCAGCGGAACCGGACTCACCCACAGCGGCGGCGCCCACAACCGCCCCGCTCACGGGCCTGCGGAAGCCTGCGCCGTCTCCTCCGCTGACGAGGAGCACGCGCCAGGGCGGAGGCCAGAGCGGCCCCCAGACAGCAGCAACTTCCGGTGCGCGGCATTGTGGGAAGTGGCTTTGGCCCGGGGTCCCGCGGCGTTGGAACCGTCTGCGCCTGCGCGCGGCCCGCGCCGGAAGTCAGGACGCTGCAGCGCGGAGGAGTCTGGGCGCGAGTGAGTTTCCCCGCTGGGGCGTGACCGTGGGGTGCTTGCCTGCTCGTGAGGGTGGGTACGGTGGCTGTCCGCAGCGTGCGGCCCCCGACGGCACCTCAGCCGGACTCGGGGCGTCGGGAGGCCTGCTCAGAGGGCACCCGCAGTTTCAGTCGCGTCCAGTTCTGCGCCAAGCCCGTGGCCTGCGGGACCTGCGTGCGCCGAGCGCAGGGTGAAGGGTCAGCGGGCCTGCGCGCCCCTGTCCACTGTGACAAAAACACCCGAGGCGGGGAGGAAGCCCGGGCCAGGGGCGGGAGCCCACTCAGCACCGCGAGCACGCTCGCCCTTCCCAGCCGCGGGAGCCTCGGCAAAGCGGCCGGGCGAGCAGGGAACCGCCACGCGCCCCTCGCCTCGCCTCGCCGTGTTTTACTTCTCCCAGGGTTTCGGCGTCTGGGCTTCCCTTGCCTGCCTGTGTTCACGGCCCCGCGCGCACCCCCACAGAAACCGGCGAAGGGCAGCGCGGGGAGAGCCGGGCCCGCCCTGTCCAGGTCGTTGCTGTGTCTCTAGCGCCTTAGAAGCGAGGCGTTTGTGCAGGAATGTTCATAGCGCCTGACCCGTGTTAGCCCAAAGCTGAACGAGCCACGTTTCCGAGAGCCGAAGGGGGAGACGGGTGCAGTCACACGGTGGCGGACCACTAAGCAACAAGAAGAAACATACAGAGCACGGGTGAATTTGTGAAGTATTCTGATACACGTCTCACACAAAAGCACCTACTGGGTCATTTCTGCCCGTGAAAAGCCAGGGCTGTGGCGGCCCCGCGGGGGTCGCGGGGGGCGACAGCAGGTAGGAGCGAAACTGGCTGGGGTGCTGGTACCGCCCCGTTGCTTATCCGGATTTGAATTACACAGGTGTGTGCAGATGTCAAACCCCAGCAAATGATGCGTTTACAGTGTGCATTTCACTTTTACTTCAAAAGAAAAGTTCAGATGCTAATGTCCATGCTGAAGTGCTTAGGGAGAAGTATACTAATGTCTGCAGAATCCCCGGTGGGTGGCATTCAGGAGGCGGCCAGTTGATGTTCTCTCCCATTGATGTTTCTAGCTCTCTCTCCCTCTCCCTTCCTCTCTCTCAAATCAATAAAGAAAAACATTTTTTTGAAATAAAATAAAATAAAATGTCATAGTGTTTAGGTCAGTTTCTTAACCTCAGCACTCTGCACAGTTTACACCAGCGGATTCTTTGTTGTGGGGTGTTCTGTGCACTTAGTAAGTGGGGCAGCAACCTGGACCCCAGCCGTTAGGTGCCTGAAGCATTGTGACCACCCAAAATGTCAGACTTTACCCCTGAGGAACACTGTCGACCCCTCCTCCTTCCCTTGAGAATTGCTCCACTGTTTCACTGTAAATTCTCTCAACTTTGCTGAATGCTAGAAATTTTTTGTAAAAGTTGTAGAAAAACTAGATTATGTAACAAAATTGAAAAAAATGCCTACAAATCAAGTAGAAGATGCACCTATGAAGATCTATGCACTAAACTTATTTTTGTAAAAATTAAAAAATAAAATTTGAAAGTTAGCAACCATAACTGATAGAGTGAATATCAGTGTTCACAAAATATCTTACCGAAGATTCCTGAAGTGAATCTGTAACAGAGAAAAGTGCATTGCCAGAATTTATATTGTGAAGAAAAACATTTCTGATCATACTGTCACCTTCAGACTGGCCTTCTATCCGGGACACATTTCTGTGCATGTGCAGGGCCTTCCTGAGGTCACCAGGCCACCGTCCATGCTCACCAAACCTTAATGCCCTGCTGCTCAGTGTAGGCAGATCTGGGACCCCTGCTGCCCGTGGAACCCCGGTCTGCACTAAACTCAGGTCCCCACATAGCTCTGCAAGTTGGAATTTGAGGAGCGTTCCTTTAACGGACCACTGACCAAGGAGTAGTGCTGGCTGTACTTATTCCTGATTGGCTGCAACTGGCTGGTGCCAATGGGGTAAAATAAAAACTGCAACTGAAAAAGAAAGTGGTTGGGCTGAGGAGTCCCAGATGTCACTGCATCCAGGTGGAGACCTGTGCTGTCAGTGCAGCCAGGAAACTTGGGTCACAGCACGGGGGGCCCATGACTGGAGGTGAGTCTTCGGGGGGGCTCCCCACTTCAGCCGCTCCTCTGAGTTCTGGGCACTCAGGAATGTGGTGGCGCCACCTACTCGGTGCTGCACACTGTCCATTGGTGAGAGCCTGCTGTTTCCCTGCCTGGCACGTGGGTCCCCACCCCACCGCCGTCACCAACACTAGGGCAATGAGTGTGGGCTACTTCAAACTCAGACCCCTCCGGTGGCCTTCCATATGAGTCAGGATACAGAAGTCCTGGCCATGTGTTAGTCCCACATAAACTGCCCCACATTTCCTCTCTAGCTTGTCTTCTAAAACCCTGCGCCTCTCATTGCTCCAGCCTCCTGCCTCAGCATGGATCTGTCCAGATAAACACATGGTTCTTCCTGGCAGACCCTAGCTGAGAGGCCTTCCCTGACCATCCCCCGCTTGCTCCTCACCCTTTATAACTTTTCAGTTTTCATAGTAGCTGTCCAGTGGACATGTCATGGGCTCCTCCCACTAAATGAAATCACTATGACAGCAAAGACTGTTTTGTACTTTTGTTCATTTTTATTGTACTCTTAGTGCCAAGGACAATGCTGGACACATTAGGTGCTCAAGAAATACTTGTTAAAAGGAGAACCAATAACAGTAACAGCAGGCACTTGGATGGTCTGTCTTCTATTGCCAAGCAGTGTTTTATGCAGTTTCCACACCCTCATTTATTCCTCATAGCAGCCCTGTCATTCCCACTTTGGAGATCGCGAGACTGAGGCACAGAAATAAAGCTGCCTGCCTAAGGTCACAGTTGGTAAGTGGCACTTTGGCAGTCTGGCAGGAGTACACACTTAAAAACTACTATGATCGCCCTGGCCGATTTGGCTCAGTGGTTAGAGCATCGGCCTGTGGTCCCGAGAGACCCGGGTTCGGTTCCCGCTAAGGGCATGTACCTCGGTTGCAGTTTGTCCCTGGCCCTGGTTGGTCGTGTGGGTGGCAGCCACTCGATGTGTCCCTTTCATGTTGATGTTTCTCTCTCTCTCTCTCTTCCTCTCTCTCCCTCCCACTCTATCTGAACAAAAAAAAAGAAATGGGAAAATGTCCTCGGGTGAGGATAAAAAAAAAAAAAAAAAAACTATGATCAAAAGGCCAGCGTGAATTTATTTCCTCTAATAACCACCAATGAGTTGTTTTCTAGTGTTGTCAATTCCAGAACACTAGAAAAGATGTTTTTGTTATTCTAATAAGTGTAGGATTTTTTTTGCCTTTATAGACTTTAGAGAGAGAGAGAGAAAGAGAGAACATCAATTGGCCGCCTCCTGCATACCCCACTGGGGATTGGGCCCACAACCTGGGCATGTACCTAGCCAGGAATCGAACCGGCGACCTCCTGGTGCATGGGTCAGTGCTCATCCACTGAGCCACTACTAGGCCAGACTTAAGTCCAGGAATTTTAAATATTTTTGGAGATTTTTTAGTAACAGCAAATGGTTAAGTTAGAATGCCAAGTGAAAATAGGACATTAAAATGATATGAGATCACTAGTTAGTAAAGAAAACATTGCGTTTAAAGGAGGGAGGAGTGTATAGCTCTAATAGTTATTTAAAAAGGACTCAATGAAAATGGTACATAGGCTTGGTAATTAAGACTACTTAAATTGGGGCTAGATGACAAACCAGGAATTCCTGATATGTGTAGAGAAGAGCTAATATCACTAGATCTGGAAAAAATGTTCCAGGGCTGTCCTCTTAGAAATTCATGGTGTATGTTGCAATCTAACAATAAAGACTGGGAAGCCACACCTACAAAAATGTGCTCATATAATTTATTGTCCAAATTTGGTTACTTGCATCTAAAATGAATACTAGATCAGCCAGGACAATGTTATCCTAAAGAAACATAGAACTTTGTGTCATTCTGCATTTCAAGAACTTACTTAAACAGAAGATGCTTTGTGTAATTTTCTTCCCCAGCATGGCACTGGCACCTGGTCTTCAGTTGGAAACACACTGGCATTAGGAATGATGTGGTGTTGGCACTGATTTACACCGGTGTGTGCAGATAGCCCAGTGTGTGCGAGAGTGCTTCATGTGTTCCTGATTCGTACCCAGTTAATCCTGATGCTCAGCACCCCATCACATTGAGTCATCCCCATAACCTTTGATGTGTTTTGACAGGATCCATTGCAGCTAATGACCTGTCACCTGTGAGTAACTCACATTTCTTTTTCAGTGGAAGAACTTCTTTTGCTCCTTAAAAGGACTCTACAGTGAACTAATTAAATTGTTGAGCAAGTACCATTTTCTGATATTAAAGAAATGACCCAACCATATTGGATGGAAAAAAAAACTTTAATAGAGAGACATGTTCCTAAGAGGCTTGAGGGTAGGCCGCCCAAGGCAGCCTGCTGGGAGTGGGCTCTCTGTCTGTGCTGGTGTTTCCTGCTTCTGAGCCTGAAACAGCCAGGTGGTGAACAGGGGCAAATTCGCTCCGCTGGGCAGCTGTCGGGTCTTCGGCCAGCTTGCCTTCCCCCTTGGCGCTCCAGCACTGCTGCCCAGTCACCGGTTATATTCGCTTCTTTCTAATGCACTTGGTGCTCTTGCTTGTCTCTGGACACATCTGTTAGACACTGTGCAGTCAGTGCAATGCAATGTTGAGCGCAAGACACTGGAACCGGATTCTGCGTAAGAGAACGCAAGAGTCTGTAAGGAAATGAACACACCCTCACCTCTGAAACTGTGTAGAGATTCTTTAATAAAGGGGCTATTTTTAGGGAGGGACCAAGTGTAAAGGAACCATGCCTACCCCTAGGCCTGAAAAGTCTGCAGAAGAGGCGGTCTTGAGTCAGTTGCGGTCACTGTCAGAATCCCACCACAAAGCAGAGAAGAGTGGAAAACTACCATGGACTCTCTTTTCCCATCCTCCCACCTCCTGCCAGAGCATTGGCTGAACCCAACTGTAAGAAAGGCAGAAGAGTCGGGTGCTGTAGGCCGTGGAGATCAGCTGTCCAGAGGGACAAGAAGGGCCAGAATGGGTTAGGGGACAAAAGGTAACTAGCACAAGAGAAAATAGTCCAGCCCTGGCTCATATGGCTCAGTGGTGAGAGTGTCCGCCCACACGCCAGAGGGTCACAGATTCAATTCCTGGTGAAGGGTATGTACCTGGGTTTCAGATTCAATCCTGGCCTCAATCAAGGCACAAGTGGGAGTGGGAGGCAACCAATCGACATGTCTCTCTCACATTCATGTTTATCTCTCTCCCTACCACTCTCTAAAAATCGGGTGAGGATTAACAAAGAGAGTAAAGAGTTCAAATCATGAGCCTCTGAATTAGGCCTTGGTAGTTGGGACTGTGAGGAAGGGACAGGCTCAGGTCTGTGCTGCTGTTCTGCCTCTCCTGCCTCACAGACATTTCTCCTCTCCCCATGGTGCCTCCCGCTACACTTGTCTGTCGGACCCTTCTTTCAGGGCTCGCCTGGGATGCTGCCGCCTTCACCAGATCTTTCCTGGGTTCCTGGGGGCTCACTTCACGGATGGTGCCTCATCTGACTCCCCATGATAATTCCTATACTGGTCAGCTAACACCAAATCTTTTTTATCTTCATTGTTCTGGATCTCATTCGATTTATGTCCTGATCCTCAATTTAAATAGAAAGTTTCAGGAAGGGGTGATAGGTGAAGCTCTACACATAGTTGCTGCTTGATAACCCTTTACCAGAGGACAAAGACGTCCGTGAGGACACCGCTAACCTGAGTAATGGTGTTCGATTCTCTCCGAGGTGAGCTATGTTCTCCTTTATCACAATGGCATTGAGCTTTCTTTATTTTCAGAAGTGTAACCCTTTTTATTTCTGTGAAATTTAGAAGTACTGTGGGCTTATCACAAAACTTTAAGTGATGCTGAAGCATCCGAATTGGGAAGTAAAAGTCCATCTTCCTTCCACCCACATTTAGCCAACTATTAATAGTTATTTCATTTGTCTCAGAATGTCTCGATTTCCCTTTTCACTCCTGAAGGATATTTTCACTGGAGGTATTACTATGGGATCATCTTTCTTTACTTTCAGCACTTGAAAACTATTATGACTCTTCCTTTTAGCCTCCATAGATTTTTTTTTTTACATCTTTTTAATATATTTGTATTGATTTTGTAAAGAGAGAGGAAGGGAGAGACAGATAGAAACATCACCTCCTGCATGCCCCTCACAGGGGATCGAGCCTGCAACTGGGCATGTGCCCTGACCTGGAATTGAACTGGGACCTCACAGTCTGTGGGAGGAGGCTCAATCCACTGAGCCACGCTGCCTGGGCAGGCCTCCATAGTTTCTGATGAGAAATATCCTCTTATATGAATTGTTTTTCTTCACAGTTAAGGTTCATTTATCTCTTGCTGCTTTCAAGATTTTTTTTTTGTTTTTGGTTTTCAGAAGTTTGACTATGATATCTTTTTTTTATCCTCACTTGAGGACATTTTTCCATTTTTTGTTCAGATAGAGTGGGAGGGAGAGAGAGGAAGAGAGAGAGAGAGAAACATCGACGTGAAAGGGACACATCGAGTGGCTGCCACTCGCACAACCAACCAGGGCCATGGACAAACTGCAACCAAGGTACACGCCCTTAGCAGAAACCGAACCTGGGTCTCTCTGCACCGCAGGTCGACACTCTAACCACTGAGCCAATCCGGCGAGGGCTATGATACGTCTTGATATGAATTTTTTTGGGTTCAGCTTCTTTTTTTTTTATTTATTTTTATTTTTTTTATCCTCACCCGAGGATATTTTTCCATTTTTTGTACAGATAGAGTGGGAGGGAGAGAGAGGAAGGGAGAGAGAAAGAGAAACATCGACGTGAAGGGACACATCGAGTGGCTGCCACCCACACGACCAACCAGGGCTGGGGACAAACTGCAACCGAAGTACGTGCCCTTAGCAGGAACCGAACCTGGGTCTCTCTGGACCGCAGGCCGACGCTCTAACCGCTGAGCCAAACCGGCCAGGGCTGGGTTCAGCTTCTTGACTTCATTTATGCCTTTTGACACATTTGGACATTTTTCAGCTCCGCCCTCTTTCTCCTCTCCCTCTGGGACTCAGACGATGTCACTCCTGTCAGGTCTCTTACAGTCCCATCAGTCCCTAAACCCTGTTTGACTGTCACACACAGATACAAAACACCATAAAAAATTGAGGTATTAATAATTTTTTTAAAAGGAGGGAACTATGTAAAAGTTAAACATCTATATGGCAACTTCCTGGAATGCAACTTGGTAATATCTACCAACATGTTACAGCTGTACCTGTTCCAACGAGCCATCTCCACAAACTTATCCTTGAATGTACAGTGTTCACCAAACTAAATACATATAAGTTCATTAAACTGTACATGTAGGAAGAACCTCTATATAGAGTTGTTCATAATAGCAAAAATGTGGAAACAACCCATGTCCGAGGTAAAGAATGCAATGAATCATGAGACATCTACATGAGCCAGTGACCCCACTAGAGAGAAGGAGCGAGACACCATTTGCGGACAGTGAGCAGAGCTCCAGAGCATGGCTGGGAGAAGGGGGGGAGCGTCCATCCAGGCACCAAAATATGTATATATATTTTAATAATTTTGTTTTTGTTGTTCCTCACCTCAGGATATTTTGATTTTTAGAGATTGTGGAAGTGGGGGAGGGAGGGAGGGAGAGAGAGAGAGACATCGAGGATTGAACCTGGAACCCAGGTACGTGCCCTTGACTGAGAATCAAACCTGAGACCCTTTGGTGTGCAGGCTGACGGTCTAACCACGGTGCCACACTGGTCAGGGCTCAAATAGATTTTTAATAAGTACCATTAATGTATTGAGATCTCCCAAGATTGTAGGTATGAATTTTCTGTCTTCTTCTTACCTCCTTAGAAACTTACAGATGACCGAAAATGATTGCGATTGAACAGGCTGAGGCCCAACTCTCAGAGTTAGACCTGCTAGCCAGCATGTTCCCTGGGGAGAAGGAGCTCCTCGTGAACGACCAGCTGGCCGTAGCGGAGCTGAAAGACTGCGTGGAAAAGGGGACGACGGACGGGCGATCTTCAAAAGTGAACTTTACTGTCAACATGAGCCTGGACACATCTGCTGGAGCAGCGGTAATGCAGTTTGCTTTTGGGAGAATTGAAACATGTCTGACTTAAAACAATCCTTAGGGCATTTCCCTCTCTTTTGGTCAGGTGATGTTTTCTCTGGCCTGTACTCTTCCCTTTGAATACCCTGCAGTTTTGCCTGAGATCACTGTCAGGTATGTTACAGAACCTTGCTAACCTAAGTGGTCAAAATTAATCAGAGGATAAAAGCAATTCTTGAGTTTGTTTTCTGTTCCAAGAAAATTGATTTAATTTTTGTATTCCACCTTGGCTATTTTGGCTCAGCAGTTAGAGCTTCGGCTTGCGGTCCAGAGAGACCGGGTTTGGTTCCTGCTAAGGGCACGTACCTCGGTTGCAGTTTGTCCCCGGCCCTGGTTGGGTCGTGTGGGTGGCAACCACTCGATGTGTCCCTTTCACGTCGATGTTTCTTTCTCTCCCTCCCACTCTATCTGAACAAAATATGGAAAAATGTCCTCAGTTGAGGATTAAAACAAACAAACAAAAAAACAACAACACAATTTTTTTATTCCATATCTTTTCTACCAGATCAGTATTATTAAGTAGAACCCAGCAGACTCAGCTGAACACAGATCTGACCACATACCTGCAAAAGAACTGTCTTGGAGACGTCTGTATATTGAATGCCACTGAATGGGTCAGAGAACACGCCTCTGCCTATGTCAGCAGAGACACCACCTCTCCCCCCACTCCAGGAAGTACAGTCCAGCCTGTCCGTCTCGTTCTCACGAGACTCTGGATCTATAGCCACCACATCTACAACAAGTGCAAAAGGAAGGACATCCTGCAGTGGGCGAAGGAGCTCTCCCTGTCTGGGTTCAGCCTGCCAGGGAAGCCGGGTGTCGTCTGTGTGGAAGGCCCGCACAGTGCTTGTGAAGAATTCTGGTCCAGGTTCGTGCTCACAGATTCTGTATCGGTGCCAATAATTCCAGCACTAAACTAGATCCTAGAGATAGAGAAATAAGTGTCTCCCTGGGTGTGTCTTATGGGAATTCAGTCTCAAGTTAGTGGATAAAGTAGAACTCACGTGGCCAGCTCACTTCCCTCACCTCACTGCATGTGGGAGGCCTCCGTGAACACGTTGGATCAAGGCCCTCCATTCCCATGGATCTGATTCTCCCCTCGTTGTAAGCTGTGTACACCCTGTGAAACAAGGGACTTTCTAATCTCATTTCTCTACCAATGTCCTAAATGAGTTTCTGAGAAGTCCCTTTGGGACTTTGAGATTCAGCAATTTCCACATCAGTGGAGTTTGAGGATGAGATTTTGACCAGAATCATATTTGATTAAAATAAATCCCTGAGATAAAAGTAGATTTCTTCATGTCTAGGAAGATAATATTTTCAATGCTCTAGGATGCACAGCACAATTTCAGATTTTCTACTTTGAAAATTTCTTTTCAGACTCAAAAAATTAAACTGGAAGAGAATTTTGATTCGCCATCGAGAAGACATTCCTTTTGATGGTACAAATGAGGACATGGAAAGACGGAGAAAATTTTCAGTTTTTGAAGAAAAAGTGTTCAATGTTAATGGAGCCAGAGGAAACCACATGGACTTTGGTCAGCTGTATCAGTTTTTAAGTGCCAAAGGGTGTGGGGATGTTTTCCAGATGTACTTTGGCGTGGAAGGACAATAACTGAGCAGAGTGGCTGAAAGTCTTTTGTCACTGAGGGCCATTTGGTTTATACCCTGTCTTTCTTGAAGGATTAAATGATTTTACTGCAGTCCCTTTCTAGAATGTTGGGGGTAAAAAGAGAAGTCATACAGCTGAAGTGCACCTGTTAAAAGTATGTCCTGATTCAAAACAGAACCAAGCCCTGGCCGATTTGGCTCAGCGGTTAGAGCATCCGCCCGCGGACCAGAGAGACCTGGGTTTGGTTCCGCTAAGGGCCCCGGTTGGGTGGCAGCCATCGATGTGTCTCTCTCACATCGATGTTTCTCTTTCTCTCTTCCTCCCTCTCCCTTTTGCTCTAAAGATAAATGCAAAAATGTTCTCGAGTGAGGATAAAAAAAGAAAAGAAAACAGAACCAAGTTTTATTTTTTTTTGCGTTTTTTATTTTTGAATTTTATTTTTGTTACAGATGTTTCTCCTATTTTACCCCATTGACACCCTCCTCCCCATGCCCCCCGCCCCGTCCCCGTCTTTGTTGTCCATGTCCATTGGTTATGGGTACATGCATATAAGTTCTGTGGTTCATCTCTTCCCACCCCCCATCACCCCCTCTTCTGAGGGTTGTCAGTCTGTACCCTACTTCTGTGTTTCTGGGTCTACCCTATTCTTCATACTGTTATATTCATTATATTCCATATATAAGTGAGATCATGTGGTATTTGTATTTTTCTGCTTGGCTTGTTTCACTTAGGATAATACTTTCCAGGTCCCTCCATGTCGTTTCAAAGGATAAGAGGTCTTTCTTACAGTTGCATAGTACTCCATTGTGTATGTGTACCACCGCTTTATTTATCCATTCGTCTTCTGATGGACATTTGGGCTGTTTCCAGATCTTAGCTATTGTAAATAGTGCTGCTATGAACATGGGGGTACATATATTCTTTCTGATTGGTGTTTCAGGCTTCTTAGGGTATATTCCTAGAAGCGGGATCACTGGGTCAAATGGAAGTTCAATTTTTAATTTTTTGAGGTAACACCATAGTGTTTTCCATAGTGGCTGCACCAGTCTGCATTCCCATCAGCAGTGCACTAGAGTCCCCTTTTCCAACACTTGTTTGATGATTTGTTGATGGCGGCCATTCTGACAGGTGTGAGGTGACACCTCATTGTTGTTTTAATTTGCATCTCTCTGATGATTAGTGATGTTGAACATTTCTTCATATGCCTCTTGGCCATTTGTATGTCCTGTTTGGAGAGGTGTCTATTCAGCTCCTCTGCCCATTTTTTAATTGGGTTCTTTGTTTTCCTTTTTTGAGTTGTATGAGTGCTCTATATATTTTGGAAATTAACCCCTTATCTGATGTATCATTGGCAATGATGTTCTTTCATACAGTGGGTTGCCTTTCCATTTTGATTGTTGTTTCTTTTGCTGTGCAGAAGCTTTTTAGTTTGATGTAGTCCCATGTGTTCATTTTTTCCTCTGTTTCTATTGCCTTAGGTGATTATCAGTGAAAATTCTGCTGTGTGTGATGTGCAAAATTTTGTTGCCTACATTTTCTTCTAGAATTTTTATGGATTCATGGGTCACATTTAAGTCTTTTATCCATTTTGAGTTTATTTTTGTGTGTGGTGTAAGTTGATGGTTTTGAGTTTATTTTTGTGTATGGTGTAAGTTGATGGTCTAGTTTCATTTTTTTGCATGTAGCTGTCCAATTTTTCCAACACCATTTATTGAAGAGGCTGTCTTTACTCCACTGTATGCTCTTGCCACCTTTGTCAAATATTATTTGAGCATATTGCTTTGGGTCCATTTCTGGGTTCTCTATTCTGTTCTATATGCCTGGTCTGTATGCCTGTTCTTGTGCTAGTACCAGGTTGTTTTGATCAGAACCAAGTTTTAAATTATAGTCTTAAATTTATTGACAGAAATTTCTTGGCATGTCTACCCATTTTGAAAGAGAAATTAATTTGACTTGAGTCAGGACTGTTGATGGTCCAACTTGCCACCTGTTCTCAAACCCCTGCCCTTTACCTGCCTCCATGAGCCCTCCCAGCTTCTCTTGCAGCTCGGGGGCCTTGGGATACAGCTTTGGCTATGGGATGCCTGGGAAGACGTCTGCTTTCCTGATTAACGTGATTGACACAGCCACGGCACCTCTCCCCCTCTTTCTGCCACAACACCAAGGCCAGTGGCTGGAGCAGCAGTAGTCTCTTCAACCAGGAGGTCAGAAATGGCCAGGAGATGCCACCACATGTGGTCAGTTGAGCTGCTGAACCAGCACCAGCCCCTGCCTAGCTCCAGACAGCTTATTATGAAATAAAAAGTTTTGTGTATATTTCTGTCCACTTAACAGCAATTGAAAGCTATTTTGCCAAATAGATTTTTTCAAAGCTTTAGTTTTGCATCTACCCCGACCATTTGATATACAAATAGGTGTAGTTTTTCTTTTCTGGTATGTGCCCCTAGCAGGAACTGAACCTGGGACTCTCTGGTCTACAGGCCAACGCTCCAACCGCTGAGCCAAACCGGCCAGGGCAGTGAAGTTTTCCTTAAATGGAGTTTGCAGCTTGTATATATTTTGTATACTTAATGCTCTGTCCCTGGGTTTGCCTCACAGAAGGCTGAGGCATGCGCTGAGTTCTAAGTTTTTTTGTTTTTTTTTTTATCCTCACCCGAGGACATTTTTCCATTTTTTGTACAGACAGAGTGGGAGGGAGAGAGAGGAAGGGAGAGAGAGGGAAACATCGATGTGAAAGGGACACATCGAGTGGCCGCCACCCGCACGACCAACCAGGGCCGGGGACAAACTGCAACCGAGGCACGCGCCCTTAGCGGGAACCGAACCCGGGTCTCTCTGGACCACAGGCGGACGCTCTAACCGCTGAGCCAAACCGGCCAGGGCTAAGTTTTTTTTTTAATCCTCACTTGAGGATATTTTTACATTTAGCTTCGGATAGAGTGGGAGGGAGGGAGAAAGAGAGAGAGAGGAGAGAGAGAGAGAGAGAGAGAGAGAGAAACATCGATGTGAGAGAGACACATCGACTGGCTGCCCTCCACACCACCCTGACCAGGGCTGGGATGAACTGCAACTGAGGTACATGTCCTTTGGCTGGAATTGAACCTGCAACTCTTTGGTCCGAGGACTGATGCTCCAACCACTGAGCCAAACCGGCCAGGGTGAGCTCAAACTTTTTAACAGGCCTCAACTGTTCATCAGATTGGTAATTTTGAGAATTCGTTTTTGGCAAATTGGATTTTAACAAGTTTTCTTTTAAATTTTGGAAATGGTTTTCTTTCCATTTAGAGTCAAAGAAACACACAACCTGGTTTTGGAGGCCCTCCAGAAAATACTTCCAAAAGTGCTTAGTATTTACTAGTTGCTGGCACTCAGGTTGGCACTGTGCTGGGTATTCCTTCTGGAGTAAGACTTGGTTAGAGGGATGGGCTGGGAGTGGGAGGGACACAGGGGCCTGTGCATCTCAGCAGAGAGCTGCCGGCACCCTGGGTGCCCACCCTGAAGGAACGAGCAGGCCCGAAGGAGTGCAGCAGGAGTGGCGAGACCGTGTGGGCAGGGTGCAGGTAGAGGCAGATGACATTCACAGCACTGACTACACAGGATGAGAATCTGGTGACCTCCTCAGACCTCCCTGCTGCGCCCTCCTATTGCCAGGTCTGTGGCCACCACACAGCCAGGTTGGACTCTGGTTTCTGACTCCCCAGCCACTTCCAGATTGGGGGAAATACTCTATAGACCAGGGGATCTGCCATCCTGAGAGGCCACCGGAGGGGCCAGCTGATGCGCATGCTGCCTTTAGCAGAGCTCAACTGCCAAAACTCGTTCCGTCCTGGTACATTATTTCAATAAAAACACACTGCTATGTACAAATACACATATTTCAATAAAAACACACAAATACACGAATCTCAAAAACATAGACTGTAATAATGTATTATTAGTTTTCTTCCTTGAGACAAAACTGTCAGATTTAGACATTGGATTACTGACACTGACCAGAAGTACAGATGTTCTAACCTGATTAGTAAATTCCTTTTAACATTGGTAAAAGTATTAGCAAAAAAGAAAACATCAGGTTAGATGGTCCTACCTACATCATCTAATGTGAGAGACACATAAGAACTATAAGAAACTAGTTAAGTGTTACAGGTATAGGTAATATAGATTTCTTAAATGTTAAAAATTAATATATAGCCCTAGCCAGTTTGGTTTAGTGGTTGAGCGTCGACCTGTGGACCAGAGAGTCCCAGGTTCGGTTCCCGCTAGGGACACGTGCCACACACACAAAAAAATTAAAATATACTTGATATAAATGTCTTTAAATGTAAAACTGTTCAGTGTGTATATTCATTTCACAGTGACAGTTTTTCAGTGCATTAATCTGATAAATATCTTGAACTGCAATCATCTATAAAGAAATAATGATAGCCCTGGCCAGTTTGGCTCAGCGGTTGAGCGTTGGCCTGCGGACCAGAGAGTCCCGGGTTTGGTTCCTGCTAGGGGCACGTACCACACACACACACACACACACACACACACACAAATTCAATAAAAAAATAAATGTCACCTGAATAAACTACTTTAAAAAAAGAAATAATGATAAATCCTTAAAAGAAACTATTAGTCCCAAATCAAATTATGTTTAAAAGTTAAAGATCTATAGAAAACAAAATGTGAGCAGAAAACAGCTACATGTCCACTTTTATTTGTAAAAGTAATTCCTACATAAACAATAGTATTCTTTTTTTTTTAACAATAGTATTCTTAAGTAAATCAAAATTTAAAAATTGTAGCATTGCCCTGGCTGGTTTGGCTCAGCGGTTAGAGCGTCGGCCTACGGTCCTGAGAGACCCGGGTTCGGTTCCCGCTAAGGGCACGTACCTCGGTTGCAGTTTGTCCCCGGCCCTGGTCAGTCGTGCAGGTGGCAGCCACTCGATGTGTTCCTTTCACATCGATGTTTCTCTCTCTTTCTCTCTGTTCCTCTCTCTCCCTCCCACTCTACCTGAACAAAAAAATGGGAAAATGTCCTCGGGTGAGGATAAAAAAAAAAAAAAAAAAAATTGTAGCATTAATCCCGCAAGTCCAGAATCACTGAACTTGAAAAGTAAAAGCCAATCTTGTCAACTGCACATTAAATTGATAAAATTCATCCAACAAAAACTGATTACTTTCAATATTTATATAAAAACAGCTGTTCTACAGCTTCATCTGTTTAAGAAAGTTGTATGTCAGGCTATCAAGGGAAACCCAACCGTTTCGTAAAATTGCAAGGCAGCCTAGAGTTAGTTACTCACCCCCAATTGATTACATAACCTAGGATAACAGCCCATAAAAATTCCACCAAGGGCACCATAAGCCTTCCACAAATGCGCCATCTGGCAATCTGATGCCATCAGGTCCAGTTAGGAAAACAAACTTTACTACCTATTTAAGGAGATAAAAAAGGTAATGTGGGAAATTGGTTAAAAGGGATTTTTTTTTCCCTTTTCATTTATTTTACAGAGAGAAACATCGATGAGAGAGAACATCGATTGGCTGTCTCCTCCCACTGAGTATCGGGCCCACAACCTGGGCATATGTCCCGACCAGGAATCGAATCAGCGACCTCTTGGTACATGGTGTGCTGACATGTTCATAACCCCATAATTGGTGATTGGTAAATTATTGTGCTGACTTGTTTATAGCTCCATAATTGATGATTGGGAAAGTCACTGTGTACCCTCTAGCTGAACCTGTTTTGTAAAGACCCCCTAAACCAAGAAATTGTTGGGCGCCGGCTACGTGTCTGACAGAGTCCACGGAGCCTGGAGGTTTTGACCCAGAGACTTGACCTCCCCCACAGTCTCAAGAAATTAGGCTTCCATTGTATTTATTTATTTTTATCTTCACCCAAGGACATATTTCCTTTTGTTTGTTTGTTTGTTCAGATAGAATGGGAGGGAGAGAGAGAGAAACATCGATGTGAAAGGGACACATCGAGTGGCTGCTCCCCGCATGACCAGGGGACAAACTGCAACCGAGGTACATGCTTTTAGCAGGAACCGAACCCTGGTCTCTCTGGACTGCAGGCCGATGCTCTCAGGGCTAAGTGTGACCCAATATACCTTGAAATACCTGAGATAACAGACTGGGTGTTCCTGAGTGGGCCAGGGTGTTCCTGTTGTCGCAAGGCAAACTAATTCTATACAGCATTGTTGTAGCCCTGGGCATTTCATCAAGAAGATCCTATTTTCTTACATCATTAAACTTTTGCTGTAAGGTATAAAAGGCATGTAATAAAGCATATCGAGGCTGATCTCCGAAGAGTCTGTCACAGGGGTGTTTGGAAATCAGACGCCGGCCAGCCAATAGAGGGCTCTTATTTGGACTTCAGTTCCCTAGTGGTTTTTCTTTGTCTCTGTCGAGCCACAACAATGGGTTGACGCTCAACCACTGAGCCAGCCACACTGGCCGGGCTGCACCTCATTTTATATATTACAATCAAAAGAGAAGATGCAAGTGAAATCCGCTGGTGCTAGATTAGAGAAGTGGGAGAAAGCAAAGAGAAGGAAACCTTTGGGATTGGATTAAAAGTAAGATGATAGACATATACAGCTTTTACAAAAGTGGGTACAGATAGTTAACAGTTGACAATATGATAACAATTACAATGAGAGGATTTATGGTCTAAACCCTGGTGTACTGGTTGTGCCCTGAGGAGTCTGGAAAAAAAAGTGTTACCCTGACATTCCAAAGGAATGTTGCCCTGAGGAGTCTGGAAAAAGAAGTGTTACCCTGACATTCCAAAGGAATGTTGTAGTAGATACAAAAGACAATATAGACGGGCTCAGTTAAGGTAAAGATTGACCTTTGTCAGGGAAAATTCTAGCCCAGGACATGACCACCTGCCATAAACTGCTTTTAGTTAAAAAGTTTTCATTTCAGCCCAACCTGTGTGGCTCAGTGGTTGAGCATTGACCCTGCACCAAGAGGTTGCCAGTTCGTTTCCTGGTTGGGGCACATGCCCAGAGAGTGGGCCTGATCCCCAGTGGAGGGCATGCAGGAAGCAGCCTATCAATGTTCTCTCATGGATGTTTCCATCCCTTTCCCTCTCTCCCTCCCTCTCTCTAAAGTCAATAAAGAAAAAACGTTTTCATTTCAGACCATCCTTTGTAGTTACCATGCAGACCTTCCGTGAGCTTACCAGGTTAGCATGTGGCCCCTTTCCTTCACATTGCTATCTCACCCTCCTGTGGAGGATGGGGGCTGGAAATCTTATTCCAGTGGTACCCCAAGAATCCCACTTCCACGAGCAACCTGGGGAGACAAGCCCCTTTCCTGTAACACCTGGGTGGAGGGAAGAAAGGGAGGAAGGAAAAGGGGTAAACAGTAATTTGGAGGAGGCCCTGAGGCCAGGGGCTCAGTTCAGGCCCTTGAAGACAAGGCAGTGCCCAGCTGTCACTGGTCCCCTGGAACTCAACAAGTACTGTGGAGTCTGGGTGCAGACCTCTGAGGAGGGGCCTGGCAGCCAGGACATAGAGGTTGACTGGCTGCCTCTGGCTGCGCAGGGGGCGGGCGCAGTGAGGCTGGTTCAATTGTTCAAAGGGCAAGAGACTGAAACCCACTGCTGCCTAATCAGGTTGCAGCTAACGGGGCAAAGGCGCTGGACCGAGTGGGGCTGCGGCCAATGTCTCCCAGCGCTTGCGCAGGAGCTAGTGAATAAAGGGGTCTTCCGCGCCAGTGCCGTGCGGTTGCGTACAAAGGGGTGAGTGTGGCCACCAGAGGCCATAACCAGCAACAGGTGCCTGTTTCTCTAGTGATTCTCAGACCCAAAATCACGAACTACAAGATGCGTAGGTTTCAGATAGACGGCCACATTACCCTCTTTTCTAAAACTGCATGTCACAATACGAAAGGGATCTTTTGGAAGGAATATTGCCTCAAGCACTAGATCTCAAATTTTAACAAGGCCTGGTAATCTTGCTTAAAATGCAGAATCTTATTTAGTAGTTGCGAGTGGGCCTGGCAGCCCGCGTGTCTAACGAACGCCCAGATGATGCTGACGATCGCATTTCAAAAGCTCTACCCCTTTCCACCTGCCCCAGCCTCTGCCGCGTTCGCCACCTTGAGCGAACCCGCCTCCCCACTGAGACCGGAGCCAATCCGGCCTCGGGCGACCGAGGGAGGGGAGGTTCCGCGTGATGGCCCAGGCCTGGCTTCCTATTGGGCAGGGATGGCGTCAGTCAGAGAGGCGTGGCTGTCATTGTGACGCGGCCGGCGTGTAATCTGGGACGCGGCGGGAGGCGGGAGCAGAAGTAGGGTTGCAGGAAGACGGGGTGGGTGGCGGAAAGGGAGGGGCGGGGGACGTTGTGCCGTGGGACCACTTCCGTTGACAGGGCCGGAAGTTGTGGCCCGGCCCCGTCAACCCGGGCGCTGCGGACTGAGTGCGGCTGAGACGAGACCATGGGCGGGAAGAACAAGCAGAGGACCAAGGGGAACCTGAGGGTGAGAGCGGGGGCCGGGCGGGGCGGGCACGCGAGCCGCGAGCGTGGAGCGTGCCCTCCCGTGTGCGTCCTCCCCGGCGGTGGGTCAGCAGGCGGCGGCGCTGGGCGAGGGAAGGGGTTCCGCGCGGGCTGCGCCCCGCACACGCTGTCAGGAGCGCGCGCCTCGGTGCCGGTTGGGAAGGGTCACCTGCCGGGGGAGCCGGCGGCCGCGGACACGGCGTGGGTGGGAGGCAAGCCGCCCGCGGAGCCTGCGGACCAGGGGTCGCGGGCGGGTCCCCGAGCTCCCCGCCCCGGCAGCCCCGCGCTCGGGTCCAGGCCGCAGCCCTCCCGCCGCCGCCTCGTCCTTTCTGCAGCCACACGGACCTTTTTACTTTAAAAATGTTCTCAGTGTTTTGTACTTGAAGTGTTCCAAATGAAAGGAAAATAATATTAGGGGATAATATGCACGACTGTATTTCAGCGACAACCCAAATATTCTGTGGTTAATAGTCGGTCACATTTGCTTTCTAAGTATATGTGTTCTGGTGAACCGTCTGAGAATTACTTGCAGAAATTATGACAACTCCGAAATATTTTATATATGTTCTATAAGTGCCATTCTTCTACATAACCACGAACAGTTGTAAGATGCAGAAAATTTTACTTGAGTATATTACTGTTAGCTAGTAATATACAGCGGCATTGTATTCAGATTTCTGTAGTCATCTCAAGAATGTTCTCTCTAATTTTATTTTCAGATATAGCATTTAAAAGTCATCCAAGATCCAGCCAGGGATCACTCGTTCCCTTTAGTTATTTATATCTTGACAGTTTTCCAGCTTATTTTTTTTTTTGGGGGGGGGTTCTCTTACAGTTTTGAAGAGTCTAGGTTGTTTTAGCTTAAGCAATTAATTTTTTGGTGCGTGCCCCTAGCGGGAACCGAACCCGAGGGTCTGTAGGAGCCTGGTCTGTAGGCTGAGACTCTAACCGCTGAGCCAAACTGGCCAGGGCCGTTTTAGCTTAATTCAGATTTGTCAGATTGTTCCTATGATTAGATTCAGGTTGAACCGAGTGACAGGTATGCTTCCTAGATGAAGCACCGACTTCCTTCCTGCCTCCCAGCAGGGACATTGATGCCTGTTTGTCCCATTACTGGTGGTATTTGTTTCATCACCTGAAGAGAGATTTTTCCCATTAGCTTTTAGAAAATATGTTAATTGGTAGTTTGAGACTGGGAATATTCTCTCTCTGCAAACTGTCATCTAATAAGTTTAGCATTCTTTGATGGTAATTGCTGGAATCAGTTATTCCTATTGTGGTTTATAAACTTAAGTTTAGTCTTGACAACAACCCAAATAATGATTTAGCTACAGTTCTCTCATTTTACAGATGATGGGACCGAGGCTTAAGAAATTAACTTACAGCCCTGGCCAGTTTGGCTCAGCAGTTAGAGCGTCGGCCTGCGGTCCGGAGAGACCCGGGTTCGGTTCCCGCTAAGGGCATGTACTTCGGTTGCAGTTTGTCCCCGGCCCTGGTTGGTCGTGGGGGTGGCAGCCACTCGATGTGTCCCTTCACGTCGATGTTTCTCTCTCTCTCTCTCCCTCCCACTCTATCTGTACAAAAAATGGAAAAATATCCTCGGGTGAGGATAAAAAAAAAAAAAAAAAAAAGAAATTAACTTGCATAAGCTCATTTAACCAGGAAGTTGCACTGTTGGGGTTTGAATGGCAGTTATTGATTCAGCAGAAGACTTTGAATCCTGAATGTCATTTATTCAGAGGTGATAAATAAATGTCCCCTTTTCTTGACGATAGAGACAGATAAGTGTACACATAATTATAATATTAGAGAATTATGACAGTGGTATGAATAGAAAAGAAGTGGGAGAACAGAAAAGAATGTGGATTGATCTGAGGGAGGCAAATATTGAAAACATGACTGTGTTTTGAAGGATGAGTAGGAGTTTGTCAGACAATGAAAAGGATGAAGAGTCTGGCTGGTGTGGCTCAGTGGTTGAGTGTCGACTTCTCCCCTGCACCAAGAGGTCGCGGGTTCTATTCCGGGTCAGGACACATGCCCAGGTTGTGGGCTTGATCCCCAGTGGGGGGCGTGCAGGAGGCAGCCAATCAATGTTTTCTCTCATTGATGTTTCTATCTCTCTCCCTCTCACTTTCTCTAAAATCAGTAAAGGAAAAAAATTTAGAAAAAGGAAGGAGAGGTTTTCAGGTGGGGAGAAAAGATTATGCAAAGACTGAATTGTGGAAGAGCATAGCATATTCAGGGATCCTTGAATTCAGTTTAGGACTGGAACATAAATCGTGGCAGCTCAATTGAGGCAAAGGAAGAAAAAAGTAGCAGAAGAACAGACGGGAAATGGTTGAGGCCAGCTGGTGAACGATTTGTTCTGAGTTTGATATTTAAACTGTAAACACAGCTTGCCACCTCAGAAACCTCTGGAAGACAGGCACAAAAGAATGAAGTAGGTGTAGTATAAGAACATAAACTGCCCGAAATAGAAGCAAGGTTCTTGATTTTTGAACTGTGGGTATAAACATTTAACATGTAGTAGAGTAGATAATAATAAACAGTAACTATATTTTAAACTCAAAGTAGACATTGAATAAAAGGTACTATCAGTACATTTAAAAAATATTTTGTTACTTTTAAATTGGAAACTGGAAATTGGATACTTTTTCTTCTCCCAGTTATCGCTGTCCAGCTGTGATAATTCAGGTCAGTTCAGAATTCAGCCTTGACTCCTTTAGCTTTTAGCAGTAACTAGATTTTTTTATACTACTTCATAATTCTGTTTCATCATAAAGCTGTTCACAAATGGGACTATAGATAAAATTGTGATTTCCTAAGGTCATCACAGTTTTCAGAATTGTAGTTCACTTGGTTTCTTTGTAGCTCTTTGCTCATGTATCAACATTGAGAAAGGCAAATCGAATAATGTTCATTTTAATAAAGTTTTAAGACAGAGAACCTTTTTTGCAATTAGTTTTAAATGCTACTGTTTGGAAAAATGTAATTCAGGCCATCATTTTATTTCTGGTCACTCATTTTAGTGTAGAAAGTAGTCCAGATTATTCTTTGACAAAGAAGTTTTCCATACACAATTTTCCTAGGAATGCGCAAATTAAATCACAGATTTGGATAATGCTTTTTGAGTATTCTTATAGAGAAATAAGAAACAGATAAGTTTAGATGGGTTGTAAGGTCAGCCTGGACTTGAAGTGAGGCATTTTCCTATTAGATGACAGTATGTTAATTTCTTTAAACAGTTCAAATATTTTCTTTCTCTGTCACAAAACAAAGTGATGTATCTTGTGACTATTGTATTGCTTTTTTAAAAAAAAATTTTTTTTTCTTCAGTGATTTTTGGAGAGAGAGGAAGGGAGAGGGAGAGAGAGAGAGAGAAACATCGATGAGAAAGAACATCGATTGGCCACCTCCTGCATGCCCCTCAGTGGGGATCAGGCCCATAACCTGGGCATGTGCCCTGACCGACGACTTCTTGTTTTGTTTTGTTTTTATCCTCACCCGAGGACATTTTTCCAATTTTTGTACAGAGAGAGTGGGAGGGGGAGAGGAAGAGAGAGAGAGAGAGAAACATCGACGTGAAAGGGACACATCGAGTGGCTGCCACCCGCATGACCAACCAGGGCCGGGGACAAACTGCAACTGAAGTACGTGCCCTTAGCGGGAACCGAACCCGGGTCTCTCCGGACCGCAGGCCGACGCTCTAACCGCTAAGCCAAACCGGCCAGGGCCCGACGACTTCTTGATGCAGGGTTGACACTCAACCACTGAGCTAGACCAGCCGAGCCATTGTATTGCTTTTTATATCCGTGATAATGCAATTTGTAACCATTTTAACCCAAAAAGGTTAGGCTGGGCTTTGAGTATATGTCAGTGAAAGTGTCTTCCCTCAAGGAACTCCTAGTCTAGAAGCAGCCATCCTTATACTTGTTCCATGGTGGTTGCTTAGTAAATTATTTGATGAATGAAAAGACGTAATCTATTTATGAGTTAATTTTACATCTTTGCACAGTACACATATGTATATACATACTACTTATACACAGGTTGGAAGTAAAATGTATTATAAAATAGTACTTAGGCTTACCATATGTGATGCATTCACTGATTTTAAATATTTTATTCTATGTCTTTAGTATGCTGTCATGACTCATTAACTTGATATCATGAACTACTAATGGATTGTACCCATTTAAAAAGAAAAACATTTTTCTGATGTTTAAGAAACCAGGAAATGGCTCCTAGGATCATTATTGATAACTTCTTGGTGACGGAAGCATTCATTCACCTTTGGGGAATAATGAAATATTAGGCTAAGAAAAAAAAATGTTCTCAAATAAAAGCTTGTTCATGGGAATTACCAAGGAATTACTCTAAAGGACTAAAAGTTAAAATTTGAACTCTTTCTGGACTCTGATGTTTTCTCTCTCTACGTTCCTGTTAGCCTTCGAACAGTGGCCGAGCTGCAGAACTTCTCGCTAAAGAACAGGGGACCGTGCCTGGATTTATTGGTTTTGGAACATTTCAGAGCGACCTAGGCTATGTTCCTGCTGTTCAAGGAGCCGAAGAAATAGACAGCCTCGTAGATTCTGATTTCCGAATGGTTCTGCGGAAACTGTCCAAGAAAGATGTCACAACAAAGTTAAAAGCAAGTTTTATAGTTTTCATGAAAATGATTAAGATAATCCTTTTATTAAAATACCAGTGGGCTATTTTCTGTAAAGAAAAATGAGTCATTACTACTACTTTTACAGCAATACTTTTTTCTGACACGTGGACTTAGCTTAGCTTGTACTCGCCTTCTAGGTTATAAACTAGTTGTTGCTCTGCACTGTTTTGTACCACTCTGGCTGTATTGTATTTTTCCCATTCGAGAATGTAATTTGATCCTTTGTGTTTTATTTATTTATTTACTTACTTACTTACTTAGTTACTTATTTAATCCTCACCTGAGGACAATCTTCCACCTTTTGTTGAGATAGAGTGGGAGGGAGAGAGAGAGAGGAGGAGAGAGAGAGAGTGAGAAACATCGACGTGAAAGGGACACATCGAGTGGCTGCCACCCGCATGACCAACCAGGTTGGGGACAAACTGCAACAGAGGCACGAGCCCCGCAGCAGTAACCAAACCCGGGTCTCTCTGCACCGCAGGTCGACGCTCCAACCGCTGAGCCAGACCGGCCAGGGCTGTATTTTATTTTTTTTATTATTAAAACTTTTTTGTTAATCTTCATTAATTTCCCACTAATTTTTAGATAGAGTGGAAGGGGAGGGAAGGGGAGAGGAGAGAGAGAGAGAAACATCGATGTGAGAGACAAATCAATCAGCTGCCTCCTCCACACCCCTGACCAGGGCCAGGGATCTAATCTGCAACCCTTGACTGAGAATCGCACCTGAGACCCTTCAGTTGTTGGGCTGGCACTCTGACTGCTGAGCCAAACCAGCCAGGGCTGTATTTTACTTATTTATTTATCCTCACCTGAGGACATTTTTTTCCATTTTTTGTTCAGACAGAGTGGGAAGGGGAGGGAGAGAAACATCGACGTGAAAGGGACACATCAAGTGGCTGCCACCCACACGACCCAACCAGGGCCAGGAACAAACTGTAACCGAGGTACATGCCCTTAGCGGAAACCGAACCCGGGTCTCTCTGGACCGCAGGCTGATGCTCTAACCACTGACAAAAACCGGACAGGGCTGTATTTCATTTTTTTAAAACAACTGAAAAGTTTTTACCATACTAGTCTGTAAAGGACTAGTCCCATATGGCATAAACAGAAACCAGGTATTCTCCTCTAACATAAAGTAGATGAAGCTTCTAGAACAGAATACATATGATCAATAGCCAGTGTTATGGCTCCTGATTCTTAACAATGTTAATTACTTTTAGGCTATGCAAGAATTTGGAACCATGTGTACAGAGAGAGACACAGAAATTGTAAAAGGAGTTCTTCCATACTGGCCAAGAATTTTTTGCAAAATTTCACTTGTAAGTATTAAGACTTACTAGCTTATTTCTGTTGTATTTTTAAAAGTTGATTTCTAGAGAGAGAGAGAGAGGAAGGGGAAAAGAGACAGATGGAGACAGACATTAGTTTCCACTTATTCATGCATTCACTGGTTGATACTTGTGTGTGCTCTGACCGGGGATTGAACCCACAACCATGATGTATCAGGACAATGCTCTAACCAACTCAACTGTCTGGCCAGGGCTGTTGTATATTTTTTACTGACGTTGTGGAGACCGTTCAATTCACGTGACCTTTTGGTGAGGATTATGAAATGCTTCGTCAATCTTGCTCCTCAGATAGATCCTGTTGGGTGTGTGAGGTGTACAGGGAGTCCATGTTTTCAAAAATTAGGTTAGAATTTCCCAGATGCTTTCCAGTCACAATAAATTTAGGCAGTTCAGTTTCTTTGTATATTTGCTACAGAAGAATGAGAATCAATTGCTTAATTGTTTAAGACCTAGCCTTGACGTTATCTTTAATGTACAATTGTTCTTATCTCATTGAGAAAAAGAAAAATAATCAATTACTTTACATAGTTATTGACTTTAGTTTAGCTTCGTATATAGTTGAATTCTTATTAATGGGTCATCATAGTATGTCCAGAATTATCTATATTTGTTTTAATGGGATATAGAGCTAATTTAAACCATATTATACTTTCTATAGGACCATGACCGCCGGGTTCGCGAAGCCACACAGCAAGCTTTTGAAAAACTTATTCTTAAAGTTAAGAAACACTTGGCTCCTTATTTAAAAAGTTTGATGGGCTATTGGCTCATTGCCCAGTGTGACACGTACCCGCCAGCTGCCTCCGCGGCCAAGGACGCCTTTGAGGCGGCTTTCCCCCCCAGCAAGCAGCCTGAAGCCATAGCCTTTTGTAAGGACGAGATCACAGGTGTAAGTGCTTGGAACTGTTCTGTTTTTTCCTTAAGTAGCTAAGGGACAGCAGGCATGTTACAGTGACAGCTCTTTACCTGGCATCATGTGGAGGGAGTGTGAAGTGTTTCCAGTGGGAGGTTGCCTTTTAAAATAGTATTTAACATAACTGTTCATGTTTTATTTTTTTTCTTTACTGATTTTTAGAGATAGAGGAACAGAGAGGGAGAGAGAGACAGAAGCATCAGCGAGAGAGAACATCAATTGGTTGCTTCCAGCATGCCCCCCACTGGGGATTTGGCCCACAACCTGGGCATGTGCCCTGACTGGGAATTGAACCCTTGACCTCTTGGTGCAGGGTCGACACCCAACCACTGAGCTACTCCGGCCGGGCTCTACTTCACTCTTTTTGCTGGCTCTCTGGCATTCCTATGTATGGATATACGGCTGCTTAGTTATCATTTTAAATAAACATTTGTAGTTCTACCCCATTTTTTTAAATGTAGCACATGCCGCTTCCGTGAACATTCTTGAATGGATGTCTTATACCTGTGGGAGTGATAGTGACCAGCACTTTTATCGTCATGTATTGAGTCAAAGGATATGAACATTTAAAATATTTACAGATATTGATAAATTAATTTCCTTTCAAATGGCCATACAGAGCTATGCTCCCAGGGACACATACAAAAGTTTCTTCAACTCTTGGCCAACAGTTTTGCCAAACTGGTGTCAGCTATAACTTTTGTGGCTTTCAGTTTGTCTGCATCTAGTACTGGTTTCTTCATTTTTCCCCTACTTCTTGGTATTCCTGAGATAATGCCTGGAAAACCAGATGACTAAGTTTCTTAATGTTACATGAAATAAAAATAGATGGACTGTGAGTGAGGAGGGAGGTGAGGATTATAAATGGGCACATCCATTCCCTTAGGCAGCACTCCTGGGTTTCCGTCGCCCTGTGTCTGCCCTCACTCCTGTGCTTCCTCTTTCCAGTTAGTCAGCCTTCCCTTGGCTTCCTGTTACCTGGTTATCGTGGACTCCTGGGCTCTTCGTGACCTGGTCCTTTCCCCTCACTCCCCACACGTAGGAGTCTCCTTCCCCATTTAAGTTCTCTGTTCTTTTGTTCTTCATTTCTTAGGTGTGCCAGGCTTGTCTTGCTAGGAACATGATTTGTACCTTTAATCATTTTCTCCAAGGAAATTCTCTAACCCAACTACAGGTTAAGAATCTGGTTTATTTATTTTTTTATTATTATTTATTCTCACCCGAGGACATTTTTCCATTTTTGTTCAGGAAGAGTGGGAGGGAGAGAGGCGAAGAAAGAGAGAGAGAAACATCGACGTGAAAGGGATATATCGAGTGGCTGCCACCCTCATGACCAACTAGGGCCAGGGACAAACTGCAACTGAGGTACATGCCCCTAGCGGGAACTGAACCTGGGTCTCTCCGGACCACAGGCCAACGCTCTAACTGCTGAGCCAAACTGGCAGGGCAAGAATCAGGTTTATTTAAATATAAAGTGGTAACTTATGAAAGTGAAGTGTCAAGAGTTTGGACGTGAAGGGTTTTAGAAAATGTGTTTTGAGACCATTAATTTGCCTGTTCACACAGTTTGTGTTTGATTTTTTTTGTTACTGGCTTTGTTATGGATGGATAACTGGTCACTGAATATGTGGATTATTTCCTCCTTGTTATTTTCCCTTCAGTTGTCTGTGTCACAGTTCATTGCAGATACTGAGTTTGAACTTTTCCAAGTACAAAACCAACTTATAAGACAGGAGTTAGGCAAATGAAGATCAAAATGTCAGACTTACAGAGAGTATATTACATGCATTCTAGTTCCCCATTTAGGTTCTTGGTTGTACTGTCAGTAAGAATATGGGCACATGGGCTCTGGGTGATACCATCGAGTTCCAGGGCCCCTCTGCCATCACTTAGGTGTGTGACCTTGGACATGTTTCTGCACCTCCGTCTCCTCATCTGTTACAGTGGGAACTGACTTGTACTTCACTGCATAGCTGTGAGGATTGAGTTAGGTAAAGCATGAGGTATGCTCAGAGCATTATGTGGGGTGTGCAAACACTCAATAGATGTCAGCTCTTGTTATCGCTGGTAAAGTCAGTACTGGAACAGGATTCTTGCTCGTGCTGTACCCCAGAAGTAGGCGACTGCCCCAGAACTTCAGATGGAGTGCAGGCACTGGTTAGGTGATGGGACAGAGCCCGGCTGTGTTCTTCTCAGTGAGCGAGGGGTGATCACAGAGGGAATAGGGAAGGGGCCTGATTCCTGTTCCAGACTCGCACGACAGTGGGCAAGGCAGGTAGAGAGGCCAGGGGCCAGGAGTGTTTAGGGGACGACTCCTCCTGGTGGAAACTGCAGGTGTTTGGAGTGCCCTATTCTCAACCCCAATAGCAGCCAGTCTTGGGGATGGCAGGGAAAGAAAAATAGGTAAAGTTCAAACCTTTAGTTTTGCTACTTAATTTAGCTTCTTTTATGGGTCAGAGTAAAATTTAGGTAAGGTGAGGTTTATGCTCTATCTGGTCACCGTTGCAATTCAGTAAAATCTCAAGGTCGGATTGTCCCTCTGCAGGTGCTGCAGGACCATCTGATAAAGGAAACACCTGACTCGCTCAGTGACCCACAGTAAGTTGTGTCTCTGAAACTCACTCTGAGGATTTGTTTCACTCCTGGGTCATAAGGTGATCATTGTAATGTGACTTTTTTGTTGTTGTTAATCCTCATCAGATGGTATTTTTTCATTGATTTTTAGAGAGAGTGAAAGGGCGGGAGGGAGAGAGAGAGAGAGAAACATTGATTCAAGAGAGACACATCAATCGGTTTTCTCCCACATGACCCTGACCAGGGCCAGGGATCGAACCTATGACCCTTTGGTTCACAGACCGACATTGAGCCAAACCAGCCAGGGCTTAATGTGACATTTTTAAAGGGTGGGCTAAATGTAGAGATGAAAATATGTAATATAGTGCTGTATGCCAAGTGCTGTTTTTTATTTATTTATTTATTTTTCCATTTATTGATTTTAGAGAGGAAGGGAGAGGGAGAAAGAGATAGAAACATCGATGAGAGAGAACATTGATTGGCCACCTCCTGCATGCCCCCCACTGGGGATCGGGCCCACTACCTGGGCATGTGCCCTGACTGGGAATTGAACTGGCGGTGCAGGGTCGGTGCTCAGCCACTGAGCACACTGCCCAAGTGCTGCTTAGCGCTGCCCCTTGCAGCTGCCTTGCTGTGTGGGCGGGTCATCTGGGAGCACGTGTCTGCTCACTTGCAGAGAGAGGCTTACGCTCTCCCACACTCACCTTCTGCATTCAGGGCAGGGACCATTCTAAGGGCTGGTTGACATGACAGTAGCTGAAGAACTGAGAAGTTCTGCTGAAAGAGTGGTGAAATGTTTCCTTAACTTTTATTATGTTCCAGTCATACGGTTAAGAGTGTGTCAGGGCCCTGGCCAGTTTGGCTCAGCGATTGAGCATTGGCCTGCGGACCAGAGAGTCCCAGGTTCGGTTCTCGCTAGGGGCATGTACCACAAAAAAAAAAAGAGTGCGTCGGGAAAGTAATCTTAGATGCACTGATGCCCGTTCCCGAGGCTCACCCTGCTAACTGCCCTGAGAGCAGGAACGCGCACACTTGCCTCGGGCTGTGGCTTTCCGTGTACTCGCACCTGGTGTCATGTGGAAAATACGTGGTTAGACTTCTGTGAATGTTTGTACAGTATTTTGAGGAAGGGTCAGCACAGGAAGAATTGAATATAGAAATAAAGCGACTTTGGTAGGTATTTAATGATACAATGTTTAAAATAGAAGTGCCAGGTATGTAGTTTGGCTTATACTCAATCTTTATACATATTTGTTTTCTTTTTACAATAAGAACTGTTCCAGAGGAAGAGAGAGAAGCTAAATTCTATCGGGTTGTAACTTGTTCGTTATTGGCATTAAAGAAATTGCTTTGCCTCTTACCTGATAATGAGCTTGATTCTCTGGAGGAGAAATTTAAGTCTCTTCTGTCACAGAACAAATTTTGGAAGTATGGAAAACACAGTATACCTCAGGTATCTCAATCTTTTTATTTTAAGATATTTCTCTGATTTCTTTTTTTGCTCGATCTCGTTAGTTCATGTTTAAAACTCTACAAACACATCTTTGCGGTAGGACTGAGCTACCTCTCTGCCTGGGTGTCTCAGCGTCTTCGCCATGTGGGTGAATGTTCAGACCTCAGACTCAGACTCCTTGTCACGCCTCCATCCCTGGCAGCTTGAAATCATTTCATGTCTTTATTTTTTCCCTTTGCTTCTGTCTCTCCATTCTCCACCTTCACCAGCTGACCATTCTAAGTGTGCTGAGCATATATCTGTATAGTGGATTTGTGTTATTTGTGATAATTATGGTCTATGGAGTCCTCACAAACACTGAATTCGTGATCCTGGAGCATTACTCTTAGGGGAGGGGGAAATGTGGGATTAAGTTCTTGTGAGTCTCTGGGTCTCGCAGCATTTTTGTGTGTTGGTTAATACATAACCTTGTTTTTTATGTCTGTTTAAAGACATCTTTTTTAATATATTGTTGATTCATTAACATGGAACTCTGCCCTGGCTGGTTTGGCTCAGCGGTTAGAGCGTCAGCCCTCGGACCAAAGAATCATGGGTGCAGTTCCAGTCAAGGACATGTATCTCTGTTGTGGTTCAATCCCCAGCCCTGGTTGGGGTCTTGTGGGAGGCAACCAGTCGATGTGTCTGTCTCACATGGATGTTTCTTTGTCACATGGATGTTTCTCTCTCTCTCTCTCTCTTCCCACTCTATCTGAAAATCAAGCAAAAATATCCTTGGGTTGAGGATAAAAAAAAACAAACCAAAATGTAAACTCACTGGATGTCATGCCTGAATAGAGCTTATCTAACACAAATTTTCCCTCTTAGGCATGTTGCAGCCGTCTTTCGTGTTTTTAATTCACATGAGCGGCATTGTGTTATATTACATTCCATTTACTGCTTTTTGCTTAGTGTTTTTTTTTTAAAGTACTATGTTTTAAATTCGTCATGTTTCTATATGTGTATGTGGTCCATGGCTCTAACTGCTGTGTCATATTCAGAAATGTGCCTCCATTCCATCTACCTGCCCATTCCCCCAGGACAAGCACCTGATTTCTCCACTTCCTCACCCTCACCGTTGATGCGGCAGCTGGTGTCTTTGCTCACGTGTCCTCAGATCTGCAAGAATTCCTTTTTCCGAAAATCTCTCAATTGCTGAGTCAAGAGTAAATAAATGCACACGTAATAGATTTTCTGAAGTAGTGCTGGATTGCTCACCTGCATGGCTGGTACTCTAGACCATCAACACATGATGGTCGTGTACAGTCTTACATACTAGCCATGACTAGGCATCATTCAGTGTCCTAATTTTTATCAGTCTAATAGGAATTCAAATGGTATCTAACTTTAGTTATTGTGCTGAGTGACTTAGCATCGCTTTATAAGCTTTTTAGATTTTTTTTCTTTAATCTGTTTATATCTTTTCTTGCTTGTGATGTGATGGATTTTTTGAATCTGTAGATGGTGTATTTCATCAGTTCTTACCAAGTGCTCAGTTCTCTCTTCAAAGATGTTAATTTTCTCATTCCGTCTCCTCTCTCCCTTTGGGATTCTGACGACGTGTGTTAATTTCTCTTTGTCTATGTCTCTCATACTGTCGGTTGTTTTCGTCTTTTTGTGTTTTCATGCTACTTGGTGGACATTTTTTTTAATTGAACTTATTTTTTATTTTTATTTTTTAATATATATTTAAATTTGTTTTTATTGACTTTTTAGAGAGAGAGGAAGGGAGAGAGAGAAACATTTTTTTTCTTTTATTGATTTTAGAGAAAGGGAGGGAGAGGGAGAGAGAGAAAAACATCGATGAGAGAGACCATCAATTGGCCGTCTCCTGCATGCCCCCCACTGGGGATCAGGCCCACAACCTGGGCTTCGAACAGGATACTTCTTGGTGCAGGGTCGATGCTCAACCACTGATGCTCAACACCAACTTGGCTACTTAATTATTTACTTTTAGATTAGGAATTGTTCTTGCTTTTTTTGTTTATTTTTTATTTTTTTTGTTAATCCTTACCTGATGATATATTTTCCATTGATTTTTAAAAGGAGTTGAAAGGGAGGAGGGGAGAAAGAGATAGAAACATTGATGTGAGAAAGACACATTGGTTGCTTGCCTCCCACACTTGCTGTGACCAGGGCCGGGGATTGAATCTGCAACCTAGGTACATGCCCTTGACCGGAGATCGAACCTGTGACCCTTCGGTGTGCGGGCCAATGCTCTGACCTCTGTGCCACACTGGCCAGGGTTGTGCTTGCTTCTTTTCTAGATTTGCTGTGCCTTTTCCAAGATTCTTTTCTCTTAGGTTTCTTTAAACTTTTGTTAAATATAATAAGCATTGTTGATACGGAATTTGTAACTGTTAATTCCAAGTTTTAAAGGCTCAGATTTCTGTTATCTTTGGTTTTTAATAGTGACCACAGTATCTTATAATCCAAGACCCCAAGCAAAGGGTTCTGTACTAGAGAATCTGTGTTTTCTTCAGTTAAAGACACGAGAAGTTGAGTTCTTGCTGTCTTCACTTGTTGCTTGGTGATTCCTAATGTCTTCTTAGTCATTCAGTACTCTTAAAAACATTCTTTAAAGTATTTCTGTAGCTGTTTTTTAGTTATACCAATGGGAGGGTTAGTATGAATAACCTATCTGCCCTTAGCATAAATTAGAGCTTATTATAGTTTTACTTGGCTTTAATTTAATTTGGCTTTTTCCTTTAGATCCGCTCAGCTTATTTTGAGTTAGTTTCTGCTTTGTGCCAGCGTATTCCACAGCTGATGAAAGATGAAGCATCTAAAGTGAGTGCGTCTGTTCTACTCAGCATTGACGACAGTGACCCCGTGGTGTGCCCTGCTCTCTGGGAAGCTGTGCTGTGTACACTTGCAACTGTTGAGGTGTGTGGGAGAGGGATGTTTAGTCCATCCGAGGACACGTGCCTCGGAGCGAGCCTGTTAGGTCATTATATGTAAAATTTACTGGAAGAGTGCTTTCTTGGAAATGAAGTACTTTACCCAGAACTCGGTGTAAATCTAAAATGGACTGGAGTGCAGGGTGTACTTGCTCTCGGCTCGCCCCCGTGCTGTGTGCCTGTGGGAGCGAGCGCACCCGAGCGTGTGGTTGAGGCCGAGTGCTGCTGTCCCTTTCAGGGAGCAGCTGTTGTGCAGATAATTTAATCTGAGTAATTATTCCTGATGGATGTCATCTTGGAAGCATGTGGGATGCATGATTACTGTATGTAATACATTTCTTGTAATTTTAGCGTTTTAGGTTTTAATGGCAGTGAGAGATGTCAGCCTCTTTAGACTTGATTTTTATTTTTGAGACCTATGTACCTTCTCTCTCAATTGGGAAAAGTATGTTTATGATCTGTTATTATAATCTTTTCTTTGGTTAGGACTGTTGGCTTCATGTAAATGCAAAAAAGAGTGTGTTTCCCAAGCTGTCGGCTGTGGTCCGTGAAGGTGGCCGGGGTCTGGCTACTGTCATAGGTCCTTGCCTTCTGCCGCTCATCAGCCGGCTGCCTCAGTCCGTCACAGACCCGAAGCTGGACTTCTTCAGAAACTTCCTCGCCTCTCTAGTTGCAGGGTAAGGAATTTAAATTCTTTTTTAAAATTTATTTATTTTTTTTAAACCCTCACCTAAGGATATTTTTTCCATTGATTTTTTTTAGAGGGAATGGCTGGGGGCAGGGAGAGAGAGAAACATCTCTGTGAAAGAGACACATTGATGGGTTGCCTCCCCCACCCCCCCTGACCGGGGCCAGGGGGTCAGACCTGCAATCTGGGCACATGCCCTTGACTGGGAACCAGACTCACGACCCTCTGTACACAAGCGAACACTCTGACCACTGAGTCACCGGCCAGGGAAAATTCTTGATCTTTTTAAAGCAAGAGGTTTTTATTGTTTTCACAGTTGAATAGAATATCATTCATACACACACACACACACACACACACACACATATACACACACACACACACACACACATATATAATCTTTTTTTTTAAAACTCCTCACCCAAGGTTATTTTTCTACTTATAATCAGATAGAGTGGGAGGGAGAGAGAGAGAGAGACAAAGAGAGACAGAGAAACATCGATGTGATAGAGCCACATTGACTGGTTGCCTCCTGCATGACCCTACCAGGGCCAGGGATGAACCGCAACCAAGGTATGTGTCCTTGACCGGAATCAAACCCGCAACTCGTTGGTCCATGGGCCCATGCTAACAGCTGCGCCAAACCGGCCAGGGCTGTTATTGTCTTTCTTATTTAAATTTCCTCCACATTGTTTAGCTGTTCATGAAACACTTTTCAGTTTTCAGGTACTTAAACTGGAACATTTTCGGGGGGTACTTTCAAGGCTACAGTGGCAGCATACAGCAGAAAATGAGATACATGTGGTAAGACCCTTAGGTGGCAGCAGGCCATTTTTCAAATGAGCCATTGTTTATGTGTTGATAAATACAAATGCCCAAATGCAAAAAATGGACCCGTAAAGTTTCTAAAACTCCATAAACTTATGGAAGTTTAAAGACTCACTTAAAAAATTATTTCAATGGATTTGTTGAACTTAATAAATAAAAGATGCCCAATTTTATTAGTGATAAAGCATTTTTTTTCACACTTTTAAAAAATTGATAATTTGAGAGAAAGGAAGAGAGGGAGAGAGAGAGAATCATCAATGAGAGAGAACATCAATTGGCCACCTCCTGCATGCCCCCCACTGGGGATCAGGGCCATGATCTGGGCATGTGTCCTGACTAGGAATTGAACTGGTGACCTCTTGGGCTGTTCTTATTTTTTTAGTTTAAGAATTTTATTTTTAAAAATTGTCATCTTTTGGTATGATGCCTTTTCCATGATTTTATTTTGGTGTTTCTGAGTTGCATATGTTACTTTTGATGAAGAAGTAAGCCATAGTTATTTATTTTTTCTCAGGCTATCAACAGAGAAAATCAAAACCAGCTTCTCAGAGTGCTCAGCAGTGATATCTGCTTTTTTTGAATGCTTACGTTTTATAATGCAACAAAGCTTAGGCGAGGAAGAGATTGAGGAGATGCTCATCAATGATCAGGTATTTATCAAGCTTATTGTGTCTTGATTGCCATTTTATTAATTAGCCTTCCTTGTAAAGACTTCATATTTGCTTTATATGATAGCATTGTATTGTAGTGCCTGAGGACTAGTGTCTGGTTGTACAAACCCTGACTGTTCTATAGAGTTGATATGCAAAACATAATTTAGAAGGTGATATTTATGATTTTTTGCATTAAGTTTAAATAATGCAGCATTATTACTTCTAAAATACTCAAGCACATGTATGTGTTTGTGAGTAGTTGCGCTTGTTTCGTAGCCAGTGAGGAGAGCGGGTTCTGGGACACGGCTCCTGTTGTAGGGAATTAATGGATGTAATGTAAGTCCAGATCGTAGTTGTTGTTTCAGATAGTTAACTTCTCTTATCTTCATAATTTAATAAAAAGGGTTCTGAATTCTGTGGGTCCTCTGTGTCTTGCATTATTGGCTTAGAAAAAAGGCGAAAAACTTGAATAACTTCGTAAGATGCAGAGAAAACGATATTATTTGTTAATGACCAATAATCTTGGTCAATTGTATCAAAAACAAAGTAATTCAGGGAGAATACAGTAAAATCATTTAGTTCTTTATATGATATGAAAATGATTTACAAGGTAACTTTTCACAGTTCTGTGGGGAATCCATGTTTTTCATTTATTAAAAATGAAATTTATAATGTTTTACAAATTCTTTTATTTCTTCTGAAAACTGAACTTTTCTATTTCACCTTCTTTTTCAGTTAATTCCTGTGATTGACACAGTTCTCAAAGACCCAAGATTGCAAGATGGGCAACTGTTGGACTATTTAGCAGAAACTTTAAGTTCTTGGGAAGCCAAAGCAGATATGGAGAAAGATGATAAAATAGCTCAAAACTTGGAGAAAGTGCTACAGAATTTCTGGGAAAGACTGTCAGAGATTTGTGTTGAGAAAATCAGTGAGCCAGAAGCTGATGTTAAGTCTGTTTTTGGTGTATCTAACCTATTACAGGTCCTTCAGAAGCCGCCGAAAAGCTCACTGAAGTCAAACAAAAGAAAAGTTGGTAAGGTTAGATTTGCGGATGAGACATCTGCTAGTGCCGGAGAGAGCGAGGCATGGGTCTCCTCAGGAGGAGAGAGCAGTGAGGGCCGTGCATCAGTGGCTGAACCTCCTGCCCCCCCTGACTGCTCAGACCTGTCTCCACTAAGGAAGAAGCCTCTGGGAGACCTGGTCTGCAGACTGGCGGAGATGAGTATTAATCACGTCAATGACCAGAAGTCAGAGCAACATCTGAGGTTTCTTTCCACTCTGCTCAACTCCTTCTCCTCAACCCAAGTATTTAAGATGCTACTAGGTGATGAAAAGCACAGGATCATCAAGTCCAAGCCTCTGAAAATAGCTAAACTTGTACAAAAAAATCCCGCAGTGCAGTTTTTATACCAGAAACTAATTGGTTGGCTAAACGAAGACCAAAGGAGGGACACTGGATTCTTGGTGGACATTTTGTACAGTGCCCTTCGTTGCTGTGATGACGATCAGGAAAGAAAAGATGTCCTAGACGATCTAACCGAGGTATTACTGTTGTTCCTCTTTTCACTCCAGTGGTTTACACTGGCACACTGATTGCAGAGAAGCAGAGAGGCCTATGCAGTGATATTTATATTGTTTCTAAAACTAAGCAGTATGCTGACTGATTTGGGGAGTGTGAGACTTCTGGGCAGGTGTTCAGTATCTGTGTGAGCCTGGCAGAGCTTGGAGATGGGAGGGTGAGCACTTCCAGCCCACACAGTGAGGTCGGACGAGCTAAGAAAGTGCTCTTTTTGCAGTGATTACGTGATTGACTTCCTTGTAAATGCTGGCTGTTTCTTCCAGAGATTGTTTCTGACTCTTCTTTTTTTTTCAGGTGGATCTGAAATGGAATTCGGTTCTTCGGGTCATTGAAAAGGTATCTTAGAGATTCTTCTCTTCTTCTTTTCGTATTTATGGGTCTAGAAAAATTAATACCACAGTCATAGTCACACACTAGGTGGCCAGGAGTCTGTGTTAGAGGATGTTCTCATTATCATAACGTCCCACAATCTGAGAAGATATTTGGCGCCTGCCTTCCTGTAGTGTTTGTCCGGGAGGAGTGAGCAAGCTCGGGGGTCCCATGTTTCTTTCCTGCAGGGACCAGAGCCAGGGCTAAACATTTTATTCCTTAAACGAAGGCTTCAGGGTTCTACTCTTATCCATTACTTTGCCTTCTATATAAATGGATTGAGTGGTTCTAGCTTTGGCTAGAACACATCAGGAAATTGTTGGCCCAACTTCCAGCCTTTGATGGCCACCTGACCTAATAAGAAAATTAGTGATGAGAATAATGAAAATAAATCAGTTTGGAAAGTTAAAAAAATAGCTTAAGTAGTCTTTCCTAATGAAGGTGTAATTTCAACCAGGTGTTATAATTAGCTACCTAAAATTTTTTTAGCATTTTTGAATTATTGTAAGTTTCATACAGATAACTCTTTAATTTACAAGTTTTTTTTACTATCGTTTGAAATTATGACATAGCCCTGGCTGGGTAGCTTAGTTGGTTAGAGCATTGTCCTTATGCACCAAGGTTGCAGGTTTGATCCCTGATCAGGGCACATGCAAGGATCTACCAATGAGGACATGAATAAGTGGAACAACACGTCTGTATTTCTCCCTCTTTCTCCGCTCCTCCCTCCCTCTCTCTCTCTCTCTCTCTCTCTCTCTCTCTCAAATCAATAAGAAAACGATAATAAAGTGATGGTATAAACACAAGTAAGATCGACCCTCGCTCGTTTCTGAGTGTGCGTTCCGCAGGGCTGCTCTCACTGCTGTGCGGCCAGGTCCCAGAGCCCTTCCGTCCTGCAAAACGGGACCCTGCGAGTCAACAGCAACTCCTCATATCCCCCAAGAGTTTTTTTTTTTAATCCTCACCCGAGGATATTTTTTATTTATCTTCAGACAGAGTGGGAGTGACGGAGGGAGGGAGGGAGAAGAGAGAGAAGGAAGAGAGACACATCGACTGGTTGCCTCCCGCACAACCCTGGCCAGGGCCAGGGCCAGGGCCAGAACTTCAACTGAGGTACATGCCCCCAACCAGAATTGAACCCGTGACTCTTTGGTCCATGGACTGACCCTCTAACTGCTGAGCCGAATCGACCAGGGCCCAATAGTTTATTTTTACAAAAGAAATACAGACTGTGACTGTTTTTCGATGAGAAATGTAACTTACCAGGCACATCATCTGCATTAGCTTAACCAGTATCTTCTCTCTCTATAGGCAGACTGCATGGAAAGCCAAAGTAACAAAGCTGCTTGATAAGTCTAGAGCCAGAGTAAGGGAGTTAAAGATTTGATAAGAGAAGGATACATTCATTTCGAGCTTAGGAATGTACCGCGTGGAGCTCAGACACACGTCTGGGCAGTGTCTGCCTCCCACGTGTCCACAAGGAACCAGCTGACCATCTTCTCAAAGCTGGTCACATTCCTTCTGCAGCTGTGTGAGAACATTGGGAAGCTGAACGGCATGTCTCACTAACCTGAGACATACTCTTCAGAAGATTATTTTCTGGATTCTGTAGGATTCTATAAAACAGATTGGTTTTGTTTGGTAAACTATATTAGGAAAGCCAGTCTTGTCATTTATAAGCAGAGTCCTAAAGGCACTTTCTTTAAAAACAAACCTGAAGTTTGTATCCAGAAAAAGGACCTTAGAGATTGTCTAGTTTAATCTTCATTTTTAAAATTAGGAAATAGGCCCAGGTTGATTAAGAAATTTGTCCAGTCCTGGCTGGTTTGGCTCAGCTGTTGGAGCATTGGCCTGCAGACCGAAGGGTCTCGGATTCAATCCCTGCTCAAGGGCACATACCTGGGTTGCAGATTCAATCCCAGCCCCAGTCAGGGTCGTGTAGGAGTCAACCAATCCCTGTCTCAAACATCGATGTTTTTCTCTCTCTCTTCCTCCCTCCCTTCCATTCTATCTAAAAATCAATGGAAGAATAGCCTCGGGTGAAGACAACAACAGCCCAAAAAGGTTAAAAAAAATGGTCTGTCCAGTGCCCTGACCTGGTTAGCTCAGTTGTTTGGGAGTGTCTTCCTGATGCACCAGGGATGCACCAGGGCTGTGGGGATGGGTCAGGGCACACACAAGAACCCACCGACGAGTGTATGGATGGGTGGAGCAGCAAGTTGATGTTTCTCTCTCTCTCTCCCCGCCCTTCCTCCCTTTTTTTGGTTCTAAAATCAATTAAAAAAAAAAAAAACCTGGCAGGGTGGCTCCATTGGTTGTAGCACCGTCCCATACATCAAAAGATTTCAAGTTTGATTCCCCATCAAGACACATATCTAGGTTGTGGGTTCAATCCCAGGTCCGGGCATGTACAAGAGGCCACCAGTCAGTGTTTCTCAATGTTTCTCTCCTTTCCTTCCTCTCTCTGAAAAACAAACACACATATCCTCCAACGAGGATTAAACAAGAAATTTGTCCAAGAAAGGTGGTAGAGCTTGGGCTAAAATAAAAGCTCTGGTTACCTACAGTCTTTTAAATAAAAGGATAAGCGGTTTCCAGGCACCGCCTGACCCACACTTGGATTCTTGTTTTCTAGATGGCTTTGAAATGAACCAAGTTGCAAATTCCTTTCTTCTCAGCACTTAAAGCAAAAGAAGCTATGGGAACATGGATCAGCATGCTCTGGGGGTTGATTCACATTTTTTTCTTGCTTCTCCACATCATGAAAATAAACCAGTTGCTGTGAGCTGTCTGTCCCTAGTAACTGTTACAAAGAATTTGTGAAAATAATAAGTCCTATTATTCGTATTGAAGTAATTTACCACTATATATTAATTGCTCTTTAATTTCATAAAATTAATGAACAAAAATTGAGTATCTATAGAGCATTTTTAGAAAGTCTGTCTTCAAAGTTCAGCAGTCGTTACTGAGCATGTCTGTAGTGTTGATGGCAGGTGTCGTGAGGTTAAAGACAGTCTCTTCCCTCAAGGGACTGACAGTCTCATTGGAAACAAGACACACAGAGTAAACTATAAAAAATAACACAACCCAGTAAGTGCTTTAGAAAATCAGAGAAAGCTAGTGATGAATGGCATGGAGAGGATGGGGGAGTTCATAAAGCAGGTGGGGTTATGAGTGGAGAAGGGGGTGCTTGTGGCCGGGGAGATGGATGCGGAGCGCGTGGAGCGTGGGGAGCCAAGCCCGGCACTGAGGAGGCGCAGTGGCGTGGTGCCGTGCGGCCTGCCGGAGGCACCTGATGCGGCGAGTGGTCCATTGGGCAGATCCACTTTTTGATCTTGTTTCTAATCTTTGCTCTACTTGTATGATTTTAGGCATGTTCTAGTTCAGGTAAACATGCTTTAGTAGTTTCTTGGCTGAAAGGAGATGTCCTTGGAGAGAAGTTGGTAACCTTGGCAGATCATCTTTGCAATGAGGACTTGGAATCCACAGTGACTTCTGAACCTTACTTCTCAGAAAGATGGACTCTTTTAAGCTTGGTATTGTCCCAACATATTGAAAATGGTAGGCAAAAATACAGCTTTTGTTTCCAGTGGGGATGATCCTGTCACTTTGGGGGATTGCATGCTGCTAAGTCTAGTTTGCATGTTACTGGCTAAGAACATGATTCACTAGAATGTCTTAATTTTGTAAGCAGCCTAAATGTTCATTAGTCTTTGTGGTATGGCTTGGATGACATTTAATATTTCTGTTTTTTGGATTTTGCAAAGCTGTCTGCCCTAATTTTGTAGAGCATTGCTGTTTAAATTTAATTTAGAGCTGCCTTTTCTGCGTGAGGGCTCTTATGTGTGAGATCAGATTCACTTGATATGATGTTCTTTTGTCTAATACAGAAGCACCTTTTATAACACATAGAAAGATTCAAGTGGTAGTAACCCAAAGTATGGATTCAAAATTATACTGTTAATATTTGTTATTTTTTGTGTTTGATTTTTTCCTCTAGATTATTTGATTGGAGAAGTATATGTTGAACGAGTTCTTGTTAAACTTAATGAAACTTTATCCAAAGTAAAGAAATTGTCAGAAGCTGAAAATAATGATTCTTCAGTGTCTCTTATCTGCAATGTAGCCTATGACTGTTTCAGCTCGGCGACAGGATGCCTGCCAGTGCCGTCCTCTGAAGACTTACTGTTAACTCTCTTTCAGCTTTGTGCTCAGAGCAAAGAAGAAACACATCTGCCAGGTAATAATAGCCCACTGCTCAGTGTTTTGCTGGAATCTCCGGCTCTAACCCTCATAGTGCAAGTGTCCAGGCTTTATTAACTGAATCACAATGTGTTTGAAAGTTGAAATCATTTTGAGTAACGGTCTACAAACCTTAAACACTTTCAGTGTTAAAAATCAAATTAAAGCCCTGGCCGCTTTGGCTCAGCAGTTAGAGCATCAGCCTGCAGACCAGAGAGACCGGGTTCGGTTCATGCTAAGGGCACGTACCTCGGTTACAGTTTGTCCCTGGCCCTGGTTGGGGTCGTGTGGGTGGCAACCACTCGATGTGTCTCTCACATCGATGTTTCGCTCTCTCTTCCTTCCTCTCTCCCTCCTGCTCTATCTGAAGGTAAATGCAAAAATGTCCTCAGGTGAGGATAAAAACAAAAGTCTTACCATTTATACCTTATGTGGCATGAACTAGCTTGTATTGTATTATTGCATGTTTATGACATAATTATTTTGTTTGACATTGAATGGTAATTTTAGTTTTGTTTTATAAATTGTATTTTAACAATCTGAGACCTGCAGTGAGTTCTTTCAGAAATTTTCTAATGATTAGTTACTTCAGTGGGATTACAAGTTACTGTTGACATCTTGGTTTCAGACTTCCTCGTCTGTAAGCTGAAAAAAACGTGGCTGTCTGGCGTGGATCTGCTGGTCCGTCAGGCTGGCCGCGCAGGTCGGCAGAGCGCTTTTCTGCGTTTGTCGGCGCTGTGGCTGAAGGACCAGGTTCAGTCGTCCTCCCTGGACATCAAAAGGTGACCATTTCTGTGTTCAGTTGTACATCATCTCTTCATACTTGATCACTGTCCTTAAATCAGACCACATAATTCGTGTGAGTGTTCATGAAAAATGACTTGTTATATAAGAAATCGATAGGACTCCTAAGAGGATTTTCCCAAAAGTCTTGTTTTAACGGCCATCTGAACTGAAGAGTGGCTGTCAGGGCAGGCCTGCCGCACTCCGTCGTGCTCGGTGACGGGCTGCTGGTGTCGCTCTGCAGCTCTGGTGTGGGCTGTAGCCGCAGCCCCTCCTGGCCCGCTCACTTGATTGTTCATGCTGGTTGTCTTGTTGTGTCTGACAGCCACTGTTCTAAGGTGTTTGGATTGCAGTGTATTTCACATCTCATACCTAAATCCACATGTAAAAGTGAAAACTGAGGAAATGTATCCAGAGGTTTTTGGGGTTGAGTCAAATATTTTTTGTGGAATAGGTAGCTGTATGTCAGGAATATCTGATCAGGTCCCCTTCCTGCTGAGATGGAAGTAGCAGTCAATTCCAAATCATAGATGTGGGGTTACATCCCCAGTTTGACTGTGTGTTGGGAAGGGTGGTATAGAAAGGCCGCCTGCATTATTTTTGTTTTGTCTTTTTTGTTTGGATAAGCTGTTATCTGCCATGGGGTACCGACTGTACCAGGGTGTTCAAATCAGTCACCGCATAACTATAGCAGTTACGTTCTTTGCATTATTTTCAGTCTTCAAGGACTCCTGTCTGCTGTTGATGATTTGCTGAGTAAGCTTTTAGAGAGTGAAGATGCCTCCCTCCTGGGAGTTTATATTGGAAGTGTGATGCCGGACAACAGTGAATGGGAAAAGATGAGGCAGGCTCTTCCTATGCAGGTATGTTTGAAGTTGGAGAGTGCATTTCTCATCCTGAAGTTTGGATGCAAGCTTAAATATTTTTATTTATTTCTTGTGAAGAAAAATAAGTAAATGAAATGAGTGTCTAACTTAGCTCCCATGCCTCTGAGTGCTCGTGTCCCGCACGTCGTGTCTGCAAGAGCCTAGGTGGTGCGCTGGTGCTGGTGCAAGGTGAGTGGGCCCTGGTGACGTCCTCGGGATGCTGCAAGAAATATGCACGTGCGGATTTCCTGTAGCGGGACCAAGCGTTAGGCTTCTGTGGTTCTACTAGTAAACTAATGCCAACTTCATTTTTGAAGTTATTTTATTAACAATTTGAAGATGTTCTAATAACTGTATTTTTGTTCCCTGTCTTAGTTGTATAGTTGGTGGTAAAAAGAATATCTAATGTGTATGATTTATCTTTTTACAGTGGTTGCATAGACCTCTTTTAGAAGGAAGACTGAGTTTGAATTATGAATATTTCAAAACAGATTTTAAAGAACAAGATACAAAGAAACTTCCTAGCCATTTGTGCACCTCAGCATTGTTGAGCAAAATGATATTAGTAGCACTGAAGAAGGAAATAGTCCTAGAAAATAATGAGCTTGAGAAAATAAGTAAGTATATGTGAGCATTCAGGCATAACATAAATATGAATTCTAAAAGAATTGTGAAATAATTTTGATTACACTGCAATTTAAATCTTTAAAGACTCAAGAATCTTCAGCTCCTGTGAACTAGTTAGTGATGGAAACTTGAGGAAGGTTTAAGTGATGAATGTTAAATTGCAGATCAGATGGAATCTGCAGTCTTGGCTGTAGTCTTGCTAGGTGTGAGTGGGTCCTGTGTCATGTGCCCATGGAGAGCACGGTTAAGGACGCTGGTGTTCCATCAGAGTTCCTGAATTCTCAGTTAGGGTTCGGACCACTGTGCCTCTGTCTTCGCTGGGCTGTGATTCTTTCCTGCAAGTGGAAGCTCATATGGTGCAGAACTGCAGGTGGTGGTGCGGCCTGCACAGGACAGTGTTGGAAGTGGAGGTTGTGCACGGTCCCTGTGTCAGAGCCCTGGCTGCCCGTTGCAGGGGAGGAGACTGCCGTGCAGGGTAGAGCACGCTCACTGCTGGCTCCTCATGCTGCTCAGGGCAGGGCAGCCCCGAGTCGTCGCTCCCACAGGGAAACGTTCCATAGCGGAGCTGGGATTAGGGTGTCAGTTCTGTAATTTACTTCTGTTAATTTTGTTACTAATTCCAAACTAAACAGTGTATGTATAATCTTCTCATCAATCCTGTAAGTTAGATAGTATTGTTTTTCTTATCTTGCTTAGAATTACTTAGCTTGTACAGGAGATAGATTTTAAACCAGGTCTCAAGTCTTCTGACTTAAAAATCCAAACCATACATGGATTTCTGAAAGACAGTTTTGACTAGATGTATATTAAGTGGGTCAGTGGTTGAGCATCGACCCATGTACCAAGAGGTCACCAGTTCGATTCCCAGTCAGGGCACGTGCCCAGGTTGTGGGCCTGATCCCCAGTGAGGGGCATGCAGGAGGCGGCCAGTCTATGTTCTCTCTCATCAGTGTTTCTATCTCCCTCTCCCTTTCCCTTCCTCTCTCTCTCAAATCAATAAAGAAAAAATTTTTTTAATAATAAAAAAAATTAAAAGTCTAACCCAGGCCAATTTGGCTCAGTGGTAGAGCATCGGCCTGCGAACCAATGAGTTGCAGGTTTGATCTGGCCAAGGGCACGTACCTTGGTTGCAGTTCATCCCCGGCCCTGGTTGGGGTCGTGTGGAAGGCATCCAGTCAATGTGTCCCTCTCACCTGGATGTTTCTCTCTTTCCCCCTTTCTCTCTCTGTCTCTCCTCCCACTCTATCTGAAGATAAATAGAAAAATATCCTCAGGTGAGAATTAAAAAAAAAAAAAGTCTACACATGCCCTGGTCGGTGTGCTCAGTGGTTAGTGCAGGAGCCTGCACACTGAGGGCCATGTGTTCAGTTCCTGATCAAGAGCATGTGCCTGGGTTACAGGTTCATCCCTGGCCCTGCTTGGATTGTAGCTCCTAGTTGGTAACCTGGTGGATAGCTCATTGGAAGACAGACCCCTGTCACCGAGGCCCCACCCCATGCCCGGTACCTGCTGTCTCCTGATCTTAACACATTGGCTGGAACTTCTCATTTCAGGCCTTGGATCCCTTGGTCATTTGTCCTGCGTGTCCCACATTGCTGGTGATTAAGGTCCCTGTCACATTTCTTAACTAATCAGAAAGGGACCAAGTAAGCTTTGGAGAGGATTGGTTATTTTAGTAAACACATGCTCTCAGTGTTCATTATCTTGAAAAGCCCAAAGCAGATCTTAAATCAGTGCAGAGGTTTTGGAGATGGGCGAATGGAGCGTGCTAGAAAGCGGGGCAGAGACGCGGTGGCGAGCCTGACGCGCGCTCTCTCAGCTGCAGAGCTGCTGTACTCGCTGCAGTGGTGTGAGGAGCTGGACAGCCCGCCGGCCTTCCTGACGGGGTTTTGTGCGATGCTGGAAAAGATGGAGATAACGTTTGATAATTTACGTGGACTTGGTGATACTTCTGGCCTTTTGCACCTGCTATTTAACAGGTAAAAATTGCTTTCAATTTCTGTTTTTTAAATGACCATTTTACTGCTTTATGGCTTTATTTCTGTAAAACATAAGCCCTGTTCATGTTAATTTTTTATATGTTTTTTTTTAGGGAGAGAGGGATAGAAACATCGATTGGCTGCCTCTTGCACGCCCCCCACTGGGGATCAAGCCTACAACCCGGGCCTGTGCCCTGACCGGGAATTGAACCAGGACCCCTCATGGGACGATGCCCAATCCACTGAGCCACACCAGCCGGGCATCTTTGTGCTAATTTTTAAATCAGAGGTTGATCTAAATTAATCTGATTTTTTTTTTTTTATCCTCGCCTAAGGATACTTTTCCATTTTTGTTCAGATAGAGTGAGGGAGACAGAGGAAGAGAGAGAGAGGAACATTGATGGGAAAGGGGCATATTGAGTGGCTGCCTCTCACACGACCCCAACCAGGGTCAGGGACGAATCGCAATCGAGGTACGTGCCCTTGGCTGGAATCAAATCTACGACTCATTGGTCTGTGGGCCAGTGCTCTAACCACTGAGCAACCGGCCAGGGCTAATTTGAACTATTAATGATAAATACTTTGTGCATACTAAGTACTTGATTTATTTTTCTGGGGAGATACTTGGACTTCATCGTTTGCCTTGTTATTAAATTTATAAATACGTTCAAGGGACACTGATGAGACAGAGCCGGTAGACCTGCTGTGACTCAGCGTCCGCGCCTTGTTCTCCCGCTGCCAGGAAACAGCCTGCGCCCTGCGAGCTGCTGCAGGCGCGTCTGGGTGTCAGAGCCGCAGCCCCTGCGAGCGCAGGTGTGGAGCAGGGTGTCGGGCTCCAGCTACCTGGGCACAGAGGTCCGGTCGCCTCACTGCTCTCTGAGGCTGCCCGCGGCATTCTGAAAGTCCTTCCCGTGTCCAGGCCCCAGCTGGACGGTCTTCCTCTGCAGCCCGCTGCACACACGGCCACTCAGCTCGCCTCAGCAGGTCCCGACCTCCACGGTCCCTCAGCTCCCGCCAGCCTGGGTATCCTCTGGGTATTGCATTTGCCCGGTGTGGCCTCTCGGGACCTCGGGCTCCATGTGCATCTCCCTGCGGCCCAGGGCTTGGGACTGCCCGTGTCGCGGACGATCCCACTCCTTTGGCGCAGAGCTGTTTGGGTGCAGAAGGTGACTCCTTTCATTCTGTAACAGGAATCTAGGTACACGGTGTTTAAAAATCTTAAGTACAGTTTTAAGTGGGTTTTTTCCTCCTCCTTTAGATCCATGGAACATGGCACCCTGTGGTCTCTTATCATTGCTAAACTGATCCTTTCCGAGAGCATTTCGTCAGAGGAAGTGAAGCAGCACTATAGGAGAAAAGAAGGGTACGTTACTTAAGTCTTTACTTTGTAATTTGTTATATTCGATCACCGTGGCAACCTCCAGCTAACCAGTAGTCTCTAATGCATCAGGAAAACAGGTCTAAGAGATGAAGAAATTGAAAGGAAATGAGGATCACAAACAAAACAGTTTTGATTGCTTTGGGTTTGGGACACACCTTTCTGTGCTACGTGTTTTTTACCTTACATTTTTTTGTGGAATTTCATACTTGTTTTAAACAAGTAGCATTTCATAACTTTGTTCTCTTTTCCCCAAAAATCTCTCTGGTAGATACCTGTCATTGTCCTTTCTCTCACGTCCTCCACCACTTTATGTGCTGTATGGAAAGTTCCTCGTTTTTCTCTTCATGGGGGTCTCCTGTTGAAGTGTATTCTAGAAATCTGTTCCTAAGACAAAAAATAAAACTGTGGTTGGATGTACGAGACATCTCTCAGCGTTGCTCATGCTAGAGAAGCATGAGTGTTCACAGTACACACTGCTGGAATTCACCAAGAGGCAGTTTGACTTCTTTGATTTACCAACAAGTATGTAAGGAGGACGTGTATATTCTGGCACAGTAGAATTGTGAACTAAATTTTCTTTTTTTTAATTTTTATATTTTTAAATTGATTTTAGCGAGAGAGGAAGATAGAGATAGAAACATCAGCTGCTTCCTGCACGCCCCCACTGGGGATCAAGCCTGTAACCCAGGCATGTGCTCTGACTGTGAATCAAACTGGCAACCCCTTGGTCCGTGGGTCGACGTTCAACCCACTGAGCCACACCTGCCAGGCTGACCTAAATTTCAATTTTTAAAATCTTATTTTAAAATTTAAAAAACGGCCCTGGCTGGTTTGGCTCATTGGTTAGAGCGTCGGCCTGCAGTCCAGAGACCCGGGTTCCCACTAGGGGTGTGTACCTCAGTTGCAGTTTGTCCCCGGCCCCGGTTGGAGTCGTGTAGGTGGCAACCACTCGATGTGTCTCTCTCACATCGATGTTTCTCTCTCTTCCTTCCTCTCTCCCTCCCACTCTATCTGAAGATAAATGCAAAAATGTCCTCCGATGAGGATAAAAAATAAAGAAGCATGTATTCTCTACCATGTTGCCAGGAATTTAAGATTCGTTAAGTGTACAGCAAAACAGTCATGTGTGCGTTTCTGGTGAAAATGTAGGTGGATTTCACCTTTTATGGAAAGCAGTGTGAAATTACCAGAACACAGCACATCCAGATCCTTTGACCCGCCAGTTCCGGCTCCTGGAACCTGGCCTGCAGACGTATCTGCGCGTATGCTCAAGGACATTTGTGGCATGTTCTTTACAAGGGCAAAAATTTGGGGAGTAACACCTAACGTCCACTAACAGAGAAGTAGTTCAGTTATGAAACATCCATAGTATGGAATATTTTTGTTTTTAATTTAGTTATGTATTTTTATTTTTATTTATTTATTTTTTTTAATTGTTGTTATTTTATTTTTATTTATTTATTTTTTTATCCTCACCCGAGGACATTTTTCCATTTTTTGTACAGATAGAGTGGGAGGGAGAGAGAGGAAGAGACAGAGAAAGAAACATCGACGTGAAAGGGACACATCGAGTGGCTGCCACCGCACGACCAACCAGGGTCGGGGACAAACTGCAGCCGAAGAACATGCCCTTAGTGGGAACCGAACCCGGGTCTCTCCGGACCGCAGGCCGATGCTCTAACCGCTGAGCCAAACCGGCCAGGGCTAGTTATGTATTTTTAAAATAGAATAATTTATACCTCTATATTCTGACATACAAAAATCTACAAGGTATATAAGTGACATATAGCAACTTACATACTTTGTATTCAAGTTTGAAGTGGCATGTAAGAGCCTGGCTGGTGTGGCTTTGTGGATGGAGCACTGTCCCATGGACTGAGAGGTCCCAGTTTGATTCCCGGTCAGGGCACATGCCCAGGTTGTAGGCTCAGTCCCCAGTGGGGGGCGTGCAGGAGACAGCCAATCAGTGTTTCTCTCTCACATCAGTGTTTCTTTCCCATCCTCTCTAAAAAAATCAATAAAAACATGTTTTAAAAACAAGTGGCAAATAAAATGTTCAGTGTGACTACATAGGTAAATTCCAGTTCATAGAAAGGGCACAGGAAGTAGCCCTGTGTAAATGGACTCCATGGACTCTGACAGAGAGCTTAGCTTCATGTTGTGTGTATAGTTCAAAACGAGCATCCATGGTGGGAAAGTTACATATGCTCGTTTTAAAACTGAGAAACCTGTTAGAGGAAGGAGCAGCACAATGTAATTATTTTCAGTCTCATGATCCAGAGTCAGCAATTGCCAATCTCTGTTCAGTGTTTCCTTTTGTTTTAATCCTCACCTGAGAATATTTTCCCATTTATTTTCAGATAGAGTGGGAGGGAGAGAGGGAGAGAGAATCATCGATGTGAGAGAGACACATTGATTGATTGCCTCCCACACGACCCCAACCAGAGCTAGGGAGGAACTGAAACTGAGGTACGTGCCCTTGACCAGAATCGAACCCACAGCTCTTTGGTCCACAGGCCTATGCTCTAACCACTGGGCAAAACTGGCCAGGGCTCTTTTATTTATTTATTTATTTCCTTTATTGATTTTAGAGAGAGAGGAAGTGAGAGGGGGAGAGAGAGAGACATCAGTGAGAAAGAACATTGACTGGCTGCCTCCTGCAGGCCCCCCACTGGGGATCAGGCCCACAACCTGGGCATGTGCCCTGACCAGGAATCAGACTGGCGACCTCTTGGTGCAGGGTCAGTGCTCAACCACTGAGCCACCGGCCCATTCATTCATTCATTCATTCATTTATTTATTTTTTCACCCAAGGACCTTTTTACATTAATCTTCAGATAGAGCTGGAGGGAGAGAGGGAGGAAGAAAGAGAGAGAGAGAAGTGTTGGTTGATTGCCACCCGCACCACCCCAGCTGGGGCCGGGGACGAACCATAACCAAGGCACATGCCCTTGGCTGGAATCGAACCCAGGACTCCTTGGTACACAGGCAATGCTCTTACCGCTGAGCCACACTGGCCAGGGCCTTCATTTATTTTTTTATTTTTTTATCCTCACCCGAGGATATTTTTCCATTTTTTGTACAGATAGAGTGGGAGGGAGAGAGAGGAAGGGAGAGAGAGAGAGAAACATCGACGTGAAGGGACACATCGAGTGGCTGCCACCCGCACGACCAACCAGGGCCGGGGACAAACTGCAACTGAGGTATGTGCCCTTAGCGGGAACCGAACCCGGGTCTCTCTGGACCGCAGGCTGACGCTCTAACCGCTGAGCCAAACTAGCCAGGGCATTATACAATTATTTTATGTAGTAGAATTACTAGTGCTTTTGAATAGTCTGAGTAAGGAATTTTCTGAAATAACTGCATAATTAGGATAAATATAATTCACACTTTTTCTTTTCTTTAAACAGATTTTTCCCACTAACAGAAGGTAGTATGCATACCATTCAAAGTCTCTGTCCGTTTCTGTCCAAAGAAGACAAGAAAGAATTCATTGCTCAATGTATACCTGCCCTTTTGGGCTGGACCAAGGAAGATCTTTGCAGTACAAACGGTTAGTTTCTTGATAATAAAAAATTAATTTAATTATTGTTTGAGATGAAATAAGTGTCTTTTAATATTTGAACCCAAATCTAGTAGAGATAAATGATAGCTGATTTATTCCTAGTTTATACTTTTGCTCATAACAAATTGATAGTCAGTAGGATTAGTGTCTTTGGAGAGTGTCTGTTATCATTTTGTGGGACAGAAACACTTGGTCCTCCGGGAAAATTTACCACCACAAACCCTCTCATCATGTCTGTTTTCATGTGTGGCTGTTTAAGCTTCGTCTGATCTTTTCTCATTGCCCGTGACTGAGTACAGACAGATGAAGGAAGAGCTCTTGTTGTATTTTAAACTTTTTCTGTCTATATATTTGATAAACACCCTTAAACACAGGCTGAGCGTCAGTCCCTTTGTGGAGAAGGCAGACGAAACTGCCGTCTGCCTGGTGACCCCTGTGTGTGGAGGGGCAGGGAGGGAGCTCTCCACCCTGCTTGAGCGTCAGTGCCCTTCACAAAAGAGGGGTCTTCCAGCCGAGTGGGGAAGGGCCCCTTCCATACAGCACAGGGCGCACGTGCGCAGGACAGGGAAGCATGCCGATAGCTCGGTACATGTACCTGGCGTTTCAGGTAGAGGGTTAGGGTGCCCCTAACACCCCTCAACTTCTTAAGAAAGTTTTGCTCTATCTCAAAGTAGACTTTATTTTATAATAGCAGTACAATTTAAACATTTTTAATTTTCATTTTGAATTTTACTTTAGGGGGTTTTGGACATCTTGCCATTTTCAATTCTTGTCTGCAAACTAGGAGCATAGATGATGGAGAGCTATTGCACGGGGTACTGAAGATTCTGATGTGCTGGAAGAGAGACCATGAAGACATCTTTCTTTTCAGTTGGTAGGTGAGACTTTATACTGTGTTCTCCTCCATCTGTGCAGCCTGGACCCAGAACATGTGTTTTATAGACACGACTTTGTAGAGTGATAGGATGGTAGACATTTAAGTCACTCTTTTGTAAGTATGTAAGATTTAAAGTGGAATATTGTGTATGTAATTCTGTAATGCTTTTTTGTTTTGCTTTGCTTTTGTCCTCATCACAGTAACCTATCAGAAGTGAGCCCAGAGATCCTGGGAGTCAACATAGAGATCATGCGCTTCCTCTCCCTGTTCCTGAGCTGCTGCTCTTCTCCGCTGGCCGAGAGCGAGTGGGACTTCATCATGTGCTCCATGCTGGCCTGGCTGGAGGTACGCTCACCTTTGTGCCTGTCTGTGTGCCGGACCTAGCGGCTGGCCGTGCTGTCTGAGTCATGACGGCAGTGTGCGCCTCGGTGGGTGTGGACGGGTTCCTGCCAGCTGCCCTTTCCCAGGACGGTGCAGTGATAGAGGCTGACACCTGCCGGAATCATCAGTGACTACGTCTCTTGGCTGCTACCAAAACGTTTTCCCCACTAGTTCTTTTTTAAAAAAATAATCCTCACCCCAGGATATATTTCCGTTTATCTTCAGATAGAGTAGGAAAAAGGGGGGAGAGAGAGAGAGAGAAACATTGACGTGAGAGAGACTGGTTTCCTCCTGCATGACCCCAGCCAGGGCTGAGGACGAACAGCAACCGAGGTACCTGCCCTTGACCAAAATCAAACCCGCGACTCTTTGGTCCACAGGCCAATGCTCTAACCACTGAGCAAAACAAGCCAGGGCCCCATTAGCTCATTTTAATATAATGTCTGCCCCCCAACCCTTTCTGGTTTTATCTTTCCGTGACAAGAATTTTGGACTTCCTGGTTCTAATTAAATTACTTTTCAAACACACTGAGTCCGTGCTGCTCTGTGCCCCGGTGACCGGGTCCGACAGGCTCTGGTGCAGCGGGCCGGTTAGGGTGGCTGCCCAGTCTCTGCTCGGCCTGCTGTGGCCGTGTGCTGGTGGCTTTGGATTGTCCACTTGACCTCGTTGAGCTTCAGTTTCTTTATTTTAAAATAATTTAATGATGCCCAATTAGTAGGATTCTGGAGAAGATAATTAATGTGTCTTTAATGTACTTCACTTTGTAAATGTTAATTGATACTGTTTTATAGTTTGTTTTTTAAAAAAAGAGCATGTCAGAATAAATGGTTGATTCTAATTTCTAATATTTAATTTTGAAAAATAAATTTTGTTTTTCTTTGTGGATTTGAGAGAGAGAGGAAGGGAGAGGGAGAGAAATAGAAACATCGACGAGAAAGAACATCGATTGGCCAGCTCCTGCGTGCCCCTCACTGGGGATCGGGCCCACAACCTGGGCATGTGCCCTGACCTGGATCGAACCAGTGACCTCTTGATGCATGGGTTGTTGCTCAACCAGTGAGCCACACCGGCTGGGCAAAAAAAATTATTTTGATGTAAACTCTATAAATATCTCCTGAGACTATATATTTCAACTGCTTTTTATTTTAAAATATAGAGAAATGAAAAGGACTTCTCTGCATGGCCTTGCTTTTTCTGGTCGAGGTCTGCTTACCTGTTCCGTCTTTGTTTCTCAGACGACGTGTGAGAACCATGCGCTGTGTTCTGTGCCCCTGGTGCAGCTGTTCGCCTGTGTCAGCTGTGATTTGGCCTGTGAGCTCAGTGCTTTTTTCGATTCCACAACTCTGGACACTGTTGGCAACCTTTCTGCAAATCTGATCAGTGAATGGAAAGAATTTTTTTCCCAAGGCATCCACAGTTTGCTTTTACCTCTTTTGGTGACTGTTACAGGCAAGTAAAAAAGGGTAATGGTGAGATTAAAAATGATTTGTCAGGAATTTAAAAGAACATCTTTGATGTTCAAGCCCAGTGGTACAGAAGACCAGAGGTGGGGAGGAGTCTGGGCGCCCCAGTGCATCGTGTGCTCAGTTAGGCTGAGGGTTGACTGAGACACGGCGGCAGGTCTGACCCCTGTTAACTGCAGTGACGTGATTCAGGTAGATGGTTCTTAGCTCAGACTTGCCTTTGTATCTTGAGAATGAGATAATAGAAGTCATTGAACAGCTGCAGTTATTTGATACTATATATATTCAGTTAATGTTTGTAGTTGCAGTTGGTCTAATGTTTGTCAAGTTTTTATTTCACTTTTTAAAAAATGTTTTTTTATTGATTGGGGGTGGGCATCAGTCAGTTGCCTCCTGCACATCCCCTACTGGGGACTGCGCCCAAGACCTGAGTGTGTGCCAAGATCAGGAATGAATCGGCGACCTCTTGGTGCCGGGATGGCGCCCAACCCACTGAGCTGCACTGGCCAGGCTCATTTTCTTTAATAACATTTGATTATCTGTGAATCAGTCAAGCTGTATTTCTCATTTTGTTTTGGGATATGCATGTTTTTTCCTTCTTTTCGTCAGGAGAAAGCAGAGATACATCTGAAACGTCCTTTCAGAATGCAATGCTGAAGCCCATGTGTGAAACATTAACGTACATCCCAAAGGATCAGCTGTTGGGTCACAGACTCCCTTCAAGGTTGGTTGCTGGCCAGAGGACCAACTTGCCGGAACATCTTCAGACCTTGCTGAACACGCTGGCCCCCTTGCTGCTCTTCAGAGCCCGGCCCGTGCAGATCGCTGTTTATCACATGCTCTACAAGTAAGAGTCCGAGCAGATGTGGTGCTCAGAAAAGTAGGATATATGTTTAGTTTTAACTCTTAGTCATTGAAAATGTCAGAATTAAAAAGAAAACCAGAAAAACAAAGCAAACCTGAGCATGTATTTTTCATGACGGGTTGGCAAGCTTTTATCTTTTGGTTCATGTGTCCTCCATGCAGGGTTTACGTGGAGGTAGTCCTGGCCACAGGCATTCACCTCAGAAAACATTTGAAAATATATTCATTACAAAACAAATACTGGCCTTGCTGCTCTGAAGCATGATCTTTAACAGCGGACACTTTAAAATAAAATAACTTAGAACAATGTTCTGATTTCCAGGCTGATGCCGGAGCTGCCACAGTACGATCAGGACAATCTGAAGTCAGATGGAGACGAAGAGGAGGAGCCGGCCCTGTAAGAGTCCAGTCCCTGGTTCTGTCCACTGCTCCCTCGCCTGTGACGGCCTTGGGAGGCGAGGCCGCACTCGGGGAGCTCTGGCTGCTGCCCGCGCGGCAGGCCTCTCATGTCTGCGAGGTGTGACTGTATCCCGGGCTCACCCAGAGATCGTTTCTCCCTCATCTGAATTGCTCCCTAATCACACTTTTGTTTGCTGCTATTTAGTAAGGTCTCTTTGGGTCAGGTTTTGTGGCCGAATATCAGCTGAGCATCCATTTTGCGCCGAGTGTTAGGTACGTGCTGGGGCACGGTGCTTAGTGGATGCTCTTTCCTTACGGAGCTCGCGGTCTCCAGCGCAGACGGCGTTTCCTGTAGCAGAGGCCAGTGTGTGACAGGAGCTGAGAGAAGGACAGGTGGCATGTTCTGGGGCCACCTGCTGTACACCAGGAAGGGAAGACTTCCTCCTGGGAAAGGGACATTTTTGCCAGACCTTCAGGTTAGGCAGTGTGCTGGCAGGGTCCGGAGGCCACGTCATTGGGGGAACACCGTGCAGAAAGGCCTGGGAGCGTGAGTGTTCAGGGTGTTCTTGGGAATGGTGAGTAGTCGGCACCACTTGACATGGTTTTTTTTTTTTTTTATCCTCACCCAAGGACATTTTTGCATTTATCTTCAGATAGAGCAAAAGGGAGAGAGGGAGGAAGAGAGAGAGAGACATTGATGTGATAGACACATCGAGTGGTTGCCAACCGGGACTGGGTTCAAACTGCAGCCGAGGTACATGCCCTTAGCAGGAACTGAGCCTGGGACTCTCTGGTCCGCAGGCCGACGCTCTAACCACTGAGCCAAAGTGGCCAGGGCTCAACATGTTATTGTCTGTATCTTCCACTGGCTTGTAAGCTGTGAGGCAGGGGCTTTGTCTCTTCTCATCAGTTATATTCGTTGCATCCAGAATGGTTCCTGACCTAAAGCAGACTCACGAGCAGTGCTCATGTGTTGAAGGGAAGAATAAATGAACAAGTGTGTGGAGTTGGGGTGGGGGCTGGGGTGGAGTGGGGTGGGATGGTGTGTGGTGGAAGACGAAGCTGGAAGGGCACTTATAGGTGACATTTTTAGGATTTGGGCATTATGTGGCAGAAGATGGGGTACCCCTAGCTGATTCTGGCGATAGTATGAAGCATGAACTGGACACATGCAAGCAGGAGAGACCATTCCAGAAGCGTAACGTGTAGAGGTGGTGTGGAAAGAGTTGAGCTGGAACGTGGGAACTCTAGTGACCGCTGCGTGGAACAGAGACAGGCCGGGTGTGAGGCCTGGTGCTGGAGGAAGATGCAGGCAGAAGTTTGGAGACCTCCGTGTGGTCTGGGGAAGGGAGCCACAGGGAAGGCGCTCGGGTGCAGGGAGACAGCAAGTCCCGCAGGGTTCACTCCGGGCTCACCTGGAAGTGCTCCTCGGTGCGCAGGGGTCAGGGAAGAACACATCCGGCCAGCGCTGCCAGGATCACTGTGGTGCTGCATTTCCGGAGAGGACACACAGTGTGGTCTCTGCATCCACACCTGGGTGGTGAAGGGCCTGGTAGGACCCGGCCCCCTCGTTGTTCTCCAGTAGCTGAAGGACTTGAGTCATTTTAGCTCTTCTCGGTGTGTGATTTATTTATTTTTCATTTATAAAACAAGGTTGAAGTAGACATTTTCTAAAATATATATTTTAATGTTTAAGTCATACATATTTATGTAGTATATTTTGTCCTTTATTTCCTAAAAATGCATTATTTGAAATTAGGAGTTAAAATTGAATTGATCAAGGAGACTTTTTAAATCTTTTTTTTTTTTTTAAATAAAGACTTTTATAAAATGTTTGAAGTTGATACACACTGTCAGTTTGTTTGGGAACGGGCTGTGAAGAAGGTGTGCTCCGTTCTTCTAGGTCCCCACCAGCAGCACTGATGTCTCTCCTCCGCTCTCAAGAGGACCTGCTCGAGAGCATCCTGGGGTGCGTCCCCGTCGGGCAGATAGTGACGATCAAGCCCCTGAGTGAAGACTTCTGTTGTGTTCTGGGCTACCTCCTCACTTGGAAGTTGATTCTCACTTTCTTCAAAGCCTCTTCATCTCAGGTCAGTGACCATGTGACAGTCTTGGGCAGCTCTGTCCTGAGAAATCTACCTCATTTAACAGTCAGTGTCTGGAGGAAGGTCTGAAACATCACCTGGGTGACTCAAGCTGTTCTCTCTGACGGGAAAAATATCTCACAATAATAATTTTGCCCAAATTACTGTGCAGGCACCAGATGATGTTCCTGTTGCTTCATATTTAGAGTGGTAGTTAGGAAAATATACTCCAGTTTCTTTATTTTTTTAAAAGTTCTTTCAGGCAGATGCCAACTTTGAAAATTTCTATCAAACTTTGATTTAATCATCTTAATAAAGTATGTGGCTGCTTTGACAGGTCAATAGTAAGACTTAGTTTATCCCTTCATATTGAAAATATGTGGTACTCATTTCCCATGTGACTTTTCAGAATGCTTACATCACAGTTACATTGTTTCAGGTGACTCATATCTTGACACACAGATGTCAACATGTGCATCTGTGCATTTGAACCCGTGGGGCAAAGTCAGGTCGAGGGGGCAGCACTGATCTAGACATTGAGTCACTGTCTCTTCTTCAGGCCTCCACTGACATGACCTGAGCTTTCATTTGCTGATGAGAAACCTCAAGAGCTAATTGTTGGGCTTTTACATTTGTTTATCTTTTTGTTAATGCTCACCAAGGATATTACCCGAGGATATTCTTCCATTGATTTTTTAGATCGAGTGGGAGGGAGGGAGGATGTGTCCACATCCATTGGCCGCCTCTCACATGACCCTGACCAGGGCCAGGGATTGAACCTGCAACCCAGGTACGTGCCCTTGACCAGGAATTGAACCCGAGGCCCTTTGGTCTGCAGATTGACACTCTAACCTCTGAGCCCAACTGGTCAGGGCTACCTTTGTTTTTTAAAATATTGTTAATCTTAAATTTTTTCACCAATTGAGGCCTGTATGTGTAGGAATTTTGGTCTTATCATATATTCAAAAATGTGGAAAATGGCCATGTACCATATTTTTCATTAAACCAAAGTGTGGGAGGTGCCTAAGAATTACTGAGCCTGGAACTTGAGCTGTGAGCAGGTCAACCAGAATAACCCACTAACTAACATTAAGTAGCTGAATCCTGTAACAGAATTTAAAAAATAAATAAACCTTAATTGGTTCTAAATCTGTATTCTTTCTAACTTTCTTCTCAAAAACCTCCCAGTGACCCTGGCTAGTTTGGATCAGTGGTTAGAGCATTGGCCCACGGACCTAAGGGTCTCAGGTTCGATCCCTGACCCCTGTTGGGGTCATGTAGGAGGCAACCTATCGACACATCTCTCACATCGCAGTCTCTCTCTCTCCCTCCTTCTCTGCCTTCCACTCTGTCTAAAATTCAATGGGGAAAAAAACTAGAGTGAGGATTAAAAAGAAAAAAACACAAAAAACAAAAACGAGTGAATCAGGTTGGATTCAAACCAAAGCCGTGTGTGTGCGTGTGCTTCACTGAGGGACGCCTCCCGTACCATCGCGTGCTGTTCGAAGTGCGTGGTTTGGTGTTTCTGGTACATTCACAGAATCGTGTTATTTTAGAGCACGTCTGACACTTAAGAAAGAAACCTCCCCCATTTGTGGTCACTTCCCGTCTCCTCAGACCCTCCAGCCCTGCAGCCGCCAGTCTGCTGTCTGTGCCAGCTGCGGACATTTCGTGTGCACAGTGCTGCAGCATGTACCAGGGCTGATCCTCTGTGTGGCTGAGTCATACTTCATTGCAGGAATGCACCGCATTTTGTTTATATACCAAAGTGTGACTAGACCACATTTATCCGTTGATGAACATTTAGGTTGTTTCCACTTTAAGGTATTGTGAATGAAGCCACCATGAACATCCATGTATACATTTTTGTGTGGACGTGTCTTCGTTTCTTTTGTTTTGTGTACCTAGGAGTGGATTGTTAGGTAATATAAATGTGTTTTTAAAAGCCCAATGATATGTATGATTACTTTTAGAAATTTTCCTTTCTACTTTATATTTTGAAAATGTTCAAAGTTACAGAGAAGTAGAAAGAAGAATTCGTGGAGTCGTGTGCCCGTTTGCTGCGATCACAGATGTTTGGCATGTTGCTACGTTTGCACACTTGCTCTGTGTTTACTTTCTTCCTGCTGATCTATTAGAAAATCATTTGCAGACATCATGATGCGTTACCGAAAGTATTTAAACATGTCTCCTAAGAAGAAGACACGTTTATACACAAGTGTAATATAATTATTACATTTATTGGATGCAGTAACACTATCTAATTTGTATTTTTTTCTCAGTAAATGTTCTTTGTGGTTTTAGCTCCTTCTCTGTTGAGAATTTAATCAAGGGTTGTGTTTGCATTTGTTTGTCACATTGAACTATAATTCCCCACCTTTCTTCTCTTCCTGGCCACTCACCAGATCAGTTACTTTGTAGACTGTCTGACAGCTTGGCTGTGTCTGGCTGTTTCCTCGTGACTCGATGCTGGTTCATTTCCAGCAGGAGTGCTTACTGCCCGGCGGTGAGGTGTCCTCACCGGTCCCTTCGGGATGCGCAGCGCGCCTCTGTCCATCTGTCGGTGACATTGCGTTTGGTATTTGGTGAAGGTAGTGTCCGCCAGGGTTCTCCGTTGTAAAAGCACTTAAAGCACTTTAAGGATCTTTAAGGATCCTCTGTTGTAAAAGTACTTTAAGGATCAGTTCCATATCCTGCAGCCTGATCCCTGTGTCCGAGCACGCAGTGTTCAGAAAGGGGTGTCTGTGCTGTGAGGTTCAGTGGAGGAAATTATTTAAACGAGATAGGAAGAGCTGCAGCAGCCGTGTGGACAAAGGAGCCACTGTGTCGTCGAGGGACAGGGAGCGAAGGCGTGGGCCTCGTGGGCGCCCGCAGCGCACTAGTGAGGCAGGTTCTCCTCGGAGGAGACACCAGAGCCCATGTTGTCAAATGAAATTCCTTGGTTTATGGAGCGAGACATTCTAGACTAGTGGCTTGTGGTCTGTGTCCTGAGGGGATGCTGGGATGTCTACATAGGGTGGGGTCAGCCAGTGGAATTTGTTTTAAGCAAGAATTTGAAAGATTAAGGACTGTGTGTGGAGGGAAGTTTGAAGACTTGGGAAGAGAGAGGAGGGGTCGTCTGTGGGGAGTGGCGAGTAGACTCACGGCGCTGAGGCTCCAGGTGGAGCTGAACTGTTAACGGAGATTGTTGGGGGAAGATGGTAGAGCATGTGCCGCATAATGAGGGGCAGTGACAGCGTCTGGTAGTTTCTGCAGAAAGGGGCCATCAGACAGCACGAGGGGGTGAGAACGTGGCATCTTTTGTGGGGTACTGCGCAGTTCTGAGTGCTCAAATTAATGATTTTTTTTATTGTGTTCTTTTGCAATCTTTTACTTTGATATGTTCTTGTCTATTCATGGTCCTGGTTTAACTGGGTTTACTAACACATTTTTGTTTTCCACCAGCTTCGGGCTCTGTATTCAATGTACCTCCGGAAAACAAAAAGTTTAAGTAAACTGCTCTATCACCTGTTCAGGCTCATGCCGGAAAACCCGACCTGTGCGGGCATGGCTCCTGAGCTCGCCAACAAGGAGCCCAAGACCTTCTTCACAGAAGAGCTTCAGCTGAGCATCAGAGGTGAGAGGGTGTGTGTGTGTGTGTACGCGCACGTGGCTCTCCTGGAGACAGGTTCACACCTGAGAGTGGAGCACTGCCCAGACCTGGCCTGAGCGCAAAGTTCCCCATGTTTCTCTAAGTAGGACAGTCAGTGAGATTTGTGGATAAGGTGGTTATGGGTCGATGCCCTGGTTAGTGTGGTTCAGCAGTTGGAACGTCATCTCACACACTGAAGGGTGGCGGGTTCCCTTACAGTCTAGGGCACATACCTGGGTTGCAGGTTCGATCCCCAGCCCTAGTCGGGGCACACACAGGAGGCAACTAATCCATGTGTCTCTCTCACATCAGTGTTTCTCTCCCCCCCCCCCTTCTTTCCTTCCACTCGCTCTAAAAATCAATGGAAAAAATATCTTTGGGTGAGGATTAACAACAACAAAAAGAATTTAATAGATTTTTGAAGCCTTGTTTGTTGAGAGTTGTCTTTTACTCCGTAGACATGTATTTGTTCTGTGATAGTGTTTCGTAGACCTGTACATAAGTCTGCAGTCAGGGAAACAAAGATGAGTAACATTGAAACACTGATTTCTTTCACGGTAGGGGCTCAGATTTTAGCTAAGAGGACAGACTGTAGTACGGTATATGATTGATTCCTAAGTAGACACCTTAGAGCTCTGAGGGCAAGACTGAGGTGAGGCGGGAGTTCTGGGCTTTGCGTGAACACATCAGTGATTCTGGGAGCACAGGAGGCAGACGCCTTCCGTCTTTCATCTTCCCTCCTTTTAAAAATCTGTTTCATATTATTTGTGACTTTTCATGTGAAATATAGAATGATATTTCTAGGCAGATTTTTTAGTGTCAGTTGGGATCTTCTTTTTACTTCGTTTTGCCATTGTAATGGTTCATTTTAAATAGGTAGGAAAAATCTAGTACTGTAGAATTCCAGTTTCTTTGATATGTCTGTTTCAGTAGTTCTGGCACTCATGTTGAAGAATTAAGATTTTCTAAGGAAAATACCACTATTAGTCTGTTAATCTGTGCACGGAATACATATCGCTAACTAAGAAGTTGTGTTTTCCTCAGAAATGACCACTCTTCCGTACCATATCCCGCACTTGGCTTGTTCAGTCTATCACATGACGCTGAAGGACCTGCCTGCGATGGTCCGGCTGTGGTGGAACAGCAGTGAGAAGCGTGTGTTCAATATTGTAGATCGATTCACAAGCAAGTACGTCAGCAGTGTTCTTTCTTTTCAAGAAATATCTTCTGTGCAAACAAGTACACAACTATTTAATGGCATGACGGTTAGTATAACCTTGAACTTTTTTCAAGAAAAGTGGTTTAAATATTGATTGTGTCTGACATCTGTAGTGATGTCACCACAACTGTGACTGTTGGTTCAGAATTTACAGAAATCGCCTACTTCATTTTCTAATTCTCGTGCCTCAGATCGTGATGCTAACGTACAGGCTGAAACAACGGTGCACTTGCACCAGCCTCCGCCGGGTAGCTCCCGAGCTCTCGGCAGCTCGTGTGGGGCGCGTCCGAGCACCTGCAGGTGCTGGGCCTCTGCGGGCACATCCAGGCAGGCGCGGTCTCTGCCTGCAGCATGTGCGTCCGCTACAGGGAAGGAGAGACCAGGGTCTGCATTGGAAACTGGAAAGTGGGCACAGAGAGGGAGTCTGGGAGCACGGGGAGGGCCGTCGGCCGGCAGACTGGGCCTTCAGGAGGGAGGACGCTTTGAGGTGGACGCGTGCGGAAGGCATTGCTGCGGGAAGACAGTGCGCCTGGAGCAGAAGGCGCGGCGGTGTCTGGTTGCCCCGTTGGTGGGGGGGCTTCCGAAGGGGCATCAGAGTGCAGGCGGCTTCTGTGATTAAGACCATATCAGGAAAGGTCTCCAATAATTGTCTGAAATATTTGGTCCTGTTTAGCCACTGACAATTTTCCTTTGAGTCCGTGACGGGTTGGAGTCATCACCCCCAGTGTGGCTGCACTGGCTGTGCTATAGAAGCCTGGGCTGTTGGGTGGCACTTGGGTCATGGTGTAGGTGGGTGGGCTGCTCCTGCAGATGCTGCGAGCAGGAGCCGGCCCAAGGGAAGTGGTGCCGGCGGGAATGTCAGTGGTGTGTGTGTGCAGTTTTGTAGAGGTTCATTCAGACTTGCAACTGGTGAATAGCTGACATGAGGCAGAAGGAGAGATTTAACATGATAGGTTTTTGGCCCGGAGAAGAGGAAAGTCAGAAGAGTAAATTTGTGAAGGACAGTCAGTGTCATTTTATGTTCAGCTTGCTATACTAGAGGAAAACCAGAACCCAGGTGTAAGACTTCTGGCTATAAAATTTAGAATTCTGCAGTAGAGAAAGACTTGGGAGACATCTGAATACATGTGATATTTTATATCTGGAAAGACAAGGAATGATTACTAACCCATTCTGTCATTGGTCTATGCAAAAACTACTTGTATTATGTGTTAAAGCTAATATAATAAAATACACTGTTTTAAGCAGTGTATTTCTTCTAAAACAAACCTTGAATATAATAAATGCCACTATTAAAATATAGTTGGCTCTCCTTATCTGTGGGTTCTCCATCCACGGATTCGACCAACCTTGGATTGAAAATCAGAGCTGGTTTCCAGGGACGTGGACCTACAGACAGGGACTTGTGCCTCTGCAGACGTTCCCGTGATGACGGAGACACCTGTGTGTCAGGTATTATAGCACGTCACATAAATGAATGTGTTGATCTGCGTTTCCTTTGAATGAAAACTTCGGCTACTAATTCTCCAACTATCAAAATGCTTTTTGAATGAAAGAAAGAAACGAAATTTGACCAAACAAATATCACCGTTCATGTTTTGCAGGTTAAAGCTCGAGCTGCTACTCGAGAAGTGATGGCTACTTACACCATCGAAGACATAGTCATCGAGCTGGTGATCCAGCTGCCTCCCAATTACCCGCTGGGCTGCATCGCAGTGGAGAGTGGGCGGCGAGTAGGGGTGGCCGTGCAGCAGTGGCGGAACTGGATGCTGCAGCTGAGCACCTACCTGACCCACCAGGTGAGCACCTGCCTCACCCACCAGGTGGGTTTCTGCACATACTTGGCCTCCAGACCAAGAGACCGCTCAAGCTACTACTGGAGATGGCGATAAAACTTAAAAGTATATCTCTTCTGCTTTAGTTGGAAATGAATATTCTAGTCCCTTGGATGAGCACAGATGTGTGCCTAAATGACTTGGACCTGGCAAGGTTTAATTTTTAAAGCTCTACAGTTTTCTTTTTTGGTGTTTGAGAGGAATTCGTTTGACTTGATTGACATTATGGATGATACAGAACAATATGTGATATGAAGGGAATTCAAGGGAATTTTTTTGTGAGATGCCAGGCAGATGAATGTCCTCTGAGCTACGCTTAGTCTAATGTGTCAGCTTTCCTTCTGTGGCTACAGAAATCCTGGTACCTTTAGAGGCCTTTGACTTTTAAATAACCTGTAAGTCCTCCAGTTTTGTTTGCACATTGTGAACATTGAACCATACAGGAAAATTATTTCAAAGGGAATAAATATACTCACCAGTTTGTAGAGCTGGAACAAATCAGCTGCTGAGACAGTGAGGTGATAAATTATATTCGTTAAAAATTAGGAGGATGCCCACTTTCGCCACTCTTATTTAACATAATACTGGAAGTCTTAGCCACAGCAATCAGATAGGAAGAAAAAATAAAAGGGATCCAAATTGTAAAGGAGGAAGTAAAACTGTCATTATTCGCAGAAGACATGATACTATATGTAGAAAACCCCAAAGACTCCATCAAAAATTTACTAGACTTAATAAATGAATTTGGCAAAGTAGCAGAATACAAAATTAACATCAAGAAATTGATAACATTCTTAAACAACAATGATGAACTCACAGAAAGAGAAACTAAGAAAACAATCCCATTTACCATCAGAGCAAAAAAAAATAAGATACCTAGCAATATACTTAACCAAAGAAATAAAAAACCTATTCATAGAAAACTACAGGTCATTGAAAAAAGAAATAGAGAAAGATATAAAAAAGTGGAAGCACATACCTTGTTCATAGATTGGAAGAATTAACATCATTAAAATGTCCATACTACCCAAAGCAATCTATAGATTCAATGAAATCCCCATCAAAATACCAATGACATACTTCACAGAACTAGAACAAATACTTCAAAAGTTCACATGGAACCAAAAAAGAACTCGAATAGCCACAACAACCTTGAAATAGAAGAACAAAGTAGGAGGGGTCACATTACCAGATTTCAGGTTATACTACAAAGCCACTGTAATCAAAACAGCCTGGTACTGGCACAAGAACAGGCATATAGACCAGTGGAACAGAACAGAGAACCCAGAAATGGACCCACGGCAATATGCTCAATTAATATTTGACCAAGGTGGCAAGAGCATACAGTGGAGTAAAGACAGCCTCTTTAATAAATGGTGTTGGGAATATTGGACAGCTACATGCAAAAAAAATGAAACTAGACCATCAACTTACACCACACACAAGAATAAACTCAAAATGGATAAAAGACTTAAATGTGACTCATGAATCCATAAAAATCATGGAAGAAACTGTAGGCAACAAAATTTCAGACATCATACGGAGCAGAATTTTCACTGACATATCACCTAAGGCAACAGAAACAAAGGAGAAAATGAACACACGGGACTACATCAAACTCAAAAGCTTCTGCACAGCAAAAGAAACAACCATCAAAATTGAAAAGCAACCCACTGTATGGGAGAGCATAATTACCAATGATATATCAGATAAGGGGTTAATTTCCAATATATAGAGAGAGCTCATACAACTCAACAAAAGGAAGACAAAGAACCCAATTTAAAAATGGGCAGAGGAACTAAATAGACACCTCTCCAAACAGGACATAAAAATGGCTAAGAGACATATAAAGAAATGCTCAACATCACTAATCTTCTGAGAGATGCAAATCATCTGAGAGATGCAAATTAAAACAACAATGAGGTATCACCTTACACCTGTCAGAATGGCCGCCATCAACAAATCATCAAACAGCAAGTGTTGGTGAGGGTGTGGAGAAAAGGGGACTCTAGTACACTGCTGGTGGGAATGCAGACTGGTGTAGCCACTATGGAAAACAATATGGTGTTACCTCAAAAAAATTAAAAATTGAACTTCCATTTGACGCAGTGATCCCGCTTCTAGGAATATACCCTTAGAAGCCTGAAACACCAGTCCGAAAGAATATATGTACCCCCATGTTCATAGCAGCACTATTTACAATAGCTAAGATCTGGAAACAGCCTAAATGTCCATCAGTAGACGTATGGATAAAAAAGCAGTGGTACATATACACAGTGGAGTACTATGCAGCTGTAAGAAAGAAAGATCTCTTATCCTTTGAGACGACATGGAGGGACCTGGAAAATGTCATCCTAAGGAAAACAAGCCAAATGGAGAAAGACAAGTATCATCTCTTATTTATTTGTGGAATATAATGAACATAACAGTCTGAGGAATGGGGTAGTTCCAGAGACGTGGAAGTGGGGTACAGACTGACAATCCCCAGAAGAGGGGGTCGTGGGGGAGAGATAAATCACAGAACTTATATAGATGTATGCATGAACAATGGACACGGACAACAAGGCTGGGGAGAGGGCAGGTGGGGGGGGGAGGGGGAGGGGGAATCAGTGGAGAAAAAAGAAATATCTGTAACAAAAATATATTAAATAAAAAGAAATTAGGAAATCTAAAGGTTTAAATTATTGAGAAAGTTTCATCAAGCAACAAGCTGAGACTAAACCTTAAAGTATTGGTGCAAAAGCCTTTTTTTCAAGTCTCTCTGGGTGGTCATTTAAAAAACCAACACTCGTGAAACTTAAAGATGTGAATATAGCAGAACAGATTCTCTTCTATCCAAATTGCAAGTCGACTTCAAAATCGTGAAGTTTTTTTAAAAAAATGTTTTTAATTGATTTTTTAGAGAGCGATTTTAATAAAAATAACTAGTTGGTTGTCTTCAGTGTATGTTCACTCTGTTTTTTTCTTGCTGACAGAATGGAAGCATCATGGAAGGCCTCGCGCTGTGGAAGAACAATGTGGACAAGCGCTTTGAGGGAGTTGAGGACTGCATGATCTGCTTTTCCGTCATCCATGGCTTCAACTACTCTCTTCCCAAAAAAGCATGTCGAACATGCAAGAAGAAGTTCCATTCAGCCTGCTTGGTGAGTCTGAGAAGACATGAACGCCTTCATTATTTTGTATACATCGCATGTGTGTCTGTCTAACTTTGGAGAAGAAAACAGTGAAAGAAAATCTTAACTGTAGTTCACGGGAGACATACCAAGATGAGTTTTCAAAATCTGTAAAAGATAATCAGTGAATTACTAAGAATGGCAGCGTCAAAGCATGTTAATGAGTGGGTGTTTCTAACACAGCTCTCAGACTCAAAAACCAGTAGTCTTATAAGGTCTGGACCCTGAAGTTGACTGAACCATTTGTAAGAGGGCCACCGGGCATCAGAGCTCTAGGCTCTTTTTATCTATTTATTTTTCTAAGTTTTCTTTTTTTAAAAAAATTGATTTTAGAAAGAGGAAGGGAGAGAGAGAGAAACATTGATGAGAGAGAACATCGATGGGCCACCTCCTGCACACCCCCCCACTGGGGATCGGGCCCACCATCTGGGCATGTGCCCTGACTGGGAATCGAACCGGCAACCTCCTGGTGCAGGGTCGACGCTCAGCCACTGAGTCTTGGACCTTTTTAAATGCCACAATGATGTCTAGTTGCTTTGAGGGGTCTTCTGTGCCTGTCTCTGGTTGTGCACGAGAATCACGCTGTAGTCTTGAGAAGTTACACTGAGTTGTGTTGACTTTGAGATCAATGGAAGGAACAAAATTTCAGTATTTTCTCTTTTTTTTTTAATCCTCACCCGAGGACATTTTTCTATTTCTTTGTTCAGATAGAGTGGGAGGGAGAGAGAGAGAGAGAAACATCAACGTGAAAGGGACACATTGAGTGGCTGCCACCCGCATGACCAACCAGGGCTGGGAACAAACTGCAACCGAAGCATGTGCCCTTAGTGGGAACCGAACCCAGGCCTCTCTGGACTGCAGGCCGGCGCTCTAACCCCTGAGCCAAACTGGCCAGGGCGGTTTTTTTCCCTTTTTTTACTCTGTCATTCAAGGTCACTTTAGATGAATATGTAAAATGACAACTTTAAAAAAGTTCTTTTAACATTTAAAACCTTTTCTTTTTCAGTACAAATGGTTTACATCCAGCAACAAATCCACCTGTCCACTCTGCCGTGAGACCTTCTTCTAAGACTTTTCCCCACTGGAAGTGACCACTGAAGTACAGCAAAGGCAGTGGGCTTGGATCCACCTCTGAGTGTCGTTGCGAGGAGCCCAGTGGGCATCACTTCAAGTAGGACCTGCTCTGGGAAGGTACTTGGTTAGTGCAAGGGTCCTGGTGAGTCTGCTCAGCCTTGTGAATGTCCGGAAGTCTTTCCTTTGACATAGGAGTAGTACATCATCGAGAAAAAAGATTTATATTAATAGTGTAGTATCTTTGTATAGTTAAAAATAAAAATGGAAACCTCTAAATTACAGATTTTGAATTTGTGAAAGCATTGCATTGATCTGTGTTGTAGAGCAGGCCAATGAGGGAGATGAATTGAGAGGGGTGATGTATACCTATCAATTTTTTAAGACTCATTTATTAGTTATGACAACAAAATTAATTAGTATTCTGATATTTGTAGATTATTTTAATGATAAAAATGATGAAGCTGTTCCTCTAGCTTCTCTTGAGCTCTGAAGCCCTACATGCAGGAGTGTCCACTGCACTTCACATGCTCCGTCCGTGAGGGTGACATTCAGAGAACTGAACCGATGAACTGACTCTGCATGTGCTGCTGAAATCTGAACGCAGACTTGTCAGTGAATTTATTCCTCAGTTGAGTGAGTCTCCAGAGTGAGAATTGAGAGAACAGGAGTTAGATGATTTCATTCTTGAAGCGGAGTGGCAGTTACCCTCTATAGAGAGGAAGGAAATAAATAGTTCTTAAATTTAAGATTGGGGGGAAAAACACCAAAAAAAATTTTAATGCTGTAGACAGCTTTCCATTTTATAAGTGAATTTTGCTGTTATTAACTGGCCAAAATTACATGAAATTAAACTTAGGAAGCCGATTTTTACAGCCAAGGTAAGGGTTTTAGTACCAAGTGAAATGGAATGTAACAGTGCAGTGGAGTAGGGGAGCCTGCCTTTGGCCACAGCACTGTTACCCTGAAAAACTGTGCCCGGAATATGGAGTGTGGACGTCTGGAACTTGTGCAAATATTTAATTGGCAATTCATGTTAAATAAAACTGCTTACCATCAAATGGGTAGAATGGTGATCACTGAAGTATGAGTGTGGTCAGAACGCTGCGGTCAAGACGAGTGTCCCAGCAGTGAGCTCCAGGGCTCCGGAGTCTCAGCTGTCAGTGCGGGTCCCACCCCCTTCTGCCTGCCTCCGGTTTCTTCTGCAGCGTTTGTCTCACAGCCTCGAGCTCAGAGAGTCCCGTAAGTACAGATAGCAAAATTCTCTACCTCTTACCCCTTTCTTAAACCAGCCTCTCTTCCTGTGTCTCTGACAGCAGTCCCAAAGGATGGTGTTACTTCTCTGTGAAAGTTACACCCTTTGTCCTTAAACATTGTTTTCTAATGAGAGTTTTGTTTATAACTTCTCTAGTGTTGGTGCTTTGGCTTCTGATCCAGACCCCAGGCAGGAAAGGGAAGGGGTGAGGAGCAGTGTTTCCACAGTAAGAGTCCAGTTTCAGGCTCCTGTGAGCCCCGTGACTGAGTGGGTGCCACTCCTCACACGCAGGGATCTTAGCACATTTCTCTGAGTTGTAATATAAACGTAAAGCTTGTTACTGTTTATATGCTAAAGAGAAAGCTTTCCAAAATAAGGCTGAAATCCAGAATCCACAGTAATTAAAATTTTATTTATATACCTTTGACAACTCTAGAGAGCACCCCTTAAAGTTCTAGTATAAGGATGTTTTAAAGTTGCATGAGTTCAAAGCCCATTAGCAAAATTATTAACTTAAAACCCTAATGTAAATGGCAAATTTTAGAATTTATTTTTAACTATTTATCACATGCTATAATGTATGTACATAAGTTTCTGTGACTTAATTAATGTTATAACTAAGTTTTTGTGCTGTGAATAGTTATTATTTGTTATACCATATGTGCCCATTAAAATTCTTTTTAATTACAAAATATGTCAGATATACAGAATAACACTAATATAAATGCCCTTGTATTCTTCACAAACTATTTTGCCATATTTGCTTCTGATTTTTGAAGAAATAAAATGTTACTCTCTTACACTCCTAGGCTAATCTACTAATCTGCATTTGGGAGACTCCTTCCTGTTAAGAGTTTATACTTTACCACGTGTTTGTTTCCATAAATAATAATAGTGCATGTAAAAAATTTTATATTTGTGATACCCTTTGTTTTTTTTTTTTATCCTCACCCGAAGACATTTTTGCATTTATCTTCAGATACAGCAGGAGGGAGAGAGGGAGGAAGACAGAAACATCAATGTGAGGGAGGCAAACTGCAACCGAGGTGCGTGCCCTTAGTGGGAACCGAACTCAGGTCTCTAGTCCGCGGACTGATGCTGGAACTGCTGAGCCAAACTGGCCAGGGCTGTGATATGATATCCTTCTCTATCATCTTTAGGACCTTCCCCTTTCACTCAGCCTCACTGCTGTGTGGGATCATGTTCATGGGCTCACTCACCAGCTCCCCCACTATTGGTCATTCCAATTATTTTTTGACATTTTGAACAGGCCTGCACATGTGCGTTCTTGATGTTTTCTCATGCAGATGTACTCAATACTCTGGATAAATGCCCAGCCTGGAATGGCAGGGAACAGACATCTGTGTTCTGTGGCTTGAGATGTTGTCACACTGCTCACCCCGTGGCTCGGAGAGGAGGTCTGCTTTTCCCTCCTCGTCACCCACTCAGTCCCACCAGACACTGGTTTTCCGTCAGAGCTGTGAGGTGGTAGAGCTTTGTTTTCATTTGTGTTTACTTGGCTACCAATAATCTTAGCCTCATTTCATAGATTTGTTGGTCGTTATTTTGTGAATTTATTATCTGTATGGAGTACTTATAGTCTTTTTTTTTTTTTTTTTAATCCTCACCCGAGGACATTTTCCCATTTTTTTGTTCAGGTAGAGTGGGAGGGAGAGAGAGGAACAGAGAGAGAGAGAGAAACATCGATGTGAAAGGAACACATCGAGTGGCTGCCACCCGCACGACCGACCAGGGCCGGGGACAAACTGCAACTGAGGTACGTGCCCTTAGCGGGAACCGAACCCGGGTCTCTCAGGACCGCAGGCCGACGCTCTAACCGCTGAGCCAAACCGGCCAGGGCGAGTACTTATAGTCTTATGGATCATAATGCTTTATCTGTTACAGGGCTGCTTCTAGCACAGGGCCTGACCCTTTTTTTAGATTTTTAATTGATTTTTAGTGAGAGGGAGAGAGAAACACTGATATGAGAGAAACATCAATCTTCTGTGTCCTGCACACACCCTACTGCGGGTTGAGCCCCAGACCTGGGCACGTACTCTGACCTGGAACTGGACCGGTAACCTTCAGTGCCCGGGCTGACGCACAGCCAACCGAGCCACACTGGCCAGGGCGACAGGCTTGGCTCTAGGTCTGTGCTGTGATTGTGCAGAACCCGCCAGTTAAATTTAGTCAAGTTTGTCATTCTTTTCTTTAAAATTTTGTTCATTCCCTGAGGTTTCAAAAAACACTGTGCCTAATTCACCTGCAGTAAAAATTCTGTGCCTGGTGTGAGGCAGGGTCTGAGGCCGTGCTGATCCAGTTGTCACAGCGCCGTGTTGAGTGGCGCTCTGCTCGTGTCAGCAAATCCCTCTGTCAGTCCAGGGATCTGTGTGTCTGCATTAGCTCTGCACGTCGTTTTGTTTTGTTTCCTCTAGAGAAAGCTTTGTAATTAACCTTGCACAGCAGGTGAAGAGTCCTCTGCCCCTGTTCTTCAGACTTTCCTTGGATAGGCATTTCCTCAACATAGGTGTGGTGAGTTTATTTACACACAGTTCTCCTTCTAAGAAAAATCTATAGTAATTTGCAATGTATATGCAAGAAAACAAGTAAGTGACAGAGGATAAGAGGTAGGAAAACCTCACCAGGGAGAAGAGGAAAGCAGAGGGTTCTCACACTAGAAGGAAGATGATGCCAGTGAAGTAAATTTTTAAAAATTTTAATAAGAAACAATTTGAAATTGTATGTCATTTTTGTGCGATGCTACCACAAGAGAGGAAATTCCTCCATTCCCACCAGGTATCTTCTGAGATTTTCTTTCTTTCTTTGCCTCCTGCACGGCGCAGACCAGGGCCCGGGACGATCCGCAACAGAGGTACCTGCCCCTGACTGCGACCAAACCTGTGACTCGGTCCGCAGGCCGACACTACCGCTGAGCCAAACCAGCCAGGGCTGAGATTTTCTTATATACACAGACAAACCTACCCTCTCTGTGGGTTTTTAAGAAATACCCACGTAGGGCAATACTGCTGTGTAACCTGCCTCTTCTTCCCCCGTAGCACAGCCCCCCTTCTGTCTGAGGCAGGATGGCGTGTGCTCAGCCCTTTTCGTGACGGGCAGATAGGCTGCCTTCTTGTTCTGCGATTACAGGTGGTGATCTTTTATGTATGAATACAAATTACGTAAAACGCATGCGTTTCCTTACATGTAAGCAAATATTTCTGTAGGCTTGACTCCGAGGTGAAAGCTAATGCCCTACCCTCCCACCTTCCTCTGACAAATTTAAGACAATTTTACTTAACAAAGAAATTACTTCAGTTTCAAAATATGGTGACTACATTCAGCTTCAACATATGTGTTTATATATATATATATAAACCCATATATGTCCAATATAATATGTATTCATACACGTAGTCAACATCATATACATTGTGCAACATAACAGCAGACTCGCGGTCAGGACTTGGCGAACCTCAGGACAGAGAGGTGCTCTTGGCCTGCACGCCTGGAAAGTGCGGTCGTGCCCCGTAGGCCTTTTGTCTCCATCGTTTCCAGAATTTCTTCTAGAATGAAAATTAAAACAGGATAAAATCCAGTTGAATCATTTGGTGAACTGAGTATAATCACTAAACAGTTTAATAACAGACTAAGTAATATTCATCTGAGAAAACAGTGTCTACCTAGCAAATGTCTATGACAGTGAACTTGGACTTCACAGGGACGGGAGCACGTTGTGATTTCCAGGTGTTGCTGACACTTCAGTGAGACTGAGTGGCCTGCGGTGCAGTGGGGTCTGCTCTGGGCTCAGCAGAAACAGTAATTATTCTTGCTGTTACAGCAGTAATGAGTTTTTTAGTTACTGAGCTCCAATCTCTGCCTGTATCCTTCCCTTTGGATAAAAAATGCAAATGAAGGTTTGGGCACAGTGGTAGTAAATAAAGTAGCTTATTTCTTTTAGGCATATTGAAAAAAGCAAAACCTTCCCTTTTACAAACAACACCTGAGACTGAACTAAGAGTGGAGTTTAAAGAAAAACTACCCTAGCAATCATGATGTGATTTGAGGGGTTGCTGATACAGGTACAACGTATAAGATGAAGCCGAGGCTTAAGAAAAAGAGAACAGAGATTATAGTCAATCAGTTACGAAGTACTCTGAAAGCTGAGGTGTGAAAGTCCACACTGTGAGACAGCTGTCATGACAGGCCTCAGATGAGCTGAAGGTCACAGCAGCTACCAAGGGCGTGGAGAGGGAAGGAGGAGAGAACATGCGCAGTATTGAAGGTGGGTGGGGTGTTAGAAGAAGAATTTACAGACTTCGTACTTGAATATTAGTTTAGGGATCAGGGGGAAACTGCCCCGCCCTCCTCAAGACAATGCATTTGAAAACCCCCAAATCAACCTCTTACAAATCCCTCTTTCAACACGTGTTTGAATTATCTGTTGTCGGTGATTACAACATAGCACTCCCTATTACCTTACACATTATAGTCTTACACATTATAGCTTTCACGTTATGAACTTGTGATTCCAGCAAAGTCCGTCGTGGGAAGATGAACTGGTCTGTATTACCTGGGTTGTTTTCCTTAATGGTAACTAAATAGAAAAACCCTCTTGGCGAAAGGAGATCTGGAACCAGTGGAAAGAATCTGTCCATGACTTGGCGACCATTTCTGCCACCAGCCCACGCTGCCTCTATTCCGTGACTTCCTACCTGTGACCAATTAGAAAAATTGTTTTGTTGTGACTCCAGTAAAGTTACTTTTAGAACCACAAACTTAACCTTTTGACAGGTAACATCACCAAACAAGTATACATTTTGTATTTTACAGCTCTCTCGGAGGCTGTCAAGTCTAAGCTGAGCCCCACCATTTCTTAGCCTTGTGACCTTGTGCAAATTTGTAATCTTTGTGAATTAGTTTCCTCCCTTATCTGTAAAATTAGAAAAACAATAGTCTCCAACTGTAAAGTTAGAAAAAAAGATAAATTATTTCTGTCCCATGTTAGGGAAAATGAGGGAATTTGAAAACAGTGCCCTGTACACATTAAGGCTTAATAATAGTTGTTACTATTAATACAGTGCTTCTATTGAGACATAGGTAATTTTTCAACTTAACACGGAACATTTGGAAGAAACTAGAAGGGAGAGCTTGTATTTTAAGAGATTCACTTTGCAGAAACAACGTTTCAAAATGTCCCACCGCATCTGGTTCTCTTCTGGATTATTATTCATGCAGACCTTTCTAGGAGCACATTTATCACATTATTTTCCCCTAACAATCTAATTCCATTGTAGAAACAACACCTATGAGAGTTTACACAGTATTAAACTTTAAATCCTTACCATTGCATAATGTTTTCAAACCTAAAGAATATTTTAAAAATCATGCAAAGACTAACCACAACACAAGTATTTTCTATTTTCTTCAATGGTTTTTCTCCATATTTTAAATTGTTTACACACAAACATGACTTCCACTTTTATTCATTTAACATGGCATGTTTCCCATTAGAAATACCCTTAACCACATAAATTTTACAAATGAGATGTTCATATATTTCTTTAATTTTTAATTTTTTTATTTATCTTTGTTACAGATATTTCTCCTATTTCCCCCATTGACACCCACCCCCAAACCTGTCCCTAGCATTGTTGTCTATGTCCATGGTTATAAGTTCTGTGTACATGCATGTAAGTTCTGTGGTTTCTCTCTTCCATCTCCCTCTCCTGAGGATTGTCAGTCTATACTCTACTTCTATGTCTCTGGGTCTATTTTGTTCATCAGTTTGTTTTGTTCATTATATTCCACAAATAAGTGAGATCATGTGATATTTGTCTTTCTCTGATGGGCTCGTTTTGTTTAGGATAATACTCTCCAGGTCCCTCCACTGTCGTCTCAAAGGACAAGAGATCTTTCTTACAGCTGCATAGTACTCCATTGTGTACATGTACCACAGCTGTTTTATCCACTCATCTACTGATAGACACTTGGGCTGTTTCCAGGTCTTAGCTATTGTAAATAGTGCTGCTACAGACATGGGGGTACATAGAGTCTTTCTGATTGGTGTTTCAGGCTTCTTAAGGTATATTCCTAGAAGTGGGATCACTGGGTCGCATGGCAATTCAATTTTTAACTTTTTGAGGTAACACCATAGTGTTTTCTATAGTGGCTGCACCAGTCTGCATTCCCACCAGCAGTGTACTATAGTGTTTGATGATTTGTTATTGGCGGCCATTCTGACAAGTGTGAGGCGATACCTCATAGTCGTTTTAATTTGCATCTCTGATTAGTGACATTGAGCATTTTTTCATGTCTCTTGGCCATTTGTACATCCTGTTTGGAAAGGTGTCTCTTTAGATCCTCTGCCCATATTTAAATTGGATTCTTTGTCTTTTGTTGAGTTGTATGAGTACTCTATATATGTTTTGGAAATTAACCCCCTATCTGATGTATCATTGGCAATTATGCTCTCCCATATAGTGGGTTCCCTTTCCATTTTGATGGTTGTTTGTTTTGTTGTGCAAAAGTTTTTTAGTTTGATGTAGTCCTGTGTGTTCACTTTTTCCATTGTTTCTCTCTTTTTTTTTCATCCTCACCTGAGGACATTTTCCCTTTTATCCTCAGACAGATTGGGGAGGTGGGGGGAGAAACACTGATGAGAGAGACACATCGACTGGTTGCCTCCTGCGTGACCCTGACTGGGGCTGGGGATGAACCGCAACCAAGGTACATGCCTTTGGCCAGAATCAAACCCGGGTCTTATTGGTCCACAGGCTGACACACTAACCGCTGACCCAAACCAGCCAGGGATCCTTTGTTTCTCTCTTGCCTTAGGCATTGCATCAGTGAAAATTCTGCTGCGTGTGATGTCTGAAATTTTATTGCCTACAGTTTCTTCTAGAATTTTTATGGATTCATGAGTCACATTTAAGTCTTTTATCCATTTAGAGTTTATTCTTGTGTATGGTGTAAGTTACTGGTCTAGTTTCATTTTTTTTTTTTTTTTTTGCATGTAGCTGTCCAATTTTCCCAACACCATTTATTAAAGAGGCTGTCTTTACTCCATTGTATGTTCTTGCCACCACTGTCAAATATTGAGCATAACAGTCAATTTCTGGGTTCTCTGTTCTGTTCCACTGGTCTATATGCCTGTTCTTGTGCCAGTACCATTCTGTTTTGATTACAGTAGCTTTGTAGTATAACCTGATATCTGGTATTGTGATCCCACCGACTTTGTCCTTCCTTTTCAAGCTTGCTGTGGCTGTTTCGGGTCTTTTTTGGTTCCGTATGAACTTCTGAAGTATTTGTTGTAGTTCTGTGAAATATGTTGTTGGTATTTTGATGGGGATTTCATTGAATCTATAGATTGCTTTGGGTAGTATGGACATTTTAATGATGTTAATTCTTCCAATCTATGAACAAGGTATTATGCTCCCACTTTTTTATGTAGTCCTCTATTTCTTTTTTCAATGACATTAATTTTGTATCTTGCTACTTTGCCAAATTCATTTATGAAATCCAGTTGATTTTTGATGAGTCTTTAGGGTTTTCTATGTATAGTATCATGTCATATGCGAATAATGACAGTTTCACTTCCTCCTTTCCAATTTGGATTTCTTTTTTGTTCATGTCTGATTGCGGTAACTAAGACTTCCTGTACTGTGTTAAATAAGAGTGGCAAAAATGGGCTTCCCTGTTTTGTTCCTGTTCTTAAGGGAAATGCTTTTAGTTTTGCCCATTGGATATAATGTTGGCTATAGGTCTTTCATATATGGCTTTTATTATGTTGACATGTGATCTCTATATTCCCACATTGCTGATCATTTTTATCAGAAATGGGTGCTGGATTTTGTCAAATGCTTTTCTCAGTGTCTATTGATATGATCATGTGGTTTTCATCTTTCATTTTGTTTATGCGGTGTATCACATTTATTGATTTGCAAATATTGTACCAGCCTTGCATCCCTGGGATGAATCCCACTTGGTCATAGTGAATAATTTTTTTCATGTATTGCTGGATCTGGTTTGCTAGTATTTTGTTAAGGATTCTGGCATCTATGTTCATCAGGGATATTAGCCTGTAGTTTTCTTTCTTTGTAGTGTCTTTTTCTGGTTTTGGAGTTAGAATTATGCTGGCCTCATAAAATGAGTTTGGAAGTTTTCCTTCTTGAATTTTTTGAAATAGTTTGAGCAGAATGGGTGTTAGTTCTTTGAATGTTTGGTAAAACTGCCCCATGAAGCTGTCCGGGCCTGGGCTTTAGTGTGCTGGGAGAGCCTTGATTGAATCAATTTCCTTAGTTGTTATTGGTCTGTTCAAGTTTTCTATCTCTTCCCAGTCCAGTGTTGGGAGACTGTGTACTTCTAGAAATTTGTCCATTTCGCTTAGACTGTCTAATTTGTTGCCATATAATTGTTCATATTTGTTAACGATCCTTTGTATTTCTGTGGTATCAGTTGTTATTTCTCTTCTTTTATTTCTGATTTTGTGTATTTGGGTTCTCTTTGTTTCTTGGTGAGTCTAACTAAGGGTCCATCAATCTTGTTTATGTTTTTGAAAAATCAGCTCTTTTATTGATCCTTTAAATTGTTATTTTGGTCTCTATGTTATTTCTGCTCTGATCTTTACTATTTCCTTCCTTCCACTTGCTCTGGGGTTTTCTTTTTGTTTGCTTTCTAGTTCTTTAAGTTGTGAGGTTAGAGAGTCTATTCAGAAATTTTTCTTGTTTCTTGAGGTAGGCCTGTAGTGCTATGAACTTCCATCCCTCTCAGAACTGCTTTTGCTGCATCCCATTGATTTTGTGTTGTTGTGTGTTCATTGTCATTGGTTTCCTGGAAGTTTTTAATTTCTTCCTTGATCTCCATGGTAACCCATTCATTGTTTAATAACATGCTATTTAGCTTCCATGTGTTCAAATGTTTTTGCATGTTCTTGTTGCATTTGATGTCTAGTTTCCTAGTTTCATGTCATTATAATCTGAAAAAATGCTTGATATAATTTCAATCTTTTTTAACTTGTAGAGACTTAGTTCGTGCACTTGAGAAGAATGTGAATTCTGTAGTTTTGGGGTGTAATTCTCTGTAGATACCTATTAAATCCATTTGGTCTAGTGCTTGTTAATTTTTTTGTGTAGAGGATCTATCCAGTGATGACAGCGGGCTGTTGAAGTCCCCTGCTATGATTGTATTGCTGTCGATTTCTTCTTTGAAGTCTTCCAGAAGATTTTGAAGATATTTTGGTGTTCCTATATTGGGTGCATAAATGTTTACCAAGGCTGTATCTTCCTACTGGATAGATCCTTTCAATATTATGTAGTGGCCTTCTTTTTCTCTAGTATGGCTTACATTTTGAAATCTATTTTATCAGATCTGAGTATTGCTACTCCAGCTTTTTTTCCCGTTCCGTTTGCTTGGAAGATTTTTTTCCATCCCTTCACTTTCAACCTATGTGAGTCTTTTGTTGTGAGGTGAGTCTCTTGTAAACAACATATATGAGTCATGCTTTCTTATCCAATCAGCTACTCTGTGTCTTTTTGTCAGAGCATTCAGTCCATTTACATTTAAGGTGATTATTGATATGTACTTATTTATTGCCATTTTTCTTCAGTGTGCTTGTATTTTTCTTCCTATATGTTCTACTAATTACAGCAGTCCTTTTAACATTTCTTGCAGGGCTACGAGCGGTGCTGGGGAGTGGGTCTTCCGTGGATTGATCTTTTAATATTATGTAGTGACCTTTGTTTCTTATTCTGCCCCTCATTTTGAAGTCTATCTTATCAGATATGAGTAATATCACACCAGCTTTTTTTTTCCTTCGGTTCCATTTTCTTGAAATTTTTTCCCCATCAGTTCACTTTCATCCTGTGTGAGTCTTTTGTTGTGAGGTGGGTCTCTTGTAGACACCGTATATGTGGGTCATGTTTTCTTATCCAATCAGCTACCCTATGTCTTTAGATTGGACCATTTAAGCCATTTACATTTAAGGTTATTATTGATAAATACTTATCAGTTGCCATTTTTATTTTACGCCTCATTGGCAAATATGTATTATTGGCAAATATGATCTCCCCGTAAGTGGGTTCCCTTTCCATTTTGATGCTGGTTTCTTTTGCCTTGCAGAAGCTTTTACATTTGATGATTTCCCATTTGTTAATCTTATCCTTTGTTTCTCTTGCCCTAGGTGATGTATCAGTGAAAATTCCACTACATATGATGTCTGAGATATTTTTGCCTACATTTTCTTGTAGGATTTTTATGGTTTTATGGGTTACATTTAAGTCTTTTATCCATTTTGGATTTATTATTGTGTATGGTGTAAGTCGGTGCTCTAGTATTTTTTTTTTCGCATATAGCTATTTAATTTGTTCATGACCATTTATTAAAGAGACTCTATTTTCCATTGTATGCTCTTGCCTCCTTTGTCAAATATTAATTGTACATGCTGTCTTTTGGGTTGATACATGGATTCTCTGTTCTGATCTGTTGATCATTGTGCCAGTACCTATCTGTTGAAATTATGATGACTTTATAGTATAATTTGATATCAGGTATTCTGATCCCTCCACTTTTTTTTCTTTTTCAGAATTGCTGTGGCTATTTAGAGTCTCTCTGTTTCTTCTTTTTACAACAGTCTCTTTAGCATTTCTTGTAGTGCTGGTTTGGTGGTGGTAAATTCCTTTAGCTTTTTTTTGCCTGTGAAGCTCTTTATTTCTCCTTCAATTTTGAGTGATAGCCTTGCTGAATAGAGTAGTCTTGGATTCAGACCCTTGCCTTTCATTACTTTGTACACTTCATGCCACTCTTTTCTGGCCTGCAGTGTTTCTACTGAGAAATCAGCTTATAGTCTAATGAGAGCTCCCTTGTAGGTAACTTTCTGTCTCTCTCTCACTTCCTTAAGATTTGCCATTTGAATTATGATGTGTGTAGCTGTGGGTCTTTTTGGGTTCATCTTGCTTGGCAAGACTCTGTGTTTCCTGGACTCTTGAGTTTTTCCTTCACCAAATCAGGGAAATTTTCTGTCATTATGTCTTCAAACAGGTTCTCTATTCCTTTCTCTGATTCTTCTCCTTCCGGTATCCCTATAATGCAAATGTTGTTACATTTTGTATTGTCCTAAAGCTCCCTTAAACTCTCCTCCTGCTTTTTAATTTCTTTTCCCATGTGCTTCTCTATTTGGGTGTTTTTTTCCAACCTCATATACCTGCTTTTAAAAAATGCCTTTTCTGTCCTGGCCGGTGTTGCTCAATGGTTAAAGTGTCAGCCCTTGCACTGGAGAGTCATGGGTTGGATTCCTGGTCAAGGCACCTACCTGGGTTGCAGGTTCAGTCCCCAGCCCTGGTCCAGGTCATGCAGGAGGCAACCAATCAATGCATCTCTCTCAAATCGATGTTTCTCTTTCTCTCGGTTCCCATCCCTTGTTCCACTCTCGAAAAATCAATGCAAAAAATATTCTTGGGTGAGTACTTAAAGAAAACTTCTTTTCTCTTTCAATATTTTGCTTCTGTAATCCTCCCCCTTGTTCTACACTCATAAATACAAGTGCTTACAAACATACATGCACAAAATTTTTCTTGTCCATGTTTTACAAAGATAGAATTATCTTCTAGATTTTAAAAAGTTTTTATTGATTTTTGAGAGAAAGAGGGAGAGATATATATAAATATTGATCAGCTGCCTCCTGCATGCCTCCTACTGGGGATGGAGCCTGTAACCTGGGCATGGGCCCTGACTAAACCCAGACTTCTCAGTCATTGGGATGGAGCTCCATCCAGTGAGCTACAACAGCCGGGCTATTCTACATTCTTACATGTACTTTTGTTTTCTTAGGTAATATCTTACAAAAATCTTTCCATGTGATCTAGCAGAGTTCTGATTTGCTTTTAATGACTGCATAATGATATTTTGTGGTGGAAAATATATCTTATTCAGCTTTCAATGAACATTCAATGTGTCCACTTGCTTATTTCTGGGTATCTACTGAAGTTATTCCTATATCTATCATTGGCTTGTAAACATACACCTTTCCATAAGGTAAGTTATATTAGGAAAGTTATCATTTCCTCTTTTTGTCAAGACTTTCCTCCTAGAGACTTCCATTTCTGGCATTCCTGTAATTCCTTCTTTTTCTGAGCTCATGTCTTCCTTTCATTAGTTTACTTGGTGATGTGGTCTGTGGACAGGTGCGTGGGATGGCAGCTTTGGCCGGGACTGTTTCTCGTCATTCCATTCCAGGGTGGACAAGGAGCCCTCTGTGCTGGACCCTGTTCATATGCCTCCCCGGGGATGCTCAGCCAGGCTCTGTGCTTGCACGGGAGAAAGATCAGCTGCACCAACCACAGCCTTATAGCCTGAGAAGGGATGTGCCATCATAACAGAGGAGAGTTGTCTGGGTGACTGCTCTTTGCTGGCTGCCTGAGCCCCAGTGCTGCCCAGGTCATGGGCATACACCCACAGCACACAACCTCGTGTCTAGATACAGCAGTCCAGCCACAGTCTTTTGAATGCACTTCTAATGTATCTTCTGTCTGCTGAAGCTAACCTTTCAGTCTCTTAACTTTTCCCTTCATGGTTTCCTTCTTTTCCTCTTCATGCTCTGTGCGCAGAAATATTTCTTGCACTTGGTTTCCAGACCACTGATTCAGACTTGACAGAGACCACATTGTCTTGTAATTCATGTCCTTATGTGTTACTTTGTAGAACATGTTTCAAGCTCCAGGAAATCTCTGTGGTGCTGCAGTGTGATCCTGTCCATCTCAGCTCTTAGGAGTTAGGACTGCACACAGTCACCTAGAGGCCCTGGCACCTGACTGAGAGGTGCAGGAGAAGCAGGCACACAGTTCAGGACTTGGAATGTGGGCGGAAGGAATCCCATTCATGTCCCTACGTCCCCAGAACATCCTCTCATCCACTAGTCTTCCCAGGAGTCTGTAGTCCTGAGAGTCCACGATTTACTTATCTGTTTCTCTTGTTATGCGTACATTTTCATATTATTTCCCATCGTAAATGCAGATGCAATAAACAATTTTGTGAATTTCAATTTTTATTTCATTGTTGAATGATTTCCTTAAATTAGATCTCAAGGATTAAGATGACTGGATGGCCACATTGTATCATTCTTGGTATTTATTCCCAGTTTGCTTCGTGAAGAGTTCTTTATGTAGCACTTCCCTCAATGGCTGTTCACGTTATGACAGTAACTTCCTTGTATGAGTTTACCTGTTAGCAGAGTAATGGCTTCTGAGCTGCTTAACTGCATCAGTAGTAACAACTAAACTGACCTTCCCCATCTTGGTGCAGATGAATGTTAACACTTGTCAGCCTTGCCAGAGGATGGTCATCCAGGAATGAAACAGGAACCATTATGACTCACTGTTAAATTTTGTCAGCCTTGGGCATTCTCTCTTTAAGTTGGGAAATGGTTACCAGGCACCATCTCTTCATTTTTCAAATCACATATTTCAAGATAAATATTTTTCCACCCCGACCCCCACTTTCTGAGAATAGCGATTGAAGGAGGAAACCTGAGATTTTCACAAAGAATTCCTATGTGATTTAAGGGTGATTAGAAATACTGTTTTGCAGATTTGTTATTCACGATAAAGGGCATTCATGCACACACACACACAAGCACACAAATTTAAATACCATGTCCCTATTCGAATGGGCTTTTTAGGGACAGAGATGGGTCAGTTTGTATTTCCATGAGTTTTAGGTTCCTTTCCTATGTCTACATATAGTACCCAATCATTGAGAATCAGGAGTAAAATCAGAGCAGTTTGTGTTCATCATTAGGTGACAACATATGAAATTCATCTACGTTTACAAAGAAAACAGACAGTATTAACAATTAAATTTTGTTAGAGGTCTTACCTCTTCAGGTGGAGTCACTGCGTAGGGGGGATTAAACACCAGAAGATCAACTTTTTCCTTCAGTCTTGGTAGCAAGCCTTGGACCTAAATGTTCAACAACTGTCAGACTTTTATGCCAGAATATAAATTCAATCATCTTAAAAAATATATATCATGTATTTAGAAACAAAAATGTGTTAGAAGGCCACACTAATAAACAGAAACAGAGTTGAATATTCTTAACATTTTCATTCAGATAAAGATTATATGAGCCCTGGCCTGTTTGGCTCAGCAGTTAAGAGTGTCGGCCTGCGGTCCAGAGAGACCCGGGTTTGGTTCTCTCTGGTACCAAAGGGCACGCTAAGGGCATGTACCTCGGTTGCAGTTTGTCCCGGCCCTGGTTGGTCGTGCGGGTGGCAGCCACTTGATGTGTCCTTTTCACATCAATGTCTCTCTCTCTCTCTCTCTCTCTCTCCCCCTCCCTTCCTCCCTCCCTTCCTCCCACTCTATCTGAACGGAAAATGGAAAAATGTCCTCGGGTGAGGATAAAAAAGAAGAAAAAAAAAGATTATATGAATTTTGCCCTGGCCAGTGTGACTCATTGGTTAGAGCATTGGCCCACACTCCAAAGGGTTGTGGGTTCAATTCCTGATCAAGGCACATAGCTGGGTGGTAGGTTTAATCCCTGGCCCTGGTTGGGGTGCATGCAGGAGGCAATCCAATGCGTGTGCCTTTCTCATCAATGTCTCTCCCCCACCACCCTCCATTCCACTCTCTCAACAACAACAAAAAATCAATGGAAAAAATTTCCTTGGGTGAGGATAAACAAAAACAAAAATAAGAGTATATGAATTTACCTAAAAGTAAGGAAATTAGACTATCAGAATGAAGATGTTCAGGAGTCTTGGCTCTTCAGCAGCTCATATTTACTTGGGTTCACTGTCAGAGATGAAATGAGGAAGGTCTAGTCTTCTACATATGTTCTGTACAGATGTGGACACAACTTAAAAGCTGTAGCCTCTGAGCTAATAATTATTTTCTATAATCAAAAGGAATGTTTTATAAGAGGAGAGAGCACATGACCCAAAGTGATCTAAGCTATGCTCATTCTGGGGCTTTTGCTAGATTAACTGAATGGAAAGGGTTTCTTTCCATGGGAGATTGCTAAGAAATAAGATACAGACATGCAAGTATCTTGCCACCATGAAGGAAGAGTACCTAGGAATAGAGTCACTTGAGAGAAGTTCAGACCTAAGAAAAAGACACCTGTAACAACATTTGAGTTCCTAGATTCAGCTGTGCCTGAAGCTACCCACTCTATTGAAGCTAGTTTGAAGTGGAATGTCTGTCATTTTGACAGACAGATGCCTGATGTATACAAACCAACAGAAATTCCCTGTTAATTGTGGACAGAAATTATTATATCAGTAAAGAATTTATAAACTATGAGGTATACTGCTTGGTGGGTTAAAAATTAATCACTCATTACCATCTTTACCTTATTGGAAAATAAAATTAATTATTATTGGGCAAGGATTAACAGCTCACCAAATCAGTAATCACAGGCTGTACATTAACTCTGTTACAGCGTGCTGTCTCCAGGGTACAAGCTGCTGCCTTAGGGTTGATATCAGTGCACCTACAAACAGAAAAGAAAGAAAACTATACCCTATGTCCATAGGTCAGATTCGAGAAATATTCTAGTCCTTTTACATGGAGATTTAGAAAAAATATATATGTAAGCTTTAATAATGGTAGAAAAAGAACAAAGATTTGTTACATTGATGAAAAAGGCTGTTATAGTGATATGATGTGTAAGAGTAGAAGAATACACATGGCTGCACACACACATAAAGGAATTTATTATGAATCCAATGAAGGAATATTATGCAGCCATCAAAAATGAAATTTAAAAGGAATTTTTGAAAGGAAAATGCTCAAGACACAATGTTCATAGGAAAACATTGGAAATAGAAAAAAAAAGCAAGGAATAGTTTGACCATGTGTGGTAAAATTTATAGGTAATTTTTGTCTTTATAACCTATATTCTCAAAATTTCTCAAAAACAATTCTGATGACTTATTTTTTTTCATATAAATTATTTACCTAAAAAAATTCAAATTTAGAGATGTCCTAAAATTCTTAGGCTGCTGCTATAATTACACAGTTGGATGGAACAGATGTGAACATAGTTATAATCTTTAGGAAGTTAATTTGCAATCTGAGACCTTACTATACTTAGACACCATCAGTCCGGCCGGTGTGGCTCAGTGGATGGAGCATGATCTGAGCATGATCCCGTGGACTGATAGGTCCCGTTTCGATTCCCGGTCAGGGCACATCCCCAGTAGGGGGCTTGCGGGAGACAGCCGATCAATGTTTCTCTCTCACATCTGTTTCTCTCTCTCAAAAAAAGTCAATAAAAACATATTAAAACATAGACACCAAGAGATACAAATTATCTACTTATAAAGATGATTTCATTGAAACAATACATAAGAGTAATTATAGTAAATCTCAGTGGAAGATGTGGATGAATTTGATATTCTTATACGTACATGTACAAAGCTTGAGGACCTATCATGGAGGCTAGGAATGTGGATACCACTCCAGACCCTGACCCTACTTCCAGGCATATTTCCACTCTAAAACAAAACAAAATGATATTAGTCCAGAGCATTAAAACAAATTATAGAAAATAACTCTCAGGATACTTTTAATCTGTTTCTGCCCCATTGTCACTCACCTGCAACTATGTGGAAATATAAAATAAATTTGTAAATAAGTTAATTTCTGACAACTACTTTGTCATCATTTAATATTGCATAGCTCAAAATTGTTAAAATTTTGAGTGTGTGGTTTATTCTAAGTCAATAAACTAGTAATATAACAAATGGCTTTCAATTCATTTCTATAGAAAATTACATTAAAACTATGGAATAGTGTTAATTTAAGGCTGGACAGTTTAATATGAAAGACATCGGTCCTTTCCAGAAGAAGCTTAGTTTAGTATCTCCTAAAATGACAGGGTTAGTAGTATTACAATATTTATTTATGAAAGACATTTCTCTATCATTTAAAAGTATATAACATTCAGCTTTGCCAGTGTGGCTCAGTGGTTGAGCATTGACTCATGCATCAAGAGGTTGCTGGTTCAATTCCCGGTCAGGGCACATGCCCAGGTTTTGGGTCAAATACCCAGTGGGGGGCGTGCAGGAGGCGGCCAGTCCATGTTCTCTCTCATCGATGTTTCTCTCTCTCCCTTCGTCTCTCTCTAAAAATCAATAAGAAAAATAAGTAAAAGTATATACAACATTCATAAATTCATCAGCATATCCTTGGTGGGGGGAGTGGTTCCCCCATTCTACAGATAACAGATTCAGAACAGCAAAGAAACTCCATATTGGTACCACTATACACTGAATTGTATTTGATCTAAGAATATTAATAATAATCTTAAGAATGCTACTTAAGCCCTGGCCAGTTTGGCTCAGTGGTTGGAGCGTTGGCCTGTGGACCAGAGAGTCCCAGGTTCAGTTCCCGCTGGGGGCACGTACCAAAAAAAAAAAAAAAAAAAATGCTACTTAATATCTCCACTGCACTGTGTTTTGTCCTTCAATTAAATTTATTTCCTTGTATATTATATATGTGTGTGTGTGTGTGTGTCAAAAGCACCAATTATCCCCTTATAGAGATAGATTTGATGGGATTTAGATGTCGCATGAATGCCTAACTCCCCAAACAATTACCCAAGAACAAATTCTAGGGGTTTCTAACCTTTGGAACTAGTCCACATATCTGACAAATCTTTATTATGCTGTAGGAAGGTCTACTGAATCTTACCAGCAGCTTCTATTTGGGGGGAAAAAAACCTGTTATGGTCTCATAAGAAATTACAATTCCAAGAGCAGAAATATTCAAGACTTTACAACAAAATGAGCTTCCTTCACAGCATACTCTGGAATGCAATTTGTACTTGTAAATCATTGGTATATCCCGAGTTATAAAACAGTCCTGTTCCATTCTATATTCCAGTAAATCCAAAAGTTCGATCGTTTAAAAAGAAAAAATAGTTTAATAAGAGTTACGCCGTTTTACACATGGAAAAAATCCCAAGTTTAAGAGGAATAAACACAGACCTCTGAAGCCTGACAGCTGTTTCATCCTGAGAAAACCCATTTCAAATATTGATTTTTATATACATCTAAATACCCAAATTTCTTTCATTATAAAAACTTACAGGTATTCATTCTTTTTTGTTATTAACTTAGTTTATAGTGAGCATTTCAACAGCTCAGTTTTATTCTCCGTAAGGTGCTGGGTAGAATTACGCGGGCTGCCTGCTGCACGTTACTCTCCTGATCACAATTCAATGAAAACCTCGGTTCCGCGGTCGCACGAGCGGCTTTGAAAACACCGCCCCCCGCCCCCCGCCCCCCTCCCCCCAGCTCTGCGCCCTCCCGCCGCCAGAGGGCACTGTCCCGCCAACGGCGGCGCCACGGGCTCTGCGTCGTCGCTGCTCCGCTAAGCGCAGCGTCCGGGGCTGCGGGGTTTGAACTGCGCCCTGAGGGCGCTGCTGTTGGGGGACGTGCGCGGGGGGTCACCCCTGCCGGGAGGGAGCCGCCCGGGGCGGTCGGAGCTCCGACGCCGACAGGACCCCGGCGCAGTCGCTGCTGCTCCTGCGGGGAAGTCGTCGGCGACGGCTTCCGGCGTCAACCCGCCGGGGGAGCCTCGCCCCCTGTCTGGGCGGCGGCGACAGTCCTTTCCTGGGCCCTGGGCCGCCGCCTCCGGGACGCCCGACCCCTGTCCCCCGGGCTTCTCGCCTCCTCGCACCGCGTGAGCTCGGCCGCCGCCGCCTCGAGAGCGTCCAGGAGCAGGAACGTGTCCTCCGCGGGCTCGTACACGTCGCTGAAGGCGCCGCGGCCCACGTGCCCGTGCAGCGGCGTGGGGAGGCCGGGCGCCGCCATCTTTCTCCAGCGCGTCCCGCCGGCTGGCGCCAACGCCGCGCATGCGCAGCGTGCGGGGCGCCGGCCGGAAGTGCCCCTCCCTCTGAGCACTGGGGGCAGGTTGAGTCGTCCAGGTGAAGTTGCATAGTCTGCAGTTCCTGACGTTTGCTTTATTCTTTGAACGTTTAAATGTAGTTCAGTTTATATCTCAGCACCTGGCACCTGTCCTCATAGCTATTGACTAAGCGGAATGTTTATTGTACATTTAGAAGTTTTCTACTTCTAGTTAGCGTGGAAATGAAAAATACGTGATAGTTATGAAAATTTACTTTTTCTTTATTTTATGCATCACTAAACTTTAAACTTTGACCTTCAAGATTAAGATTTTTTCTTTTGATGAGCCCAGTTTAATTCTGTTCGTGTGTAATTGATCGATTATCAGTTTTTCAATTGATTTTGTTGTAGACCAACGAGACAGACCAGACTCAGACTCTGAACTGGGTTCAAATTAAGAGCTTTATTAGCCACATGGCGAGTGTCCCATCCTGTGCAGAGGAGAGAGCAGCCTCGAGCTAGGGGTGAGTTGCTTATATAGTTTTCTTAGCCCCTGTTAAGAAATTGGGCTAAGGGTCTGCGAGCAAGCACGTACAGAAGCGGGTATCTGCAGTTAGGCGTTACGTCTGAGGGTTCTATTTGCCCAACGTAGTGGTCAGCTCCGGCTGATGCCCATCTCCCTCCCTCCTGCTTAGTTCCTATAATCCTCTTAGGGTCCAGGGCAAGGTTACCAAGTGGGACATTTAAACTACAAGTTTTCGCAGTACTTTAGCTGTATGTTCTTTTGTTTTATTGCTCTATTGTCTCTCCTTCACATTCCCCACTGGTCTTAGGGCTAATTCAAATCCTTGAATCTAGGTAAGTGTCTTCAGTCTCCTCTGCCGTGGCTGGTCTCTGGTAAGGAGAGCTCAGGACCATTAGCTTAACTGTCTGTAATCTTCCCCTAATAAATTGCATTAAGCGATTAATCAGGTTTGGGCCACAGGTTAACATTAACAGGAGGAGAAGTAAGGGGCCTGAAAGAGCAGTGAGCCATGGGGACCAGCTGAATAAGTCCTCATACCAATTCTTGGGGGCTGAGGCTGACTGAGCTTTTTCTCATTCGCTCATCTGCTTTCTGGCCAGGCTTAAGCTTTCCCTAATAACACCAGAGTGGTTAGCATAAAAGCAACAGGTTTCTCCTAAGGCTAAACAGAGAAGAAATAAACCTGTGGAATGTTAGCAAGAATACATAAGTCTGGTTTCAATGGGAAAGACGCAGGGAGTCAGTCCTGAGGCGCAAGCAAACCAAGGCCAGGTGGTGCAGTTAGGACCCAAGTCTCTTGTGATGGTGGGCTTAATGGGGTTAGGGTGATAGTGTCCCCGCACGTGTCTGCATAAGGGGAGAGCTTAGGCCGTAGTTACTGATGAAGCATGTCCCCTGTCCTTGTAGGTTTCCGAGGGTCAGGTGAGGACCTGTACCTTCATAGCAGTGACCACCCTTGAGTCTATCTAAATTGGGTAGGTGCCTTACCGGTGATCAGAATCAGGAAAGAGACTAGGAGGGAACCCTGGAGAGCTTTACCTTCAGGGGATCTGCTGGAAGGCCCATTGTTCAGGTATTTGTTCACAGTGTGCTTTCTTTACCTGAGTGTGGTGAATCCAAAATTTCCGTCCTGCTACCTTCAGAGCGGTGGACATAGTCAAGATAACAGGAAAAGGGCCAGTCCAGCGAGGCTCGAGGGAAGCAGGCTGATGTTTCTTGACCCAGACCCAGTCACCAGGGACAAAGTCATGTGGTGGTATCTGGGGTGTCCCCAGTTGGGGTCTGGTGTCCTTGATTAGCTGTTGGGTCTGTTCTCTCAGCCTCTGGATTGCCTGCAAAGAGCTGAGGATTTTATGGTTTCCCAGGTTGGCCAAGACCTCGTCCCCGATTTCGGGTAGAATAGGGGGAGGTCGGCCAAACATTTCAAATGGGGTGAAACCCTTACGATAAGGGGTACAACGCACACGAAGAAGGGCAAAAGGAAGGAGCCTTACCCAGTTGTTGCCCGCCTCAAGGTGGAGCTTAAAGTTTCCTTTAATGTCCTATTCATTCTCTCTACCTGTCCTGAACTCTGAGGCCTGTAGACACAATGCAATTTCCAAGTAATTCCTAAAGCTTTAGCTAACAATTTTGTGGTTTGAGCAATGAATGCCGGGCCATTGTCGGACCCCAGAGCTAGAGGGAGGCCAAATCGGGGGACTATCTCAGAGAGGAGTAACCGGGCTACTGTGGTTGCAGTCTTGGTAGGAAAAGCCTCAGTCCAGCCGGAGTAGGTATCTATGAAAACAAGCAGATATTTGTAGCCGTATTGGCCAGGGGCGACCTCAGTAAAGTCAGTTTCCCAGTGGTCACCAGGAGCTGTGCCTCTTCTCGGGTCCCGAGGTCTGTTGTTTCCCGAGGGTGAGAGTTGACTTGGGCACAGGCAGGGCATCTCCTTATTTCAGATTCTATCCATCTGTTGAGGTTTGGGACATAAAAGTCCCGGACTATGAGACTGGAGAGTTTAGTCTTGCCCAGGTGGGTGCCCTGATGCAGCTGAGAGATCAGCTCTTGGCCTGGGGCCTCAGGCAAGACACGTTGACTGGTTGTCTCCTGCAGTATTGGTCTGGGGCCGGGTATTGAACCTGCAACCAAGATTGACCAGAATCAAACCTGTGATCTTTGGTCTGCAGGCCAATGCTCTAACCGCTGATCCAAACTAGCCAGGGCCTTAAAATAGTTTTTAAATATAAGAGCTAAAATATTACAAGTAAAGCAGATGTTCTCTCTGGACTCACCTTCTGTTCCATTTAGTAACCCTCACTCCAGGGTAATTCCTCTTGCAAATTTAGTGTGTGTTGTAACCCAGGAGATTGACCAAACTCAGACGCCGAGATGGGGTTTAATAAAAGGAGTTTATTGAGCTAAGTCCGCAGGCACCTGCAGTATGTCCCACACAGGAGTAACTGCGGCCCCGGAGAGCTAAAATGGCTCCTTTTATAGGATTTTGTAAGGGGGGTGCTACCTGTAAGCAAGCATGTTACAGAAGCGAAATTTAGCAGTTAGTTAATTACCTGTTACTCGGTTTCCCAGACATCTCAAAGGTCAAGATGTTTTCAATAGATTATTCCTGGCGCCAACCCCAGGATTACTCAAGGGTTTGTTATTACCCCAGGGTTAGCGATTACTTAGGGATTAGTTAGTGAAGAATGTTCTTCAGTAAATGAGTAAACTGACAACCCCTTTGGTTGTCGTGAAGGCCTCTGGGAGTTTAGGTCAATGGCACTGAGTTATAATGTGTATCTATGTAACCCATGTTTTTATGTTTTTACATTTATATATTCATAAACAACATCTACTTTATGTGTTTTCAAATTTGTGTAATTGGTACTAGATTGAACATACTGTTTTTCAAACTTTTTTACTCAACATTCTATGAGATTTATGTTTTGCTATATGTAGCTAGTTTAGTTCTTTTAATTGTCTTAGTATTTTATTCTTTGAAAGTATAAAACATTTTTATATCTGGAATGGATAAATAGTGATAAACATTGAGGTTTTTTTCTAGGTTTTCACTATTAGAACCACGGTGTAATTAACTTTTTTATCCTCACCTGAGGACATTTTTGCATTTATCTTCAGATAGAGTGGGAGGGGGGGAGAGGGAGAGAGAGACACATCGAGTGGTTGCGTCCCACATGACCCCCAGCCAGGGTCGGGGACAAACCGCAGTCGAGGTATGTGCCCTTGACTGGAATCGAACCCGTGACTCATTGGTCCTCAGGCCGATCCTCTAACCACTGAGCCAAAACGGCCAGGGTAGCACCCAGCTTCTTAAATGTCTCACTCTCCAGAGGTAACCCTTTTAAACTTTTAGCTATTTCTTTGACCATTTATTTCCATATCTTTGTATACAAGCTTATAATAATAATACTTGATTTCTCAACTTGAGCATTATCCGTTGAGTTCCCAGAGTAGGAGGTAAGGTTCTCATGAGAAAAGGCAAGAATGGAATTCTCTTGGAGCCGTCGGCACCTCTGTGGTCACTGACACCTCTCCGGTCCTTGGGCTGCGCTGCATCCAGACCACAGGGATCGTGACGCTCACTCCTGGAGGCCCCGCGTGGCACCTGTGGCTGGGCCAGGACCAGGCCTCAGGCCACGGTGTGAAGGGCTGCCCCATCTGCACGTCAGGGGACAGGTAGCCTGGGACACGGGAGGTCACCATGTCCCTAGGACCTGCCAGCACCATGGGGAAGGTGTGTTGGCCGCTCACCACCACTGGGTGTGGCCACCAGCGCAATGGCCGTGTTCCAGACTGTGTCAGCACCTGCAGCTGCTGTTCGAGAACACCTGAGTATTTCACCCGGCAGCACCCTGCGGCCTGACTGGCTTCTTGGTCCAGGTGACCTGCTTCACGACTGACTTCTCACTGCGTTCCTGCGTGGCTTGGTGTCATGTAGCCAGGTGGCCTATGGTAGCCCTGGACTTGGGCAATGGCTCCATCTGGGGTGTGCTGGCTGTGTCTCTCTTGGGTCAGTTTGTGGTACAAGATCCTTCAGTCATGACCCCAGGAGGGCCCTCTGGTGCCCAGCTGAGAGCCCCGCCTGGACTTTACTCAAGGCTGCTTCTCTCCCCTTCACCCCGCAGGCCTGCACCCCGAAGAGGACCGAAGCTTTAGCAAGCGGGCACTCCAGCTCGAAGGGCACTTGTCGGGATGCATGTGCACCCCAACATTGCACGTTCTAGTGGTCCACTTGGCTCAGCTCCGGGTGCTGGGACGTGGGGAGGTTTATAACTTGGGGAGCAAGAAGCTGGGAGACATTTTCCCCAAGAAGTTTTTAATGGTTTTGCTTTTTATAATACTTTTGGGAGGACACAATACACAGTCCCTGCCACTCCCACCTTCTGCCCAAAGCTGGGACATCTGAGGTGGGGTCAGTAGGCCTGCGCGGTGTTTCTGG